AAAAAAAAAAAAAAAAAAAAAAAAAAAAAAAACAGGAAAAGCAAGAATTCTATTTTATATTAAATGTGAAAGTGAAATTTTCACTTTCCTAAATTCATAAAAAGGACCGTTTATAACTACCAAATGTGCGATACTAAAAATGCAATTTCGTGGTAACCACCTTTTCATCTTGTCAGACGATGTTTTCACGCAATTAGATCGACTGAAAAGTATGTCAACTTGGCGAGGGGCGATGTACAATGTGTTGGTCCTTCCAAGCATTGGTGAAGGATGTCTATCAACCGACTGGGGATGGACACCAACATGGCATCCTTTTAACTCGCTTGCATAGGATCTTTACGTGCTAACAGTTGACTGTTGTCTTTAGTGCGCGCGAACGCGATGACAGATAATTTTAAATGACTGTTTTATCATATCCTGAGGGAGATTTATTTCATACGACTTAGTTGGGGAATAAAGTTGAGCACAACTTACGGAAGTTTAGTCCTATTCATTTTCTGCTAAACATTCTGAAAATTTTTTATTTTAGTTTTATTTATATATATATATTTTTTTTTGTTACGAAAGTAGTTTTTGTGATGTAATAATAAGTTGGATAAATATGAGTCCTTAAGTAAAAGAAAGTTTTAATAATTAAATGTTTCTTAAAACACACGAAATCTATAAATGGAACAATTATTTTATGTTTTTATTAGTACTTACATTTTTATTTATTTAACCTCGAAATGGCTTTAAAATTATTTGCTTATTAAATTAATATTAGAAGATTTATTAATTTTTCGCATTCTTATAAAAAGGATCGTAGAGTTTACCTATTCCAGAGCCATTGTTTTAAACGTTTCTCGAAAAAAGGAAGTCTTACATGGTAACGTAATAGCAAAACACAAGGCCATTCCAAGAACGAACACGTTATCAATTCTATTTAGATCAAGTTGCAAAGATGATCTCGAGGACGCGCGATTTTTCAATAAGATAGGAAAAAAGAAGTAACACGAGCGCCTTGATGAACGTCTCGGACGTGACAATAGCATTTACGAACTATTGAGCGTAAAGGATAATTATTTTGTAGGTTGGCTTACATTACCGCTAAAAAAAAAAAAAAAAAAAAAAAAAAAAAAAACAGGAAAAGCAAGAATTCTATTTTATATTAAATGTGAAAGTGAAATTTTCACTTTCCTAAATTCATAAAAAGGACCGTTTATAACTACCAAATGTGCGATACTAAAAATGCAATTTCGTGGTAACCACCTTTTCATCTTGTCAGACGATGTTTTCACGCAATTAGATCGACTGAAAAGTATGTCAACTTGGCGAGGGGCGATGTACAATGTGTTGGTCCTTCCAAGCATTGGTGAAGGATGTCTATCAACCGACTGGGGATGGACACCAACATGGCATCCTTTTAACTCGCTTGCATAGGATCTTTACGTGCTAACAGTTGACTGTTGTCTTTAGTGCGCGCGAACGCGATGACAGATAATTTTAAATGACTGTTTTATCATATCCTGAGGGAGATTTATTTCATACGACTTAGTTGGGGAATAAAGTTGAGCACAACTTACGGAAGTTTAGTCCTATTCATTTTCTGCTAAACATTCTGAAAATTTTTTATTTTAGTTTTATTTATATATATATATTTTTTTTTGTTACGAAAGTAGTTTTTGTGATGTAATAATAAGTTGGATAAATATGAGTCCTTAAGTAAAAGAAAGTTTTAATAATTAAATGTTTCTTAAAACACACGAAATCTATAAATGGAACAATTATTTTATGTTTTTATTAGTACTTACATTTTTATTTATTTAACCTCGAAATGGCTTTAAAATTATTTGCTTATTAAATTAATATTAGAAGATTTATTAATTTTTCGCATTCTTATAAAAAGGATCGTAGAGTTTACCTATTCCAGAGCCATTGTTTTAAACGTTTCTCGAAAAAAGGAAGTCTTACATGGTAACGTAATAGCAAAACACAAGGCCATTCCAAGAACGAACACGTTATCAATTCTATTTAGATCAAGTTGCAAAGATGATCTCGAGGACGCGCGATTTTTCAATAAGATAGGAAAAAAGAAGTAACACGAGCGCCTTGATGAACGTCTCGGACGTGACAATAGCATTTACGAACTATTGAGCGTAAAGGATAATTATTTTGTAGGTTGGCTTACATTACCGCTCAAAAGTTTACTGTGACTTCGAATGTTCGCGTTTTCTGAAAGAAAAGAAAATAGGAACATAATGTAGTATATTATTTCTTGCCTTTAGTAAACTTGTTACAGATATTTTCTATTGTAGTGTCACGTCCATCTTTTATATTTATAATCATTGTATTCGTTTAGATCATTCTCTCAGTGCAGAACCTCCTGATTGAAAATTATTGGAATTATTTCTGCAAGTTATAATACTGTACTTTCTTCTTAGATAATTAACCTTTTGTGATTTTTTTGGATATAAAATTAATAAAGAATAAATAATATTGCATCGTAAATCGAATTGTCGAAATATTTTAAATAAATATAAATGTAATAATCGTAACCTAACCTCTTTGTTGCGTTTCTATGTATACTAATATAATATATATATACAGCTTGAAATATTAATTCATATATACTTCCAACAATTGAAAGGTTCCAATTCTTTTTCAGTTGTATAAATCAACTTTTGAGCGTCAGTGTAAGTAGAAATGTTTCGTTACCAACATAATTGCATAAAACACGTCATCGATATTAAACAATACACGCGATCACTTATTGTTATAACTCGTAACTTCCAGATCTACATAAAAAAGAAAATGATAAGAAGAAATTGTGTAAACTTCGAAATGAACTTTGCTCTTTGTTAATATTTAATGTAAACCATTAAATTTATTTAGAATTTCGCTTGTCTTACTTTTTTTTCCTTTTTTAATGACAGTGAAGTTTGATTACTCACTAACCTTTATTTAAATCTTATATACTAGTAATTATTGAATATTTCGTAAGATATTTTGTAGTTTAAAATTTAATTGTTTTAAACGAATTAAATTATAATATAATGTTATTAATTTAAGATTGTCATATACATACGTATAATTGTTTTAAAAAATGTGATTTGTCATTTTTAAACATGCAATTTTTTGCAATTTATCATTTAAAAAGGTACAGTTCTTTGCGATTTACTATCTTAAAGTACGTATATACTTTTCATCTAATCAATTACTTTAATGAATGCAATTTTTTCAACCTTTTTTATGAAAAGTTTTTAATGTTTTTTTTTTTACGGAATATTTCACAAGAATTTCGTTTCTTTTTCATGAAAATTCTTCATTCGTTTCTATGAAATCTCATTTGTCATAAAAATTGGTCTTGATCTACTTCTATAGAATCTTAGGTATATTTTCTGCTAAAAGAAACTTTTGAGAGATCGACGTATAGAAGATTAATTTTACTCAAAGGAAGATTGTTTGATTCTTTAATGAAAAAATTTTATTTTTTAATAAAAAATGAGAAAGAAATAAGAAAATCTATATTTAAGTCAATTGCTTGCTCCATCGTCACTTGTGCGTAGTTAATATAATCGTATCTTATGGCAATAATTCACTCATGTTGCATAGTTGAAAAATGTATACAACAATTATCTGTATGATAGAAGTCCTGTTGTTGATTGCGACGTGCAAATGTTTGCAAAACTGACGTAGTCGCGGTTAAGCAACATTTATTCGCGTTATCGTGTAAATATTACCTTCGACAGTCAAACACCAAAACGAGTATCATGAAATTTTTATGAAACACGTGAAACAGACCTAATCTATAGGATGTAATTCAACAGAAGGGGCGTACATGAAACTACATCGACACTTGTCACACGATAGTAGGTCAGCGTTGTTTACTTTATATTAAAAACGTTATAGCAGATGACAGTGATTACGAACAGGGATAATTTTCCAAATTACATATGATTCTATCTAATTAACAATACATTCGCAATTGTTTCAGGTGAATTATTCTCGCCGGTGCTAATAATATAACATCACACATGCACAAGCAAGTTAGAATTATAATTGCATTAATAAATAAATAAAAATTAAAATTGGGTCATTGCAATTACCATGCGCTTTTTAATTGTTAATTATTTTCTATCCTTTTTGTTAGAGAAATAATTAAATAATTACATCATATAATTAGAATTTTTTAAATAATTACTTTTAATTAATTTATTAGCTTACAAATGCGGAATGTGAAATGTAAATGTGATCGATTTCAGAATTAGATAAAAAAATTTGTTTTCTTCATTTATGTTATAGAAATGTCGAAGAAGAATAGAAAACGGAAGTTGGAGGAGGAGGAGCAGTCGATGCTCGACTGGGAACAGGAAAACATTTTTCCGGAAGAAATAAGAAATGAGATGGAATCCATGTGGGAGGTATATATTTTCGTTATTTTAATAATTATCACTTTTATATCTCTTCTGTTTTTAGATTCCACAGATATTTCATTTTCTTCACCTGGCCAAGGAGGCCCTAAATATACCTCATTTGTCTATGTATGAGATGGAACGAATGTTTTTGATACCAAGAGCTTCTAAGCAATTGGCAAATATCATGACGTCTTTGCTAAGGTAAAGTAGTATACGACTAAATATTTAGATATTAAAAATAAAACAAGTTGCTCCTTCAAAGTAGTGAAACTAGCGAAATTGTTAATTTTAGTTCTCCCATGACCAAAGCAAAGTTAAGAAAAATACCACCAATGCCATATGAATTCTGGACAAACATTCTCGCTTATAAAATGAAAAGCTGGTTTAAAATTTACGAAGCTAAACATCAAAATCCCGTAAAAGTAAGCGTTTGTCGTTTTTGTGCATAATGATGGTAATGTTGCTTTAGTGTCACATTTTTTTTTACAAAATAGTACACACAAGTTGTTTAACTATTATTATTCGTCCAATTAAAATACTATTATACACATTTTTCACTACAATGATTCGGAATGTGATCAAAGATTTTTAGGTTCTAGAAACTATTGGTGTGGAACCTGAATTCTGGAATGTTTTTCCTGATGCTCCTCTGTTAAATGGCAAGGATTTTGAAGAGTTGACCTTCAAACAAAAAGTCTGGCTTTTGAAAACAGTCTGTGATACAGTCATGGTACGAAGAAATAAAAGAAACGAAAAAAATATTAATTTACAACATCCTATTTATCGTGAAAGTCGAATTTTAAGAATTAAAAATGCTTTTTTCTTTTTTGCATACAATAAATTTCGATTTCGTAATTTTGATTGAAAATTTCAAAAATGAAACAGTAATAATTTTGTTTCTATAAAGTCAAATATAATTTGGTTAATAATTTTTTGTATTACTGCTATAAAATATAATCTTTAGCATACTAGAAAAACCGTGCAGGAGGAAATAGCCAAGCAACCATGGGAAGATCAATTTGAAACCATTCTGGGCACCGACCGCTATGGAGCAAAATATATTTACTTCCCACAGTTTCTTAAGAGTGATTTGAGAATTTATAGACATTGTCTTGATAATAAAATTTTGTCAACGGTGAAGGTATCTAATTACTAACAATGAGTTATTCACGTTTTTCCTTAGTGTATTATCTGTTGTCTTATTAATATTATTCATATCTTAGCCAATCAAACCGAAATTAAAGGTAGAGTCAGAAAACAAAGTATTGGATCAAAGCGATTCACTGAAAAAGCAAATTAAGCATAGAAGGAAAAAAAGACGATGGCGTAATGGATTACCTCCGCGATCAAAAAAAAAGACAAGTAAATGTGATGAAAAACATCTGAATGATTGCAAATTCAATAGCGATAGTGCAACAGGCTCCTTGATAAATGAGGATACAAATTTTAGTAGTACAAGCAACTGTAGTAATAACAATAATAGCAGTAATAATAATAATAATAATTATCATAATAATAATAATAATGAAAACAACATTAACTTAGATACAACCAACGTCAAAAGATCAAGAAGTCCGTCAAAATGTTCGGAAATAAGCACTGCATCCGATAAGGCATGTAAAAGTACAAAATCAAGTGGCTACGATACGAATAATTCCATTCACCTCATTTCCGGTAAGAGATCGTCTCAAAGAATGTTCAAAGGATTTTCCAGCACTAATAGTAATGATAAGTATAATTTAGAAATAATCAGCGGGATTTTGAGCGATTTGAAATCAGAAACTGGTGAAGAAAAAAGTACAGAGGATATCGACATATCTTTAGCACACGTTTCTCAAAATAAATTAGAATTAAATCCAACGAAACACCAATATTTAGATACAGTGGATGTACATGTAAATAGCAGTGATTCTATCGATAGAACCACTGATACTTTATCTAATACCTCAAAAACAGATGATGAAAAGCTAAATGAAATTATCAGTGCAGAAAATTTTAAATTCAGCGATAAAAGTTCAGATAACACGCATAATGTTAGAGAAACGCAACAAGTAACGGTCGCATCGAAATCTGATGATGAAAAATTAAATGAGACGAGAACTAATGTTCATAGACAAGAAGATAATGCTAGTTTTTCTGAAGAAAAAGAAAACTGTAAAGTTTTCAGACGGAATGGAAAGTTTGCTAAAAGACCAAAATCGGATAATGAACAGTCGGACCAAACAAGTAAATTAAATGAAATACAATCTTCTGATGACAAGGATCTTTCTCTGAGCGAGCTAAGAAGCATGTTACAGAAGGAAGCAATGGAAAATGATTTCTCTTTCGATGAAGATAGTGAAATTAAATATAATCTTAGAAAGCTAAAAAGTGACAAAATAGATGAATGGAAACAGGAAGTAGAAGATTTTAATGCGATGCTTTCGGATCTCAGCGTTTCAAAATTTCAACTTGTAGCTGACACCGTTAATTCATTGAGAGATCTCATTTCTACTTTTTCACAAAAAAATAGTACTCCAACTGCTGATACTGAGGGTGAAGTATGTAATCATTTTATTTTATTTAACATTTTTTTTTTATAATTTCTTTTAAAAATTTGTATATTTTTTTAGACTGAATTTATTCCTCCGTGTGAAGTAAAATTAGTCATAAGAATGACGGAATTACTTTCCACTTTAGAAGAAATGGAATCAGCGCTACGAGACTCGATGAAAAAAGCCAGAGGAAAGCTCCAAAAAGAATGGACCAATTTTAAAGAAGGGTATATATATTTTGTATTAAATCATACAGCATCATAAACACTAATACATCTCATCATATTTAACTTGGGAATAATAATAATTTTTACAATATAGAAGAATATATATGTGTGTGTATATGTATATATTTATATGCTCATTTGATTTTTACAATTTTTTTATTCATTATTCCTAAATTAAATGTTCATCCTACCTGAAACCTCTTGAACTTGCTACAATCTGTACATGATCTATAAAGTGGAATTCATCCACATTCTTTCAGTAACTTTCTTTGTCGAACGTGTATGGCAGACAAACTGCTGTATGTTGTAGCAGTGCGGAGGATCAGGACTCATCTGGGGAGGGTCTTGGCTCTAATTGGTGGGTTCTTGGATCGCAGGGCTATCAATTGCCAACTTCCGGAGACACAACGTTACAAACGTTACCGCAATCTACCATATCCTCAACTGGCTCCCAAAATATCTGCAATAAAGACGAGAAGGAACCCGTTAACTATGCGGAACACAGTAAAAATATCGATCAACAGTGCAGAAAATCTCAAAATGAAAGTTCACAAGACGAAGCGCAAGGAGGACAATCTAAAAGAGACGAAAGCATCGGTCAAGAGAATGCAAGAATTGAAGAAGAGACAAAAAAAGACTCAAATGCAGAAGGTAAAAATAAGAAACAACGAAATGACAATCAGATATTTTTATTTTACTCATATTGATACAAAGATTTTTTTTCATTATAAAAACAGAACAACAAACGCGAAGAGTATTACGGGCACGCGGCATTTCTTCGTACACAGAACAATTTTATTCAGACGACGAGATCGAAGAGAACGAGTTGGAGGAATGGACCGACGTTGAGGCCGTGTACGCGGCTCCCAGCACACAGAGCAATTCATCCACTTCTTACTTTACTCCGAAAATCAGACACGGTGACGATCGGACAAACGAGGAGGACTCAGACCAAGATTGGATTCTACCAAGCTCTCGCAAAAGGAAGAATAAACGTCCGTGTGAGTATACCTGTATAAAGTCATTGTAATTATCATTTTATTACTAGAATACACGAAATTAAACATTTTTATTCATATAAAGTATTGAAATAGGAAAACAAAATTATGATATAAAATCATTATAATACAAGTTGTACTTTTGTAGCTGCCAATCGAAGATTAAAATCTTTTCAACATAAACTACAAAATATCAAAGTTGATACTTTCCAAGATGCGGCAGAATCGAAACTATCTCCTTCCAAAGCAAACAATGAACAAGATAATTCCAGACTCAAAGAAATCCAAATATCTAAACCAAAGAAGCCGAGTAACTCAGAACCTTCTAACAACAATAGTATAGTAGAGAACCAAGAGGCTGTAGTAGAAAATAACCTTATAGAAACAGTGCCTTCTATGGAGATAAACTGCAAAGTAGAAAATGTTGCAAGTGTGCATTCAGAGTTGGACATCAAAGATGAAGGCCCAATCTATGATTCTACACTGAATCAGTTTGATAATAGTTACACCACAAATCTTAACTCTAATTATGTGATGCTCAAAACTGAACACAATCCGATGAATTATTATGTAATGCAGTCAAATCCTACAGCCGTCGTTCCACAAAATACAATCGTACAATCTGGTCCGATAGTCTCAAGTATCATACCCCCAATCCAGCAGGGTTATTATGTACAAGGTGGACAAAATTACATTATTCAGAATTCACAATCCAATTTCTTACCTCCTCAACCATTTCCGGCTCAAGGACCACAAATGATAGCGCCTCAACAATTTGTCAGCCATTCTGGTTATGTACCTTACATGGTAACGGCGACTCAACCTCAACCTGGATATATAACTACCGATCCAGGAATCATTTCTCAAGAAATACCCCAAAATCCTTCGTTTTCAATTCATCCTAATTCCACAACACTAACTAGACCTCCGCAAAACAGATATTTTATGTCGAGACAAAACTATCCACATCCTAATGGGGCAGTTATAAGAAGTAGTATGCCCATAAGAGGAAATACTTCGCGGACTGATAATGCTAGAGTTGCGAAAAACGTTCAACAGCAACGCAATACTTCTGTTAGAATGCAAAAACCAAGAAAACCAAGTACACCTCCAGAAAGCATTGTTCAGAAGACAACTTCTTTAATCGTTCTCAGTGACAGTGATGATGAAATTGAGATGATTATTACAGAAAAAAACAATTCTGAGGCTGAAGTGGACAAAACAAAATCTACATCTAAAAGAAATACCACACAACCTAAGCAAAAACCTATGGTCACATCAAATGTTACGGTGAGTCCAAACAAAGGTACCATCCCTCCACAAATAATTCAACGCATGAATCAAGGAGGGATTTCTATAACACCAGTTAAAACTACACCACCTGTTCAAAACAGTAACACGCAACTGGTGGTAGTTGTAAATGAAACTGGAAGCCATTATGCCTTAGCATTGCCAAATGGAAGCAAATTGATTCTCACTCCTGAACAGGTAGCTCAGATTCGAGCTTCTAATGGTGGAAAGCTCATTTTATAAAATGTTATTTTAATTTTAACTAAAGATCTTATCCAAGAATGAATATGGTATACTCAAGTAGTGCACTTTGATCTCTGGTTCACGTACAATATACTTTTAAAGTTAATGTTCCTACAGTGTACAATAGAGATCTGTACAGTAATTCTTGGAACATTCTAAATCTATTTATACGGAAATATTAAAAAAGACGTATTATTTAAAAATAACAAAGCCATCTGTATCTTAAATATTACATCACTGAATGAATTTATCTTTAAATCATTTCCCCTTGTACTTATTAAAATTTTGTGCGTTTCCCCTAAAAAAAAAAAGAAAAAAAAAAAAGTGGTATAACTACTAGATGTTTTAGTACACTTAATATATTAAACACATTTGAATGTTTCACTTCCGCTTACAAGTTAGAGTGATACTTGGGACCTGTGATGTCTATATCGATTTTTATATATTTTTGTTACATCATGTTAAAGCATGATATCGAATATATCGAATATTCTGACAAGATATTAATTTTTGTCGAGTTTAAAACAAGCTGAAAGCACTTGTAATTTATAAGCATCACTTTATAAGATAAGAATATTATATCTTGTATAATTTATAAAAATATAGCATATTTTATACGATTTCACCTGTAAATTATATTTACAAGTTGATTATTTTCATTATGACTCGAATTTTAATCAAATTTTACGATGATTCACGTAAGAATTGTGGAAAAATGTTATTGGTTACAGAATAAATTGTGGAAGGGTATTTTATATATTGTCCAACTTCGAATGCTATCGTGAAGTGAATATATATTATTACTGGACAGTACGCATTTTTTAGGTCAGTAATATAATATGTAAATAACATACATATATATAATTTATAAGGTTATAATTTGTAATTTAAATTATAAAAAATTTTGGTGTCGAACAATCATCATATATTCTGTAAATTTTAGTATCTGAAATTTTTGTAATGTGGCTCATTTAAAGCCAATAAACTCGAATATATAAAACATACAATGTTAAAAGGTTAGTAAATATTGTAGAAATCATTAAAAATATGTGCAACTCATTTGCAATAAATAAAAAGTTAAAATAATTATATAATTTAAATTATTATATAAATAAATGCAAATGAGTTATATCAAATATTTAAAAATTGCATTTTCGTTATTCAAGATATATTTACGAATGATCAACTTAGCGATAATTTTTAATATAAAAATGGAACACAGTAATAATGTTCTCTAACGTTTAACGTTGAATTCATAAATCATTAATATTATTTTATATACAGGATGTGCCATTTGAAGTTTCGTACTTAATTACTTATTAAACTATAGCTCGCTTCAAGCAATATTTCAAATAAAACTTACCGTTTCGAAGGAGACATCAAGTATTAAATGATCTTGAACAACTTTCAAAAACCGAAGTATTATAGATCAATGAATTCACCCTGAAATGTACTATTCAATTATATAAAAAAAAACATATAGTTCCAATACAAAAAAAACAAGGTCACCTTGAAATTTCGGAAACATGTCCACCTGACAAAAATTTATGACCATTATACAATATCCTCCTCGAAACAGAGTAAGTTTCATTCGAAACATTTTCTGAAACTTCAAATGGTATTTGAAGGCCCTATATACGTTTTTATCGTAAGAGTAATTTCAATGAAAATTCCTCGTACGAGAATAGTAACATATTTTTCTTTAATTTTCTTTTTTTTCTTTAATAAAGTACACGAGGAAAACGCTTTTAACAAATATTATATGAAAAATTATATCGTTTTTTAAGTTAAATTATATTTAAAACAAATTACTATTACTACAGATTAAAGTAATAAACTTAAAAAAAAGAAATTTAATAACAAACATCTTTTATTTTATATGTAATAATTTACAAAGATGCAAATGGTATTTATTGGTATATATTATTTTCTTGCTTCACAATCTGTTATGCTTATATTACAAATATATGATACAAATATGCTAAATAGCTTTGTACACTTTACAATGAATAGGAACGTTAAACATTTTAATTAATAAGAAGCATACTTTCTTTTTAAATATGAATTACAAAATAACTTGAATTATTTACAGTTGACATTATTAATCAATTTACAATTAATATTATATAGAATTTATCATTTATAGAAAATCAATTGAAAAGAATACCAAAGGAAAAGATTGGGAAATTAAATTTCTAATAAAATAATCCCTGCTAAAAAAAAGTAGCTAAAGCAATATAACATAAAAAATTATTAGGGTAGTATTAGAATATTTGCCAAAAGTTGTGCTAAGAAAGTACCACAAAAAATTAATTACTATCTTTGATTTGATTTCTTTTTTTGTGCATATCTTTATCAAAAGCTAGGAACCTCGATAAACGTGAACCATTATATGGTGTATCACTTCCTGGTGGATGTAGTCGCATCTAAAACAGAGATACATTGATGAAACTAATACATGTATAGAAAAAAAGATTCAAGATTTTTAAGTTTATGATACAGATCATTTTTTGTTTAATTTGTTCAAACATCATGAATGAAATATTACCTACCACAATTTATATGTTTGATGTAGTCTTCAGGTTCAATTCATGATGAATTCAAAAATGAATCAGTACTTTAGTAAATAACTTTAGTTATTTAATCAGTTATATTTTTTCATAAATAGAGATAAACTTAATTTCATTATATATTTTCAAAAAGTATTACGTTCAAAATTTATATTATCAAAATCATAAAATAGTACAAGTAAGATTCTTTTTATTTAATTGAACAATTAAGAAACTTTTAATTGTGGTCATAATTACAATTTATTTTGTATTATAAAATATTCGTCGGATACTTTAAACGTGCACAAATCCATTAAACAGAACAACAAATGATGCAAAGTTAGTGTGCAATCGGTTATCAAAAAACCAGCTGTTGAAGCTATAATTGAAAAATTAATGATCAATTTACCCAACTCCATTGTTTGTTAGTTTTATTAATGTTATTGTTAAAAAAAAATATATATAAATTTCGGCCACCAAGCTCTAGGAAACTACAGAGCACCGATAAAGTTTGAACCTTATAATACTAAAAAAAAGAGAGAAAAAAATTAAGTAAAAACGAAATATGAATCAATTCATGGTTCATTACATCATTTCATGAGATCAGTGAATGATAATGAAAATAAAAAAAAATTATAAAAGAGTTTATAAACATTTTAACACTGACACATGCTATAACGTTTAAAAAAAAAAAAAAATGTTAATGTGAATAGCCTAACTACTTAGTTTGTCTTTTTTTAACTAATCGTATCTATAAGTTATGTAATCAGCCGTTTAAATTTCGGGAAAAATGCTTTGTAATTATAAGACTGGAGGTTGCAAGCTTGAGCATTAGTGGAGGACCCGGCATGACCATTTGCAAAATTGCACGCGTTGCTCGGCCGTGCAGCACCAATTTCTCATTTATTTCTTGATGAAGTCTTCCACGATGTTTTCATCTGCTTCTGCTTTGTTTCTGAATCGTTTCTGTAAGAAAACAAAACCGACACCAGTCGCGTTACACGTAATGAACATGGTGTTACGTTGATGATGGTTGGATGATGCGTGCATCACTAGTAAAACTTAGTTTAGCTTATTTCTTCCATGTAATTCATTGATGTTCAATTGGAATTTGTATTTTCTTTCATAAATGTTCTTGTGTTTTAATACATTAACAATTTTAGAATGTTTCTCTTCAAACGAATTTTCCAATCAGGCACACGATTACAGAAATTAATATACATGTATAATTACTTTTTCATTTTCCAATTGAACTTCGTTACAAGAAAGTTTAATCGCATTAACGTAAAACGCATGAAATGCAGCTGAAGCGCATAAGCTCCTTCTTAACAATTGAGACAAAGTATTGCGTTTCTGTCTTATTCATCTGATCCGTTCCAACTCGTTGCATCTGAGTACACCTCATTTTCTATTTGTACGCGTTCGAAGATTTCCCGAGGTTCAACCGCTTTCGGTGAGAAATTTCGAGGCCTGTGACCTCACCGATGACTCACCATGATTCTGTACTTCTCTTTGCACGCATACTCGGTCTCATCCACATCGTTATAGCAATCGCTCTTGTAATCGGGTGGGATCGGTTTCCCCTCGAATTGGCAGAGCCTTGACAACGGTTTCGCGTTCACGATCATCTTCTCAAAGCCAGTCGGTTTCTGTTGCGGACAATAGAACACATTTGGAGTGTTCTTATCGAAAACGATACTCTTACGCATCATATCACCAGCCTGCGCCGTCAGAAGAAGTGCCTGGTGAAAGAAATTTATTTATTAAGAATAAACTATTTTTAATTAAGAATATATTTAATAACTATAAAGTTGTTTAACCTTAAATTTCATGGATGGAAATGGTATTTTTCCTGATATATCTTACATAATGCATAAATGACTAAATATTTCTGCTTTGCTTTACAGGTGAAATAGAATCTTTTTCTTTTAAAAACTTGATATAATTTGTGTCAATCGCCCTCGTTTAAGATGATTCATACGTTATTAACTTCACTTTCCATTCGTGAAAGGGTCGATATTCTTTGACTGCAGGTTCTCAAGTTTTACGCAAGAAAGCAAAGTGCGCAGTTTACGTGCGATTTCTTCTAGTGATCCGTGTCATAACGGAAACAACGAAAAAAAAGAATGTTCAAACGGAAAGATGCAAATATAACACGAAAGAATTGAGCCAATGAATTCGGGCATCATAGTCTGAAGATCGATTTTCGTTCCCACGACGAACGATTTCTCCAGTTGATTGATTCATCAGAAACGAATTACAATGCGCCTGCGATCACTTCCGGAAGTATGAAAAGCAAGAAACGTAAGAAAGCGTGATCAGGCTGAAATACTTACAACGAGCATAGCTACCACACTGCAGGTATATACGGTTCCTGAAAAAAAGAAAGAAGATAAATATATAATCCTCGAAGGAAGGAAAAGATAAAAAATAATACATGCTCCCTGCAAAAAAAGAAGAAAATTAAAAAGATATAGTAGTAGAATAATAAAATAAAAATATTTAAAAAATAAGGAAATAAAATATGAAAATAATTAAAAGATGAGGTATATTATTTTTGAAGAAAAGAAGAGAAGAATAGAATATCATACACGATTTCTGATGAAATAAAGAAATGAGAAAGTGATCGATTTTGTTGTTAGGAGATTAAGTGTACTGTTGAGACAGAGCAAAATACTTCATTCTGAACATGGAAGCTTACGCAAGATGGCTTGTGGACATGCCCCATTATTAAGTAAACGTAAACTGTGAAAACTGGGCCGCTAAGAAAAGGAGTCAATGCCGTGCATTTACACATGACATACAGTTCCTTTTTCAATTGATTTCGCGTACGATATAGCCATTCAACTTCACTGATATTACTGACAGAGGTTATAGGAAGTGTTAAGTCAGCTGATGATTAACACCGCTATATTTAAAATAAAAAATTAATATTACAAATCGATCGACAGAAATCATAATAATGGGTTTTTAATGAATTCCCAAATAGTTAAAAATAGAAATGAACGAAAATATTCGTGAAAGGAAAGAGTTAAGTCGAAACAAATATAGAAAGAGAAAAGGACAACCCTGAATGCAACCGAATAAGGAAAGAGCGATACAAAGAGAAATAAAAATTTTTCTCAATTCAATGAATACCGAAAACTTAAAAGAAAGACTGAAATAAATATAATCTGCTCATTCCCCGAATATTTCGGAAAAAAGAAATTACAAAGAAGCAAGGACACTTAATTTTAACACTAGAATTGTCAACTTGTAATATATATTTAAGTATAGTATATGTAGATAACACAACACTAATTAAAATCGTATAATAAAAAATAAATATATAAAACAATCAAGTTTCTGTCTAAGTAAAAATCAATATTAATTTCGTCAAAACCTATATGTTTTAATAATTGTAAAATTAAATTTTATTCTCATCATCTTAATCGCTTTTGACTAGTGTGGTAATTCTAGTATTATTAGAGAAATAATGTCGAACGAGTAAATTGATATTTACAACTACCATGGTAATATAAGTCAAGGGAAATTATTACAATTCCCTTGAACTGATCATTGGTTTGAATTTATCTAACTGTATGTGGTGAGTGGGAGGATACAGTCAGCCAGACATTATTTTTATTCATCAGATCTATTATCGATCCTAAACAGCGCTCAAGCGCGTCTTCTGCAAGGACGGCGAGGTCGGTGTGGTTCCGCGTGGTGTATTCGATCAGGCTACTTCTGTTTCAGGATACCAATCTCGTTGAACCGATACCCTTCTGACATTTCGTTGACACGACACGATACGATACTTACAGATAGAAGTAAGAATAATCAATTAGTATTACTTCCTTTTAATCAATTTCACAAATCGTAAGATACTTAAAAGAATCAACAAAAATTGGATTATCTATGTTAACGAAAATAATCTTGGTTAAAAATTAAATATTTTATTGAATATTATACTAGGAATATATTATTGAATTTGTAAAAGATATATATGTAAGTATATTTTTATTACAGGTATATTTAATGATTAATTAATAATAAAGGAAAATCAATCATTGCACATAAATAAAAGGACATTATTCTGAAAGTACAAAATAATTATAACCTGAAAGAACAACTTTAAAGAAATCTAACAATTAAAATTGAACGATTAATTTCTATTTTCAATGATAAACAATTTCATTGTTTCTCCATACAAAATAATGCAGAAAGTAGCGAATTGCGAACTTCAAGGCGTACAGAAAGATACATTATTACGTGACATTTCCTACTCGACATTTGTATGCGACATTTAAGGTATAGTTCTTTCACGGTGATAAACATAAAATCATTACTAAATTGTTCTTTTATTGTATAGAATAATATTTACTTTTAACTGATTTTTTATTATTTTAAATATCGCTTACATTCGATAAAAATCTAAAATTTACAACGATATATACTTTTAAAATGCCAATAATAACAATAATTGTAAAAACTTTTACTGAATTTAAATTACGTATCAAATTCTTTTAAGAAGCAGGTACTATAACATGAGAAATGATGCGAATAGACAATCTTTCAGTTGTTTTAAGTCCAACTATACAATCATAAATATCTATTACAGTTCTAATCATTATTGAATTGGAGTACTTTTCCGTACAAAGAAAGATCATACGATCGATGAGAAACTTAATATTCAAATCTTTGAATTTTATCAGCAAAATAACACAAGCGCAGCACCTAACATACTTGTATGTCTCATTCCGCATACCTAAAGGAAGACGCAAGATATTATTGCATGGATTTTACCTTTAATTCTTTGCTTTCACTGCCGAAACAGGCCTCAACATATTTTAACATTTTAGCATTGAATACAGCAAACATACTTAAATTTATTCGTTTCGGATAAGTTAGCATGAACAAGACTGAAACTTACCCATGCTGGTGAACGCGTTTTGCACGGGTAAGAGCACCTGTTGACCCACGCGAGACGGCGTCTCTTCGTTAACTAAGGCTGCAGCGGATTTGCGCTCCTCGCAGGCCCAGAAAGTGAGTGCCGTTATGTTATACAGGATGTACCAAAAGCATTGGACTAACAGTATTCGTACAATTGTGTAACTAAGCCTTTCACAGGAAAAGTCAACGAATAGTATATTTTAAATAAAAATATTTCGAAAGAAATTTTAAAAAATAATATTTATTTTTTAAAGAAAATATAAATATTTTTTAGATAAAAATATGTAAAAAAATTTAATTGCTCTTTATATTCAATTGGATCTGTATTTGTACTTAATTGTGAATTTCGAGGAATGTAAAGAAAAGTAGAGTGGGTGTCAAGTAAGTAGATGACCTCGTCCTTCCCATATTCAGATTCGATAGTATCATCAATTGGTGGTGGGTTTCAAGAATCGGTTCTCTTCTAATTAGGAATATACAAGGAGTTTATTGCCACACAAAACTTTATTTCAGAATGCTTTCTGTATAACATTTAATCACGGCATGTATGTATATAAAATATATTATATATTCTTATACACAGTTTGCATGAAAAACGAGATACCTCGTATAAAAAGTAAATTATTGTCCAAAATATAATCTTATGAAACAGTTAATAGAGAAACTTATAATGCTGTAAACATATTGGAGAAATTATATGTTAGCAGCCTGAAATAAAAATAAAATATATTAAGTAAACACTTGAAATATGAACAAATACAGTAACATATATTTCTTATTTTTTGTTATACCAGCTCATCAAGGTCAATATCTGAGGTATCCATAGACAAAACTGATTCTTCCTTGTATGAATTATTATCATCATCAATTATGTCTTCTACTTTATTAGACTCGTTGGTATTTATATTATCATTGATTAATATATTGTCTTTTGTTTCACTAGATAAAATATATCACCATATCATTATTTCATAATCATTATTGTAAACATATATGTTATATTTATTATAATGTATAAAGAATTCTTACCTTCCTTTCGCCTTTGGCTCTATATTTTTTAATTGAAATAGTTGTGCAATTTTTTGCAGATGGAATTTACTTTTTTCTTTTATCATTGGAGCTTCCAAAATTTCATTTAAATAATTTTCCATAGGTGGTAATGGTTTATTTGGGTTAAGAGCACGATATGATAACATATGCCATCTATGCTGTACTGCAGGATTTGGCACACATCCAGGCAGAAAATGTTGGTTTCCATCTACCTCATAAGTGTCTCTGATGAAGATGTATAATGATATACTAAATATATAATTATCAATACATCAAACTATAAATAAACTTACCCTGAATCAGATAACATCAGAGAATCTATTAAATTATCTATAGCTTCATTTTGTTCACTTGACAATTGTTTAACTATGGACTTCATGGGTCTTGTCTCCATTACTCTTCGATCTTCTGCAAAAGCTAATTCTATTTCTATCAAACACTGTACATCAATACAAATAATATATTTTATACAGCAATATAAACATAAAAAGTAATACAATTAAAAAATATATTTTACTATACCCATGGTTCATCAGGTACATTAATGCAGGGAAACAATGCAACCATTCTAGGTATGCTATTATTTCTATGAACTTTTCTCACAATAGCAACTGAATTTGTTTCATGCATTGCTTGTACTAAACTATAAAATGGTTTTATTACATTCTAAAATACCAAAATAAATACATTACTTCCAAATTTTTTTATATAAATAAAGTAAATTTTATCATTGTAAATTAAAATTTACATCTATTCCACTTGCAGGTAAAATAACGTGAGTTGCACTTTTGTATAAATATTCTAAATCAATATTATTTCTGTCCGTAAAACCATAAATTCTATAACTTTGCACTCCACTTTTATAACTCATATCCTCTTCCAGTTTTTCTATATATACAGTAAGATAAATTTATATATATATAATTTATAATAACAAAAGTTTATGATATATTTACTTTCAACTGGAATAGAAGTTCCTCCATACTTGTATCCTTTTACAATCTCATCCTTTGTATAAAACGTTCTTTGTCTGTCTAAATATTCTGTTTTCCGCTCAAGCTTTTGATTTTTTTTGGCCTTTTGCCATGTTGGAAATTTTTCTTCAGCTATCTAATAGAAATTGCAATTAACCTACTCAATTTTATTACATAACACACAAATTGTATTCTGTTTCACATCTCCTTACTTTAACATAACTGGCAATTGGTATTTTTTTATCAACTAATTCTAGATTAAAATAAGAAGGACACGGTCTTGCTGGTGTTCTTAGATAAAATTTTAAACTTGTTAAAGCATTATCATATGTTGTATGTTGCCCATTAATCTAGAAAATAATATAAATTTAATAATGATACACAGCAATATACTATAAAAATATATATCATAATAATTAATAATATAATTAGTAATAAATGAAACCTTCTGATGAACATCTTTAAGAAGTACTTCACTAATTTTCAGAGAAGATGAAGACTTCCCATATAGTTCGTCCTCTGCTCTAAAATAATATAATTATGGTATTAAATTGTGTGTAGTAATTCAAACAATAAAATTAACTTATGCATTATACATTGTAATTAATTGAATCTGTTTTTCAGAAAGTTTATTTGCAATTGCATCTGCTTGAAATTGGGAAATAATATCTGCTTCTTCATTAAAATCAGACATTAAAATGATTCTTTTTGTCGAAATATCAACACTAAAATAAAAAATATATCATAATTAGTATTATAATAAGTATGAATTATAATAAATTATTATTTACAAATATAATTCTAATATATTTAAACTTACATATTTTGTGTCATAAATTCTACTGTAGCATAAAGTGCTTCAATCCAATTAGAACAATGTTTTGTAGGTTTTAAAATCATAAATTTCTTTATCAAATCCCAATTTGGAACCTGGAAATCCATAAATTCTTCTACATATTCTGTATTCAAACTATTTTTTGTAACCGATGAGCCCATCAATATTATTGCAACTTCATCTTTTGGTCTTAAAAAAATCTACAAAATAGCAAATCAAGATAAAGATAAATTAAAGTAAATAATATTAAATATAATTTTTTTAATACCATTTTCTCAATTTTTTGCTTTACAATATTTTTTGCTTTTTCCAATGAAGAAGGATTACATTCTATATTTGGACTTGTCATTCCAATATTTATTAACAGTACTAATGATTCCTTAAAATAACATTAACATATTACTCATATTATATTATACTTATTTTTATAATTATTGTATTTATTAGTATTTAAATATAAATAAAAAATATAAATATTTAGAATAAATTAAACAATAATGATTACTCTATGTAATAAATAATATCTTTTATTACTTCTTTACTTAGTATGTTAAAAATAATTGCAACATATAATTTTATAAAAACTACAAAGTATAACCTTTCTTGCTTTTGGAGGCATTTTGTACAATTGCAATTAATAATACTTGCACCCAAAGATATTAGCAAAACCAGAAATTATAATCGTTCCAGAAACAAAAAAAGAATAAATAACGTTTGTAAAGTTATGATTCTAAAATATATCTTATCAATCAGGAATACTCAAATTATTTGAATATAAAATTTCTTATGTACATCACATTAAACAATTACATCCATGAAACATATAATTCTACAAACGTAATGTCATTATACTTTATTGTATGTCACTGATATATATACAATAAATGTTATTAACTATGTTACTATTACTATTAGCATAAAAAATACACTATATATTAATCAATGACATATATTTCCGATTTTACAAATTATAATCCCCAAAATGTGAATTGCAATTTCAAAAATTTCTAATATACTGAATTATATATATTACGAATTTAAAAGAAAAATAGTCGTTGTTATTTTAAAATTGACTGATAGAGGATGCGAACTTGTCAAACAAAAAGCACTAGATTAGCGCGAAAATTTTATAATATTCAATTTCACGAAAAAGAGACTAAACTTTAAATAAAGGAAATATAATAGAATCTTTAGTGAAAAATACATTAAAAAAATACTAAAAAAATGAAATTTTGGACGTTTGTTGCAGTTATACTTGTAATATATATGTTCTACAAAGATCAAAAACGGAAAAAATTTTCAAAGCTTTCAACCCAAGTTAAACTGAACTAACATAGTCCTTCAAGGTGCGCGAATGTAGATTATCAGAAAAGACGCGCATTGCAGAATTTGTAACACTTGTAAGAATGAACTTTTTCTACGTGTTTATGTAAAATTAAGTGCAATTACTTCGTGTATCCAAAACATTTATATTTTGTGACTATATAAAAATAGAATTGTTTTTTAAATTGTATTTATTACGAACACGAGTAGCGGTGAATTTTCTGTTATATTTTAATACAAAAATTATTGCATTCATTTAGGTTATCCTTGTTAAGTGAGATGTTATTTATTTTTCGATTCTTTTCCGTAGATTAAACTGTTAATTTTACTTGATGTTAGTTTTCTCTCGTAGATTGTGTTATAATACCTTTTCAACAAGCAGTATAAAATGGAACTAGACCCTAATACTTGGCTAGTTGAATTAACTGAAGAAGATGATGCTCTTCTTAATGAAGCCATTTGTATGAGCACAAATGAATTAAACAAAATAGTACACACTAAAAACGAAGATAAAAAAAGCGAAAATCCTTTAGAAACTAAATTTTGTGAAACTAAGGCACATATCAATAATGATCAACAGAATAAGGAAGATATTAGTTCAAATGTAGAAATTGATAGTATATCTAAATTCAGAGAAAATCAAACAAATAATACAATTAGTGTAAAATATGAAGATAATGTAAAGAATAAACCAGATGATTTAAATAGTTTTCGCAAACGAGCTAGGGAAAATCAAGTAAACAATGAAGATGCAAAAGTTTCTCGGACTAGACGTTATAGTGATTCAAGTTCTACTACCAATTCTTCAGATAGTGGTAAAAGACGTGTTGAATATGAAACAGATCCCAGAGTATTAGCTCGTAGACAAAAAGAAATAGATTATGGAAAAAATACTATTGGTTATGATAGATATATCCAGATTGTGCCTAAGTAAGAATTTCATATATTAAGATATCATTGGAAATAGTTTGTTGAAAAATACTATATTACATATATTTATTTTAGAGAGAAACGTACAAGAGAACATCCAAAAACACCACCAAAGTATATTAAATATAGTAGAAGAGGATGGGATAGCTTAGTAAAGTTGTGGAGAAAACAACTTCATCAGTGGGATCCTCCACAAGATAGCAATAGTACTGATTGAAATAAACTTATGTTTACACTTTACTTTATTATGCAAATATGTCTTTATGCACATCATACTTTCATGATTTTTATATCTGTATAAAATTTCATAGAAATAACAAAACTAAATGAAATATAATGTGATTCTTGATACAATTTTGCATATGAATACTTACATGTATCTAAAATGTTTAATTACTATATAAACTGAAGAATAAAAATTAAATATAACCAATATATAAAATATATAAAACTTTACATTATTATATATGAAAGTTTTAGAACATGTAAATAGGTATTCAAGAAGCACTTAGTAATGGAATACTAAGAAAAGTATTATTTTAAAAACTTTTTACATATATAGAATAACATATATAATTAAATATATATTGTCATTATTTACAAATATAATTTTATGTTGTATAAAATGAAAATCACTTGGCACCACATTGAGTTCCTAATTGTCTTAAAATAGTATCAAGTTTCTGATTTATTTTTTGTTCCATTTCATCAATTCTTTTCATTAGTCTTGCCTCTATGTCTTCAAATTTTTTATCAATATATGTCACAACATCCACATTATTTGATACAGTATTTTCATCTGTTAACTTCGTCATTCCTTTTTCATTATTTTTTTGAATACTTTTATTTTTTGTTGAATTCAAGATATTCATATAACATGATTGAACATCATTTGTGGTATTGCTCCCTTCATTATTAAAAACTAGTTTAGTTAAAAAATTTGTCATTATTTCAGGATTAAAGATTTCTGTTGAAAAATTTTTAGGCTCGATAATTGACTCTGTGAGATACAGCTTTATACCATATATCCACATGACTGAATTTTTGCTTCTTGTTTTTGTAAACTGAAATGAATATTTTTAATTATAATTTTTTATGAATAAAAAATAAATTCTTCATACCTTAATGCTAGCTTCTGTAGCATGTGGAAGAATTGTTGTTTCTGCAAAGTAAACTGAATTATCCTCAAATTCATCTACAATTTCTGCAAACTTTGTTGTTTCATATTCTCCAAACTGTTTAAAAAACTCTAATACATAAGCTTCAGAAACTACAGCGATCTGAGAGATTCTTTGACCATTTGTTAATTTTATATCTAGCATACATGGTTCATTATTAGATTCTGTTGGTTGTACGGATATACATGTACTCAAAGAAACTATGTCTTCAAAGTTAGTTCTGTGAAAAAATTCATAAACAGTTTAAAATAATAAAGGAAAAATAAAATCAGATAATAAATTTAAATATTTCTATTATTTTTGTCTTCTAAAATATATAAATAGACAATATATGTGAAAAAATAAATACATATATACATAATTGCTGTAAAAAAAATTAATATATTTTTAGTATGTAGATACTTTGATTACTTCTTAAATTCTAAAGACGAAATTTTCACTGTGAATGTATCATGAAATTGTTTGTTATTGTTAATTTGCCAGTTGCATGAAACTTGTAAAAAATTTGTATCTAACGACATGGAAGATTCAGTAACTTGCTGATCTGAAAGTTCCATTATACGCAACTGACTAATAAATTCCTTCAACAGATTAATATATATTATCACCGGGACATAAGAATTTATGTTCGTTATTTTCGTAACGTCATTTCAAATTAGATTTAAAACTTATATTAATACATTTCATTTTCAAGAAGGTTATTAAACGTTCAACTTCATTTTAACAAAAGACTTTCTTTAAAAATCTTGTAATTAACAAGTAACGTATAAAAACTGTGCACATCCAGTTAGAAATAACTATTTATTTCATATTAACTAAACACTCAAAGTGATCGTATTTTGATACGTATTAGAACCAATATGACGTACAATGAGAACTACCAATTTACAATGGCGCGAAACATTTTATTATCCAAATAAGCAAATAAAGAACAAAATCAAAATACCAACATTTATAAATATACTTCGCTTAGTTAGTGATATCTAAAACAAAATTCTTCAGTTTATATAGTACCAATATGTAAACATAAATAATTAATAGTAAAATGTATTCATATAAAATCTTAAATGAAGTGTTCACTAGATTAAAAGATGTGACAAGTGGTGGGGGTTTTCAGTTGAAGCAGTTGTACAGAAATATTGAACAGAGCTCTCTGCTTACGAATCGTATTTTGTCTTTACGTGCAGTTAGTTCTTGCAATACAAAAATGTCAAAGTATACAATTGTTATGGTACGTCATGGAGAAAGCGAGTGGAATAAATTGAATTTATTTTGTGGATGGTACGACGCCAATTTATCCGACAAAGGTAAGTCATTTGTCAAGAATAAATTTTGAGGACAAATATCAAGGGCAAAAGGTCAAATGATTTTGGATATTATGAAGTGATTAAGTTTACTTGTTTTAAGGATTTAGATATATTAAATGTATATGAATAAATATGAATGTAAATTACTAAATTAATATGATTAATTATTTATTATTGTATATCTTCTTTATATATTTAAAATTATAGGTAAAGCAGAGGCACTTTCAGCTGGAAAAGCAATCAAGGATGCAGGTCTTACTTTTGATATTGCTCATACATCAGTGTTAACAAGAGCTCAAGAAACTTTGAAAGCAATTCTTAAAGAAATAGGTCAAGAAAACATTCCCATTTGTAAAACATGGCGCTTAAATGAACGCCATTATGGAGGTTTAACTGGCATGAATAAAGCTGAAACTGCTGCTAAATATGGTGAAGAGCAAGTACAAATTTGGAGAAGATCTTTTGATGTACCTCCACCACCTATGGAGTCAGATCATAAATATTATGAAACAATAGTAAAGGATCCAAGATATGCAGATGGTCCAAAACCAGAGGAATTTCCTAAATTTGAATCTTTAAAATTGACAATTGATAGAACATTACCATACTGGAATGATACTATTATCCCGCAGTTGAAGGAAGGGAAAAAAATTATTATTGCTGCTCATGGAAACAGTTTGCGTGGCGTAGTTAAACATTTGGATCGTCAGTTTTTATCTTTTTAAATTAATATATTTTGTTTATGTATTGTATTAACAATTTTATATTTTTTCAGAAATGAGCAATGATCAAATAATGGGTTTAAATTTGCCAACTGGTATTCCATTTATCTATGAATTGGATGAGAACTTTAAACCTGTTGTTTCTATGAAATTCTTAGGTGATGAAGAAACAGTAAAAGCTGCAATGGCTGCAGTTGCTGCACAAGGGAAAGCTAAATAAATTTTTTTAAATTTAACATAAAATTTCTGTATTACAAACAAACAAAAGTTATTAATTTCTAAAGATAATAGTCTTATAATTGAAAAATTATTTCATCATTAAACAGTACATTGAATGTATGTGCAGAAAATATTTATAGAAAAGAAAAACAGAGAAATGATATACAGATTTTATTTTTCAGTAATGTTTCAAGTTTCTACATTGTAATTTATTCACTTAATATTTATGAAAAATTATTATAAAATATAAGAGAAATATAAAATTATTAAAACATTAAATATAATTATTTTCCCTTAAAATTTTAACTGATATTAATACGAACTTTAAAAAATTGTTTTATTTCTTACAAAATAAAAATAAAATTTGAAGTGTAATGCTGAAGCCGTAAAAAAGTCAAAGCGCCATCTGTAACGAGTAGTAAATAAATAGAAAAATAGTAATTGCGTATTTAAAAGTTTGATGGTTTATGATATTTTTTCTGAACAGATAATCATGCTGAATCATTGATGAAATAGTACTTTATATCAAATGCCCACATAATTATCTTAAACTTTATCTTCTACAAACATTAGTCAGTGTTTATTTTTTTATACAAGAAGGTAATCATACTAACCTAAATGTGATAAAAAACGAGTGGTATTTAAATCATAGCATTTGTGCATTAAAAAAGTGTCATTATTTAAAAATGGATTACGTTGATATGAAAGTGGTTTTATTGGGTAGTTCAACTGTAGGCAAAACAAGTCTTCTTGAACGTTTCGTAAATGAAAGATTTAACGAAAGTCTATCTTACCAAAATGTAAGTACAATCATACAATAAAATATATCATGCATCAATTTATTTCTATTAGTACTTATCTAATAAAATAGTTCGAAATTGTTTTCTTAATATGATGCAATATCATGCATAGAACAAATCAAATAATTTTTATACTATATTGCTATAGAGGTATTAAATAATAAAGAATCATTATTTCTAAATTGTTTGTAAATTCTAAAATTTAAATTGAATTATATTAGGGATTACACTGATTTAGGGTATCTTGTTTCTCTTAGTCCGCGAAGTGGAAGGAATATTGTAAAATAAAATTATTAAGATTTCCACTGAGAATCATCTAAGAGGTGCATCACAAAATCATTTAACCCAGTTCCAATTTCCTTAGACTATAGGCGCTGCTTTTGCAGCTAAACAAATACAAGTCAATGGAAAGAGGCTTATCATGGGAATATGGGATACAGCAGGCAGTGAAAAGTAAGTGACTTTCAAAAATTATAAATTTAAAAATGTTTAATACCATAAATTATGTATTTTTAGATATGATGCGATGACTAGAATATATTACCGTGGTGCGAAAGCTGCTGTTATTTGTTATGATATCACAAAATCAAATACATTTCAAAAAGCAAAATTTTGGATAAAAGAGCTTAGAAATATTGAAGAAGAGTGTAAAATATATATTTGTGCTACAAAAAAAGATATCTTGCAATATAATGAAATTCCATTTCCTGATATAAGTGTTGTAGAAACATATGCTGCAAGCATTCAAGCTAAATTTTTTATAACATCTAGTAAAACTGGAGAAAATGTTGGTAAGAATCAATATTACATTTATGTTAATGTAATGATATTTAATATTTATTAAGCCATTTTTATAGGTGAGTTATTTAATGAAATTGCACAGGATTTTATGTCCGACCCAGATAATGTACAAAAAATCAAAGAGACAATTGAAATAAATACTGAACCCAAAGGAACACACTGTTGTCAATAAGTGTAACAATATCAGTATTAAAAATTACCATAATTTTCTTATCTATTATATTTTATGTTATTTGTACAAGTTAATACCATAATTGTAAATTGATATATAGCATACTGTAACTTGACACATTATATGTAAATGTGAGGGAATGTCTTGAATTTAAAGATTATTTTTAAATATACTTTATATTTTATATTTCTTTTGATGTGCTTTTTATTTATTTATTTTTTGTTTTCTCTTGAAACGTGTATGTCTACATTTAGTTAAATATATTACAAAACGAAAATATGTTTCCTAAATTGTAATATTTAACCATATACATTGAAAAACAAAATTTGCTGCAGGGAACTAGTACATTCTCCTAGTAACAATTATAATATAAAATGCAATTATCATTCATTTTATACTTTTTATAGCATAAGCAAATTCAGTGTGACTCAAATTCTAATTTTCTTTAACACCTGTAATAAAAGATATTATAATGAGTGAAATATAAATTAAACAAAAATTTTTAATATATTTGCTAATGTATTGTATTATTAATGAAAGATTAATGAGCATTGCTTACCTGCCATCAATCTTTCTTACTTTATACTTACTTTTCTTACGTTATACTTTAACTATATAACAATCATTTGACAAGATATTAATCATAATTTAAATTTGTAAACATATTTTTCATAACATTATGGTGGTAAAATCGAAATACAAATTTCCTTAACTTTATCATAAACACCAAAAAATATAAAACCGCTAATAGTAAAACCACCGACTCTTGGAAGAAAACCTGCAAATAACCTACAAATATTTATCGATTATTGTTTGTAGTACCAAAAAAGGTTGATAATTTGAAAACACGTTTGTTAGATACCCCTTAAGGCCATTTTCGCGATAAATTTTATTTAACATTATGGATATTTTTACTTCATCTTTTGCGACTGTCATATTTGATAGCATTATTCTAGTTTTTGCAACATCTAAAGGTGTTGTTAGTATTGCAGATATAGCAACTGTAAAAATTAATACTCATATAAAATATCTAAAATATAATAAAATATTTATACATTCTCATTACTTAATATTTTTATTTTTCTACCTGATATCGATCCGCATATAGCACTCTCTAGAGGCGTGCATTCACGTTTCACATGTCTTTTCCAATAGAGTTTAAAATATTCCCAGAGTGGCATCTGAATTAAGCCAAATGGTAAATCTCGTATTACAGTACTTCCATAACCACGATATAAAGTTCTTAGTGGTAATTTATGTGAATCGCTTAAAAGTGCTTGTCTTCTTTGCTTCACTACTTCTACTGGGACTCGAATAAAACATGCAGCCTATTATGAACATTTAAAAATTATTAAATAATACAAAGTTTGACTCTTTGTTTAGAAGAATAAAAAAATATAATTTATTTGATAACATGATAAAATAATAATCATATTTTGAGCTTTCTTCTTCTTATTATTATTTTACAGAATATTGACAAGATATAAATTACCATTTCTCCCAATGACGCGGCAGTCATATGTATAATTGAGTGATATTGATCTGGTATTCGAGGTTGAAATACTTCTTTTAAACCTTCATAAGTTATAAAAAATAGAGAAGCTGAAAAGAATGCTCTTATCATTGTAATGTTACTTTTATTTTTCATTATTATCGAAAAATAAATTTTCATCTTAAATTTACCCGATGGAGCGGATCCTATCATTACGGGACCTAAACCCTTGTACAATTGATTGAAACCACCAGATCTTAAGAAACCATGTTGACTTTGTAATCGCGTTTTAAGTGTATCCAAAGGATATGATATAAAATCGCATGTAGTTCCTGCGAGAGCACCTGACTATCGTAAATTTTTAATTATTTATCTCAGTAATAAATATATATATTTTTGTTAGAAGTTTATTTTTTATTTATGTTCTTTATTCGTTATTATTTTGTAATTATTCATTAAAAATATTAAACGTGTAGTTCTTTCTTAAAAAATATAGTTTTTATTTACAAAAGTATTAATTAATAATCATAAATACACGATATAATAATAATTAAGTATTAATATATACGCCATTTTTAAGAAGAACCTGATTCCTTTCTAAAATATTTGAATGTACAAAAATTGACACAGCTTATTACTACTTACTTTTTGAATAAATTGATTACAGAAATCGTATAATAAATCGGAAGAATAATTTATGTAAGTTTAAATAAAATGATTATCGAATAAACTTCAAGTAAATGTAACAAATTAAAGACTTTTCACGCGTAATCATATTAACAATTAAAGCATACTATTTAGTTTATTTCGTTATTTATTATACAGAAATTTACTTACGATTAACGAAGTAAGGAAAATGTTTTTTGCGCTCGCGGTGGTTGTTGAATTATTTTCTTGTAACATTTTTGGTTAGTACAATACGTATTAACATTATTAAATAAACTTATTAAAATTTAAAACAAAATTAAAAACTAAATTAAATATTTTATACAATTAGTAAGACAAAAATCATAATTTAAATGATAGTTTAACCATCATAGAGTATTTGCTAAATTAACGAAAACAATCACAAATAATATCTATTTTAGAAATTTAAAGTTATTTCGTGTAAATGAAGTAACATAAAATGATTAGACCATGTGGTTATTACATAATGACATCACTTCACAAGTTAATCATTATTTCTTTCGCTACAACCTTTGATTTCACTTTGGTAGTCTGCTAGTGAAAGCTAACCTTATCTGACATATGCCGAACTTCTACTGTCAAAGTTAGGAAAAGCTTTTGTTTTGAAAACAGTTTTCCACTAGGAAGAATAGATGAAGATACGTGACGGAAAATTACTAGCAATGATATATATAGAAAATTGACGCAATTACGTCATGAAATCCGTTTCATACAGTCTGAAGAAATTCTTGGCTTTTGTATTTGCTATGTTCCGATTAGTCAAAAGCGCGAAGGAAATTTCTGAAAAATGATCGGCTTGATGTTTTAGGTACTGTTAAAGTGTTTACATAACCTTGAATTTCATTGACACTCCTTTGGGCGGGAATCTCGAAAGATTTATATTTCCATTTGATCATCCACAAACATGTCTCAAAATATTTTAAAAAGCAGCTTGGAAAATGCTTCCTTCAATATTATATTTCAGGTATTACACCAACATAACAACTATTAAAACTAGCGTATCTTATACCAAGAAATATCAGTTTCTATATATGAGAAAACTTACATCATATTTATAAATACAAATCATATTATCATTATTGATAATTATAGTTTATTTATTTGTTTGAGAAATTTTTATTAATTTTATTAATATTTGAAAATTTCCTAAAAAATTTAAATATATGTAAAAAACAATTACAATGGACTTCTTTTCAGATATTAGGCAGAGGAGTTACTTTTGTTTTAAATGCCTTTGTTGTTCGGTATGTGGGTCAAGCTGTCTTAGGAGTCATAAATGTGAGACTACTATTATTGGAATCAATGATTTTATTCCTATCTCGAGAACCATTCATGAAAGCATGTTTAACTAATACAGCAGAGCATAATTGGGCTCAAGTTGTAAATTTATTATGGCTAACGTTAGTCTTTAAAATTAATTAATTATAACATAAATGAAATCTACATAAATACATGGATTACAAATATTTTTTCAGGGTTCCTACATGTTTCATAATGTCCCTAATCTTTGGATATATTTGGCTTTTTATTTTATCAACATCTGAAGCATTACCATTGTATTACACATTTGCAGTTTGGGCAGTTGCTTTGTCTTGTATAATTGAATTATCATCCTTAATTGTTCAACTGGTTGCTAGTGCATTTTTATTTGTTAGATTGAAAGTAAGATTTTGGTTTAAAAATACTGAGGCTATAATATCTGTAGTATTATATCTATAATATTGAATTTTTTAGATTATACTTGATACTATCATGATTGCTATTCGTACTATAACATTTGTTCCATTGATTCTTCGTAATCCAGAGAATGCATTATTAGCATTTGGTGTAGCTCAACTAGTTGCAGCAATATTTTATACTACTAGTCACTATTTATACTTTTATTATTATATTAAGAAAATTAACAAGTGTAAGTTAAAAAGGAGAATGTCATTGAAAGACAGTAGTGATGAATATGTTGTAAGAGAATTTCCATTTAAAACAATAATGGACTTTTTACCTGGGCAATTAGCAAACAAAGTATGTACTAAGTTAAATCCTTTGCGTATTATGTATAAAAACTGTTATATTTTAGGAGTCATATATAGATAAAAAGTTGCTTATTCTTACATGGAGTTTTTTTACACAAGGATTTTTAAAACAAGTTTTAACAGAAGGAGAAAGATTAATCATGACAGTAATGCCAGTATTAACATTTACTGAACAGGTATTTAATTAATGATAAAATGATAAGTATTGTATTCATATACATTACCTTTTATATTTGATTTTAATTCTACATTTAAAGGGAACATATGAAATCATAAATAATTTAGGTTCTTTAGCAGCAAGATTTATTTTCCGTCCAATAGAAGAAAGTGGATATTTCTATTTTACCCAAATGATAAAACGAGACAAACCACTGAATGATCAAAATCCTGTACGTGTTAAATGAGAAATTTAACATGCATTCATACTCTACAATTTATTAAAAATAAATTTTTTTTAGGTAAAAATACAAGAAAGTGTAAATGTGTTAACACATTTGTGTTCAGCTGTTATGTCAATTGGTTTAGTTATTTTAGTGTTTGGACAATCATATTCAAGCACATTATTATGGTTATATGGTGGCATTAAATTAACTTTGCATCTACCAGTTCTTTTAATGCGAGCACATTGTTTAGCTGTACTACTTTTGGGAATAAATGGAGTAACAGAATGTTACACTAATGCAACAGCTGATAGTGCAACTATAAACAAGAGTAACTTGATTATGATTTATGAATCGATCGTGTTTCTAAGTGCATCCTATTTGTTCGCTATTTGGTTTGGTCCAGTTGGTTTCATTCTTGGAAATTGTGTGAATATGAGTTTAAGAATTCTGCACTCTACTATTCTTATTAATAAAAGATACAAAGACACAATGTACCGTCCATTACATGGATTAGTGCCAAAGCCTATGTTTTCTACTTCTCTTCTAGTAGCAGCATTGGTCACCAATGTATCTCATGTAAAAGAAGAAAACTTTTTATTTTTTTCTGATTTGACAGAAAATATTGCATTACAGTTTGAAATTTTTGTTTCAGGCTTACCTTTTCCCAGATGAAAAAGTATTGCACTTAATTATCGGAGTAATAATGTTTATGATAGTACTCATATCCTGGATATACGAGCATCATGATTTAATTAGGCTTGGTACAAATAAATTTTATGACAGGAGAAATAGACACAAAAAAAGTGACTGACCTTAAATGTGTTGTTAATGATGCTTTATTAATATTCATCTATAAATTGTCTACAAAGGTGCTATAATGTAGAACTTTTATATACCTTGCAAAATTTAATAATTATGTATTTTCTATATTGTTATGATCAAAATCAAGTAAAAGTTCTCAATGAAAACACTTTAAAATTACTTATTTAAAGTTTATATATAATTAACAAAATAACATAAATATAATAAAGTTTAGCATAAATATAATTAATATTGTTAATTTGAGTACAAGAACTATCTTATACAGAAACATCCGTATAAATAGCACCTACTATTGCACCTTGGCGTTGTATAAGGCATTTCCTATAAAATAATTTATAATGTTTTTAATATTAATTTAAAGCGACTTTATGTTTAAAGACATGTTGAGTTTCAAAGTTGTTTAATAAATTTATTGGTTAATAATGTTATGCATTAATCTAATTTTAATTGTGCTAAGACAGAATAAAATAAGTCTTTTAACACTACCTGTTATCATTTTGGAGAGAGATAATTGGAGCTGGTGATGTAGGTTCTAGTTTTGCAACTTGATCAGCAATAGCTGCAATTATTCCTGCACTATCAGTAGATGCATTTCCTTTTGCTAAAAATATTTACATAACCTTTACTTTTTCCACTATCTGTTTCTACTGTTAAATATACATATATATGTAATTAAAAGAAAGAAATACCTCCTAAACATAATCCAGCATGATCAGCCAAGACACAACCAATAATACCTTCAGTATTATTTCTAATAACAAATATTAAATTTAAATAATTTTAATCATTAAATGAACAATTTTAATTTGTTTATTTCAAACTTTTATTATTTTACTGAATAAATAAAATGAATAAAAATTGTAATTGACTACATAAGGTTAAATTTACTACATCTTTACAAATACAAACAACATTGATGTAAGTATTAAATGATAATAAAAATATTATGTTTTGTGAAAAATTTATATTAATGCAAATATTGATATGAGTAATCACTTTATTATAAATATAATATGAAATCTACTATTAAACTTACACGTCATCTAATATTTTTTCTAAATTCTTTTCCATTTCAAAGACCTAATTAAATTACAAAACACACTTGCACAAATAACTGATGCTATTACTTGTTAAAAAGAATTCAGTTTAATGTAATTATTATAATCACACAGTTTTGTATACATTCACAAGATGAAACATTTATTCTGCAACAAGTTTAATCGAATCATTCGATACATCGTATTGGTTTGCACATTCTTTATCGATTGTGGTTACTAGATGGTATTGTAAAGAAAAATATTTCCATATATTTATCAAATTCATTTTATATACAAAAGTATATAAAATATACTCTTATCATACAGTAGTAATATGTAAAGATTTTATTGCTTTAGTAAGTTATTTCAATATATCTATAAAAACCGGTATTTATTAATGAAAATATGTTTAAAAATATAAATTTTATTAAATTATTAAGTACTATCTTCATATGACATTTAGTTCTGTTAAATAAAAATAGTAAACGAATTATATTATTTTTATACAATTATATGACATTTATCCTGTTATAATTACTTTAATTACACGATATTAAAACATGTTTTCCTAGAGAAAATGTGTTTTGTAACACATATTTTCGTCACCCTATATAAATAATATTCCTTCGTAAGCGAACTGGACGACGTGACTGGTACAGTGACAATCATGGCTGGTAAGTGTGAAGACTTGCTTTGTTTGCTCTCAATTATTTTTAAGATACAATTGTAATAATTAACAACGATGAAGAGTGTTTTCGTTAATTTCTTTATAAATGAATATTTTTGTATAATTAGAATAAATATCACTCAATTTGTTATACTATCAAATTTGCATAATATTATGCATCTATTGTCCTAATTTAAGAAATTATCGGAAAAGAATATTTTAAATTTTATATTTCTTTGTTATTTTTTCATGACAGCGCATATTTCTCTCAAATTAATTGTTATTTTATCTCGTAAATTTAAGAAAATTTGTTTTACATGTAAAATACAATGTGATATTTCTCATAATATGATTATGACACCTGTTACGTTTGACAACTACATTGCATGAATATTTCATTGCATATTCCCTCGTTTTGATTCGATACGCCATTTTTTGAAACAATCTTTTGTTTAATAATTAAATATAATTCTTCTAATTACACTAACTAAAATGTAATTATGTTTTATATAAATCATAATAGTTAAAATAAAGATAATTTATGTATATGTCATACAATGATTTAGAAATTTTGTATATTTTAATATTATAATACTACATAAATTTATTGTAAATAAATAGTATTTTTTATTTAATGCAATTTTAATATAGAAATTATTTTCAGAAAATAATCCATATAACCATTTAATGAAGTCCATTAAAATTGGACTTAAGGAATATAAATATTTTGATATTGCCAGTTTTGGGAAAAAATATGGTATGTATTAATAAATTGATAGATATTATTGAATAAAAAAGAATTATAATTTTTAAGTGAGATAATACTTACAGACAGATTACCTTTCTCTATCAGAGTACTTTTGGAAAGCGCAGTTAGAAATTGTGATAATTTTCAAGTAACAAAGGATGATGTTGAAAAGATCTTGGACTGGGAACATAATCAAACCCTTGAAGAAGGAGCAGAAGTGGCTTTTAAACCAGCTAGGGTAATATTACAAGTAAGTATTTTAACAAGTATGAATTCCACAAATTGAAAGTTTTTTTCTTACAATTAAATTTTATTTTAAATAGGATTTTACTGGAGTGCCAGCAGTTGTGGATTTTGCAGCTATGAGAGATGCTGTTAAAAGGCTGGGATCTGATCCAGATAAAATAAATCCTATCTGCCCATCAGATCTTGTTATTGATCATTCAATACAAGTTGATTTTATTAGAAGGTAAATAATTGCTTTCATTACATCTCGCTTGATCAAAATGTAAAAGTAAAGCATTTATCAAGTCAGAAAGATAACTCTAAGTTGCTATGACATGATTACACAATACAATCAAATCTAAATCCATTTTTGTTTTCTTTGGTATTAAAATGAATGATAATGTGTGAATATTTAAAACCGCGATAATATAGTCTTATATTGAGTAACAAAGATAATATAACTTTGATAAAAATACCATTTTTTTCCAGTAATGACGCGTTAAAAAAAAATGAGGAACTTGAATTTGAGAGAAACAAGGAACGATTTATGTTTTTAAAATGGGCTGCCAAAGCATTTCAAAATATGTTTATTGTACCTCCAGGAAGTGGAATAGTACACCAAGTAAATTTGGAATACCTAGCCAGAGTCGTGATTCATAGGAATGGTTTACTGTATCCTGATAGTGTAGTTGGAACAGATTCCCATACAACTATGATTAACGGTCTTGGTGTACTTGGGTGGGGTGTTGGAGGAATTGAAGCTGAAGCCGTTATGTTAGGTCAGGCGATATCAATGTTAGTGCCAAAAGTAGTGGGATATAGATTGGAAGGAGTCTTAAATCAATATGCGACTTCAACAGATCTTGTTCTTACAATAACAAAGGTTAGATAATTTTTCCATAGTTTTGAATTATTATTTATAAAATCGAAAAAATAATAGTACACAAATATGTTAATGTACTTGCAGAATCTTCGACAGATGGGAGTCGTCGGAAAATTTGTTGAATTTTTTGGTCCAGGAGTTACTCAACTGAGCATTGCAGATCGTGCAACAATCTCGAATATGTGTCCTGAATATGGTGCCACGGTTGGTTTTTTCCCTATTGATCAACAAAGTTTAACATATTTAAGACAGACAGGTATATGAATTACAAAAGAAAGAATTAAATGTAGCAGTAACATTTCATTTTTCAATTCAATTTACGTATGTGTATAATTTTTTCGTTAGGAGGATGCGAGGAACATACTACTGTAATAGAGAATTATCTTACCAATCTACGTATGTTGAGGGACTATGACGATGAAAGCCAAAATCCAATCTTTTCAGAAGTAATCACTTTGGATTTAGGAACTGTGGTTTCTAGTGTTAGTGGTCCTAAAAGGCCGCACGATCGTGTGTCCGTTGTAGACATGAAAACAGACTTCAGGAATTGTCTTACTAATAAGGTAAGAATCTTTTCCAGTTATCATAACATTCTTAATATAAAATACTATTGTGTCAATTTAGTAACATTCGTTGTGCAAGGCATGTGCTTGTAAGTAACATGCATTAGCGATGATCAATCAGTACTCGTATGGGACAAACATAACCCAGTGACGATCAAGTATTACCGTCAAACAGGGTCACGTTCATCCCATGCTATACTTGTAAAACCAAGTGCGCTGCTTAGAAGCGTGACATGTACTTACTAAGACTCTCCGGTGAAGGTGAAGAGAGGCGAAAGAATCCCAGGTAACTACTGCTGTGATATGAATCTTTTACGGCGACACATCACAGCAATAGTTCCTCCGGATTCTTTCATCTAAAAACGATTGACTGCAAGCGTGTAGGAGTTCAAAGCAAGAATTTTCAATATTGGAAAAAAGATTCAATTACCTTATTCCTTGATAAAGAGTTCTGTTCAGCCACATTTCATGAGGCTATGTCTCGTATATTTTGCCTTGCTGATCTAGCTTTATGGTTTTTAATTTACCATACAGTTAGATCACCAAAGAAAAATAAACGGGACGATTTGGTAGATATTGCAGCTCGTCGAACACGTTTTTTCACAGTTGATAAATCTCTCTATCGGGGACGAGTATTTCGATCTAGTCACGATTTCTTTGCAACGTTGCACTAGACGAATACTTCGCCCCTAATAAGAAGAGCATACATTTTACCAGCAAATCTCGATAATCCTTGAAGAACAGAGACGGACATTGGATGAATCTTACCCGGTGAGGCTTCTTTTCCAACCACACCGGACGAGATTTCATCCGACAGCAGCCTCCAGTATTGAATATTGTGCACTGAATATGTAAAATGCATTCTTCAGTCGATTTTCTTTGAATCGATTGCCGTATGATGATACAAACACGAGGAAAATATTTATGCTAATTGACAATGAATATTATGATTCTTAACAGATCACCAACAAATCAAGAACAATTTATCACAAAGAAGAAAGAGCAACAATTTTAACTTTCACAGTATCATGTTTTACGAAGATTAATTTTCTGGTATATTAAAATGAAAACGAATTACGTTAAAATAGATCGTAGAATCAACTATCTAATTTCAATTGACCGTTGACTGTTCTCACTTGTTAATTGTACACTGATGACCTTTCGCGCTTGTCGAACCACGCTTATATATGCTCAGAACTTGTCCCCTCCCCTTGGCCAGGCAATGCAGGCCATTCGCACCAACCCGGTAAACGTTCCATGAATTTCCTTTACTTCCCTTGACATGACAGGTAGACAAAAATTTGTCTATTATCCTACTATGAACACATACCCTTATTATTGTCCTGTAAACGACCAGGATGAAATCATATATTGTTTTCACGAATATCTGGAAATATCGATTAAAAAAATCTTTCTTGTATAGCAATAGCTGAAATATTTTATTCGATTAAAATTTGATTGAATTATTTTATCCTGTTCGGAAAGACACGAGCATATAGCGGCAAAAAATTGATTCTTGTATGGTGTCGTTTATTCGTTTATGTGTGAGTACTTAAAATAGAAAATATGTTTAATATTGGGATTTACTAAATTACTATTTTCTGAGTAAAGTTTAATTACTAAGTTACAGTCTTATGATTATTAATGACAAATGATGAATTGAATATACATATAAGTCTGTTGTTTAATTTAATTGTTTCTACACAACAAATCAAAAAATGTTTGTTTGATAAATCATTAGTAAGGCAAATAGTTCACTTAATGAATTTATTATAAATTTTTGCAATGAATGATTTACAGAAACAAAAATTAAGATAACATTGTATTATCTGTTGTAAATCTTATAATGTTATAAATATGAATAATTTTTTCATATTTTTAACAGTGTGAAAATAAGTTGTGGGTATATACATGAATCAAACATATTATACTTTATACTTTAGATAACTATTTTAATGGTGAAGAGGCAGTCAAGTTATAAATATTGGTTAAAAGCGGTAACGATAATCATGTGAACGTGATGAAGTAACAACGGGCGCGCATGATTTTAAAAACAAGGGAGCGATCGATTTCTATTGAAAGATGTTCAACATTGGAATCGCATTACTATGCTATCACAGTAAGGACATTTGCTGAAAACTCATCCACGTGAATCATAGAGAGCTGACTGTTCCTCCGTGTCATGAAATTCAACGCCCTTTTATTGTTAGCTTTTTGACTCGGCCATGATGTATACGAACCAAGAACTATTTCGTTTCTTTTTATTCAAGAGTTTAAGCAATAATTTAATTTGCTAGTATTAATATAAAATTGTCTTATAGCTAGGATTTCAAATAATATTCTAAAATGAAACATAAATATAATACAGATGTGAATATAAATGTAAACGTAAGAAATGAAGAGCTAAACTTTCTCAATATAGATAGAGAATTATAAATAATGTTGATGACTGATGTTCATTTAAAAGGAAAGGAATGATTTATTTTGAAGAATTTATATTGTTGATATGATCTCGGTACAGTAATACAATACAGTTCTGTAAGGGTAATCTTATGGAAATAATTAAAAAAAAAGAATCAATTTTGAGATTAGAACATCCTTCTAAGTATAAGCGTGTAAAGAATGCTCTATAAATTGTTGGTATAACAATTGAAACTGATGCCGATTTCTTAATAAAAAGAAAAATATTTTATACGTACCGATGATCGATCGATCTTGAATTTCGTGAAGAGCATGAACGACTGTCTTCGATGAGGCTAAGAACGACATGCAACCTCGCTGAAATTGCTGATACAACATCCATTCATTTTGCAAAGCTCACGCATTTTGTTGCATACCATCGTCTTACGTATAGATATTCGCTCTGCTTTAAATTACAAACGATTGATCTTGTTCTCTACTGAAACTATTTCTGTAAAATCATTTTTTTACCATATGCATAGCAATTGAAAAATAAAGTACTTAACGTCTTGACAAATTTTCTATAAAATATACAACGCAACTATTGCAGTAAATATTTTTCAGTAGAGAGCTATGCAATTAAATTCGATTTCCTTAAAATCGAATCTCTATTCCTCAACAAATGATGGAATAACTGTTTCGTCGGTATAAAATTTGTAAATGTAACCTTTAAAAGGAAAAGCTCAAACAGCGAACAATGTCAATGGTCTAACTGTTTGAGGCTATGCATATTCTGTGCCAGGCTAAAAGACCCTTAGTAATTTAGGCATCGGCTTCGATAAGTTTACCTTCTGAAAACTAATTAGAATGGCCTTAATAGCTTAGTTAAACGGGGACTACCATTAAAGGAATATTCGAATAGCTGTATTTCTAAAAGGGATACTATTATTGGTCCCAGACCTATTGTCCGTGAGCCTATGAAATTTTATTATACCATTGGGAGTAACATCAATATAACAATATGTAGTTATAAAGAGAAAACAAATTACGTGTAACAAATTGGAAAATGTGTAAAATATATGCGGTATTAAATTAAATATAAACTACGTGAAATTAAATATATTGTATATTAAATGTCGAAACAGATAAGAAACTATAATTTTGCGATATGAGAATGCTCTTTCAGCAAATCATTGGTCGGGTAATGAATTCTAAATGCAATCGCACTCAAGGGTCATCAAACTTTTATATGTACGAAAAAATTTAAATTTCGATTTCACAAAAGAATCTGATCAAAATTATATTCTTGATTATTTGTACATAAATAATATTAACTGATTTAATATTGTAATTTTACATTGAAAAATGTTCAATTATGTTTTCTTGTAAGCTGAGAAAATATGTATACTATAATAAATAATTTTTGTTTCCAGGTAGGATTCAAAGGGTATGGTTTAACCACTGAGAAAGTGGATGCCGTAGGTATGTTCGAATTTGAAGGGAAGGATTACAAATTAAGACATGGTTCAGTGGTTATTGCCGCAATTACTAGTTGTACTAATACTAGCAATCCTAGTGTTATGCTTGGAGCAGGTAACTCCTATCATAAAATATTTTTTCTAATTCTAATTTTGTTATTACACCTTGAACTACAAAAATAAGTAATATAATATTTCACAAAATATTATAACAGTTTTTAAATAATCTATATTTATATAGTGTAAAGTATTAACCAAGTTACAGAAAGTTTTTATTCAATTTTTTATTTAATTACATTTAAAGAATTAAATTTAAATATTATAATTTTAGGTCTCCTTGCAAAGAATGCTGTCGATGCTGGTTTGACTGTTGCGCCTTATATTAAGACATCGTTGTCTCCAGGATCTGGAGTTGTAACTTATTATTTAAAGGAAAGCGGTGTAACTCCTTATCTTTCACAATTAGGATTCGATGTTGTTGGTTACGGATGTATGACTTGTATTGGTAATAGCGGTCCTCTTCCTGATATTATAGTTGAAACTATTGAAAAGGTAATAATACGAAATATCTAATTTTCAATTTTTATATTATATTTATTTTAATTATTATGTTTTATTTTACTTAATTAGAATGGACTTGTATGTTGCGGTGTGTTGTCTGGTAATCGAAATTTTGAAGGCAGAATTCATCCGCATACTCGAGCAAATTATTTAGCATCGCCCCTTTTGGTAATCGCTTATGCCATTAGTGGAACGGTAGATATAGATTTTGAAAAAGATCCGCTTGGTAAATGGATGGTTTAATTTGAAGTGTACATTTCATAATTTTTGGAAAACTTCGTAATAATAAAAATATTCAGGTCGACGAGCGGATGGAACTCCAATATATCTTCAAGATATTTGGCCTACTAGAGCAGAAATTCAAGCGGTAGAGCGAAAATATGTAATTCCGGCAATGTTTAAAGAAGTTTACTCTAAGATTGAGAAAGGTAGTCCTAGTTGGGCAAACTTAGTAGCTCCGGATGGAACATTGTATCCGTGGGATACAAACTCCACCTATATAAAGAATCCACCATACTTTGAAAATTTGCAAAAGGTGAATTATATTTTATATATGTTTTTATAAATTTAAAATAATAAATATTTACATTATGTTTAAAATAATATTAAATATTTACTATTTCACGTTTAGTAAGTAATTTAATATTAATTTATTCAATTATAATTAGGAATTACCAAAAATAAAACCAATTACCAAAGCACGTGTTCTTTTGAATCTTGGCGACTCTGTTACGACAGATCATATCAGTCCAGCTGGGAGTATTGCACGCAATTCTCCAGCGGCACGATATCTAGCAAATCATGGGTACGTATAAATTACAGTTAAGAAAATACAAGTTTTTGCAAATATTTTTTATAATTTATTTTTGTTCATTTTTAGATTAACACCAAAAGAATTTAATTCTTATGGTTCACGTAGAGGTAACGACGCCGTAATGGCACGGGGTACATTTGCTAACATTCGTTTAATGAATAAATTTATTGGAAAAGTTGGACCGCGTACAATTTACATTCCCACTAAAGAAGAGGTTTGTAGAAAAATTCAAACTAATTTAATTTGTCCACATAATGTCCTTGAATGCAGTCATTTGTTCATAGATGGACGTTTTTGACGCAGCTGTAAAATACGGAAAAGATCAGATACCCTTAATAATTCTTGTTGGTAAAGAATATGGATCGGGATCATCCAGAGATTGGGCTGCGAAAGGACCATATCTTCTTGGAATTCGAGCAGTTATAGCTGAATCATATGAAAGAATACATAGGTAAATTTTTATTATTAAGTAATTCGTGGAAATGTACGTATTTCAAAATGTAAAATGTTGAAAAGTGCTTTAAATTTAACATTTTATTGCTATTCCCATAATTTTCAGGTCAAATTTGGTAGGTATGGGTATTATTCCATTACAATACCTACCTGGACAAAACGCAGAGTCCCTAGGTTTATCCGGTTATGAACTATATGATATAACGATACCTGAAAATTTTCAACCTCGTCAAAAAATTACCGTTACAACAGATGACGGTAAAAAGTTCGAAGTGATACTACGATTCGATACTGAAGTAGATATAACATATTTTAAACACGGCGGTATTCTAAATTACATGATCAGGAAAATACTTTGATAAAAATATTCAAATATCGGTGAAGTTTATAAATTATTATAAAAAGTTACTTAACGCAATACTTAATTTTGGGTTTGGATTTGCAACATATAGTATCTGAATGTATCCTTATCCTTATTTATAGTAAGAAAAATTAATTATAACAAATGCTACTTTTTGCTTTAAAACATAAAAGGGCTAGAGAATAAATATATTAAATCAGTTTGGATAAGTATATTCATATTTTCATATTACAAATTTTTTCCTGCAAGTTTTATTAAATTATGAAAAATTTTTTGCACGATATAGATTCAAAGCCATTCAAATAGTACAGTTATATGGTTTGTTATGAATTTATGAATGAATTATACAATACTCGTGCATTAAATAAAATTTCTTACATTTTATAATAATTGTTTAAAAAAAAAAGAATCTTGCAGAAATTAATACTTGTTAACGTAATAAAGTGTTAATAATTATTGCAATTGTACTTTTTAATTTACACTTAAATTTTCCAACATTTTAAATAACACAATATCTTAGTCTATATCAGTCATATTATGTTTCTTATTTTGTACACTTACTATTATATATTCATTTTATACAACCCAATTTGAACCTGTTCTATTCTCTCTTATTTGTTCATATTTAAGAATTTCTTTGTAATTAGATTCTTTGTACGAATATCCTGAGAATTTAAGTTCAACTAAATGTTGATCTGTTGCTCCATATAAATATGTGCTATCAAAACTTAGAGAATAAACAGGACTAGACATTCTATTAAGATTCATGAAATAGAACTGCAAAAAATGAAAAAATACTATGAGTGTATTATAAGATTACACATTAAGCAAAAAATATGCTAGTATTGACCTGTATATAATTTTTTTGTCTTTGATCCCAGAGAACAGCTTTACAGTTAAATTTAGTTCCAGTGATCATAGTATATTGATAATCTGATGATATACAATACAAAGTTGCATCTGTTGGATCTGGCCATGAATACACACATGTTCCAGTCCTAAACAAATTTTTTAGTGAAGTTCATCTTAAAAATAACAATGTTAAACCAACGTTTGTAAATTAAAAATATTTTTTATTCGTTAAATAACTATGCAAAATTCTTAATATTCTAACATGCATGTATGAAATATTTACCTCAAGTCCCACTTTCGGATATAAGTATCATATCCACAGGTAAGCAAAATTTGTGGACTATCCCAAACCATATCTAATATTCCTGCACATCTTTTTTTATCTGGCTTTAATATATCAGATTCAGTGTAACTGAAATTATTATAAAACATAAGTTTTATGTAGAACATGTTCAATAATTTGCATTTTTTTTTATTTATTATTTAAGTTATTACTTTACTTACTATTCAAGATCAAATATATGAAGATGGGTATCATTACTATCTCCAGCAGAACCTACAGCAACTGTTTTACTTGTTGGATCTGCAGAAAGAGAACATACCCATCCTGCTATATTTATTGTTGCTAAAGGTACATTTAAGATCCTTTGTCCAACAGGTCTCCAAATCTAAAATTAAAGTTATTATTTTAATGGAAATAATTTCAAATGTTAATTATATAAAATTTATTATTACTTCTTAAAGTAATATTTAAATTACTACCTTAACAGTTCCATCATTAGAACCTGATATAATTGCTTTAAAAGTTTCATCCAATGCATTTACATTTCTAGAATGTGCTCGGTCTATACTAAAATAAAAATCTATATTTTGGTTACATTGTGACTTTGTCCAAAATTGTATACTTCCATCTCTGTAAAGAGAATTATGTATAAATAATATATATTATAAGATGTTAATTTAATTATTTTTTTAATTAGTAGTAAGTCTGTGATTAAGTACCTGTGTCCTGTAATGATACATTCATTTCTGACAATAAATTTGCATATATCACTTCTAACATTGTCATTAATAAAAATTCGATTATTTTCTTGAAGTGGTAATGTACGTTTAAAACCATATAATTTATTGCCACCACTCCACCATAATGTATCTTTTGTTAATTGAATCCGTGGTATAAGTTTTGTGTTTTGGGAGAAGAGGATTTTCTTTTCATATTTACCATATTGCCAATTGTGTGAAACATGCCATTTTGTACGCAAACATAGTAATAAATTGCACCTAATAAATTGAAATATTGAAAATATAATAAGATTCTCTTTAATACAGAATTTCAATATATTTTATGTTATGTGTAAAAGTTATACATTTATTTCTGTTCTGTGAGAAATATGATTTTTTTTTATTTTATTTGTTATAATAAATATTAACAATATAATTAACTTGTAGTATCATAGAATAATAAAATCATTTAGAGTTTTTTAGATTTAATACAAATATTAAGATAAAACCTTCTTGTCTCTTAAATTAATACATATTATGAACTTTGTAACGCATAGAAGGATGTAAATAAAGTTATATCATTCATGACAACTAAAAATTGTATCAGAAATAATATATACAGAAAAAATGCTCAAGATAACCTAATGTACCTTTCGCGAAATTTTCTCGAAGTTTGATTAGTCACGATCGGCTGTTTACTCTTCTTGATCCAAAGTGTTTCTTCCCGTATAATATCGTAAAAACGTGTACATACTTCGCTGAGTCGTACCAAGTCAAAAGCATGACAATAGTCGAAAATTAAAATCAAAACATCAGATGGTAAAGTGTTCAAACGCCACACATCTGTCATTTTTGTTAAGCCAATCATGTGGTGACTGAGGATACAACAGCTGTTAAATTTCAGTATTACGCAAACTGTCACGTGTAAAACATTTTCATATTCAATTCCGTTTTAACAGAGATAATGTATAAAAATTAAACCAATAAAGAATATATTAAATTTTATTTGTAAATTATAAAATGCTAATAACAAATTTTATTAACAAAATAATAATTACATTATTTTTATATTTTATAATTTTAATTTATATTAAAAATATGTTTTAGTATATATATTTGCATTGTCAGTTCTCTGCAACAGTACATTTCATTTGAGCTTCCTTAGGTGTTTTCCATTCTACATTGTACTTTGTATCTGCAATAAATATAAATTTTAACAATAAGAATATTTAGAAAGTTAAAAAAACAAGTATTTTAAACAATTCATATGGATTTAAAAAAAAATTGTTTTATTACCTGGTGTCACATCTTTCAAGTATATTATATACAAAATGAAATATATACATGCTGTTATAATTGCAATTGATGAAAATATTTGTAATGTTCTTACTCCACCAAATAATTTATATAAGATGCCACCTACCAAGCTACCAATTGCAAAACCTAGAGAATAAACAATATTAACATATTAATATACTGTTTGTATCATGTGATAAGATTAAGACGTTTAAGTAATAGTTATAAAATTTAATTAAGTTTCTTGTTAACTAATCAATTTAAGTAATAGAAATATTGAAAATGCATTATGGATATAACAATGAAATATTCATATTATAAACTTATTTACCAAAACCATCATCCATACCAGCTACAATTCCTTGAATAGTAGCTGATGTACCAGGTGGTGCAATTTTACTAGCATAGGCAACAATTGTTGTGTAACAAAGTGCATAAGTAGGTCCTTGCATAAACAACTCTATTGGTATTACCCACCATGGATTCAATGCTAAAGAAATTAATCCAAGTCGTACGGCATAACATACAAAACAGAATGTAAAAGTATAACCGAATCCAAATTTTTTTAGAATTTTACCTATTAAAGAAAAATAAATTAAAAAATAAAAATTATATAAGGGACAAAATATTTTTTTATATAAATTAATAACATACCAGATAAGGAAAAGAATATTACTTCACCGCCCAAAGTTTCTGCGGCAACGATTAAACCTTCTATTAATTTAATTTCTCTCATGTAACCAGTTGCCATAGCAAGGTCTTCCAAATACCTATTTGAAATATACTGCTTTTATATAAATTTTCGTTGTTTTTGTAATTTATTTATCATATATTTTGGAAATTATTTAAACGACAATTATTTTATCGATATATGTACTTACCAAAATAAAAAATAGATCATAAAACTATCAAGAATGCCAGCAATTGTTGCAAAACAAAGAAATATAATTATAGATTTTAATTTTAAAAGCTTTATGACGTCTCTCAATATATTTGTTGAGCCTGTCATTATTGGTAACTGTAAAGAGTATTTTTAATAAAATATTTGTTACTAAATATTATAGAAACTTATTACTTTTTATATGTTATACCAGATATTCACATTTAACCGTTTACAACAAAATAGGTCAATGATCGTGAATACAAAAATAAGTATAAAAATAGGAGCATATGTTTTAATAATTTCTTCTTTGGACCAATAGTCTACAGCATAACCAGCTAAGAGGGCTGAAATTCCAAAACCAATAGTTCCCCAAACACGTTGTCTACCATAGCTCATTTGCCCTCCTTCACCTGGAAAAAGGACTAAGAAATATTACTATCTGTTTACATTATTAACGAATTGAAATAAAGGTAATATGAAAATTACATAATACCTAATACGTCAAAACAAATTGCGTCACTTATACAGTTGCACACATTAAAACCAATATTACCTAGAGACATTAATAAAACAAAACTCCAAAAAGTTATAGATGTATATAAACAATAATTATTTTCTATGTTATCACAAATAACATTGCAATTATTACTTTTAGAGCAATATAATGTATTATTTTTATCAATTAAACAAGTAGAATTTGGAGAAAAATTTATTTCCTGATTGGGTGTTTGAAATTGTACTAAAGTAGAGAAATTTTTATCTGTACAAATCCAATGGCACATAGTATTTGCTACTCCAGTACATAAATATGGCTTAGAAATATCCTTGAAATAAAAAATTTATATAAAAATTAAAGTGTTTAAGATACATATAGTTCAATAATTGTTTTTCATAAGTAAAATAATATATTACCTTTTGTGTGCAATATGGCAATAAATCACAGGTAACATTCTTAAAGCTATGATCTGGAAAAATGGGTCTTGGAACTATTGGTAAAAAGTACATACAAATGAAACAACTACTTGTTGTTGCTAATAATATAATAAAAATTGTTCTTCTCCAAGTATAAAAATAATCTACAAGAAAACCAAAAGCTGGTTTAGCAATTAAGAATAAAATCGGTAAAATTGCTGTAATGCTACCCATGATTAATACGGAAATACCAAGTTGTTTACCATAAACTGGTAAAAATGGGAGAATTGGTCCCATTGCTGCAATCAAAAATGATAGTACTTAAAAAAAAAGTACTTATACATAATGAGAAAAGGATATGTCTTAACATAGTTAACTGAATTTACCTGCCATAAAGAAGAAATAATGTATCTTTATAGGTAATTGTGCATAATTTAACTTCATCTTTTATGATCTTAATGTAACCAATACATTACCACAATATCTTTTTAAATATTTTAGTTTATGAAATAATGATTAAAATTGACATTGTTTCCTGAAATAAGAATGTATCAATACATATAATATAAAAATATTTGAAAGAGATGTAAATCAAAGTAATAGAACTACAAAAATTTATGTAGATAAGGTACAATACAAGAATTTGAAGAGATATCTTATCACATGTAGATATAGCTTAAAAGTATTACTTGTATGTTTCAATAAAAAATATCTAATATTTTTCATAAGAAATATTCCAAGAATAGTCACGAACATTCTAAAATTTTTAATTTATGAAAGTTCACGGTATCAAATTAACCGCGTTTCGTGGTTCCTATTCATTTCCAATTCGTAATAACACGAACTAATTTTTTACAATAAAAAAAAAATTATTTATGGAAAAACTTATTATATTGTATGAAGTAAATTGTAACATAATATATAAGATGACTGCTACTTATTAATATGGTTACATTTTACTTTTGGGAAGCATTTTTTGAGTTTTACTTTTTTTTAACATAAAGTGCTCATTAAATGGAGTTTAGAAATACAACTTTTATTGTTAGGAACTATCACTATTATTTGTTGTTTTTCTGTAAATTTCATATTATCAGTGTAACAAAGTTAACGTATTTATATACGTATATCCACAGACTGTATTGACATTTAATAAAGAATCACGTGTGCCCAATACTTCCCTGGTATGCAGCTATACTAGCGCTATTGATTGTGGCATTACTTCGAAATACTTTTACCCTCGATATGGATATATAAGCAAATTATTACACGTACTTCGAGGTTATATATATTATAGATTTTGATAAATAATATTTGATCATAAGAAAAATTTTCCATTCTTAGAAAGAATAAGATTCTATCGAGTATCTTAAATAAAACATTATCTTTTTTATAGTTAGTGTTACTAAATTATTGGCAATAAATGTTTATTTTCCAAAAAAAGGAATCTTAATTAAATTTTACAAATAAAGAAAAATTGTTTAAGTTTTGTAAAAATTGCAATAAAATTAGAAATACTATTAGAAATATCGTGTCATAAAAAATAATTAAAGTTTTAGCCCTGTTATTCCGGCACGGTTATAAAATGTGATAATCATAAACAGAATGTATCAAAACGTAAATTTTTTGTATCTGAGTACCCGCTATTTGAGAACATATATAGTGAGTGAAAAGTTTTTCGTATTTTATTAGTCATACATGGTTGCTAATAACGAGTACTTCTATCAACGCTGATTAGTTATCTTGCTTCAATAAACCATATTTCATTAAACATGATATTCGCAATTTTGTGCGTTTAAAAATATAGTTTCTTTTTCATTCTTTAATTTAATTTAAAATACTATACTTGTTTCAACGGCCCACGGTACCCCCACCACCGACACCCCCACCACCGACACTCTTTAACCCTTTACGAGCATTATCTTACGAGGGAAGTGCCTGGTATTTTAGAGGTTATGCGTTCACACACGTTCATTTTATATATGTATATAAATAATTATAATTATTAATATACATTATACAGAATTATCATTTATTTATTATTTATTATATATATTAATTTTGTTATTCATATACTGTTTGATAATTCGTATGCTATTATTTTTACTCGAATAAAACTTTTTTCTGGAATTCTATTAAATATTCGATTATTTGAATAACTTAAAAATTTTTTGAGTTATTAAAATATTTCAATATAAATTTTTTAATACTTATGCGAAACATGATAAATTTGAGTATTTAAACTTTCAAGAATTTATCTTTATGCAACTTGGGAACGATTTTTCATGAATAATATTGATGATGAGCATATATACGTGTCTGTTTTAAGAGAAACGATACTGCATAACGTTGATAATAATTCGCTTGCAATCGTCGTTCCTGACAATTGTGACATTAACAAAGTAATTCACTAGCAATTGTAGGATGACTCAGATCTCTTCGTGAGGAGACGTGCATAGAGAAATTGTCATTAAAAGAAAAATTTCATGATGCTATCGAAAATATAAACGCGATTTTAATTTTCGCGTTATCTTTCAATTAACTTTGCGGAAGAGAGCTATTCTTTGCGAGCCGTGTATTTGATAGCAATTCTAAATACGATTCATTTATCTATACTAGTCAATATAATTGTTAAATTAAATATTTTAGTAATCATATAACAATGCGAACTAACTTAATAATTAATAAACATAATAGAATATAATTTATGTTGTATAAATATATTATTCCATTTCCATCCGGTATTTATTACGCTCGCACTGCTTTTGGGATTCAATATTGAACATAAAAATTTAATAAAAGAAAAATGTTAAAAACTTCAAATAAAAAAAGACTATGACTATTAGAAAGCTTAGAAATGTATTAATTATTTGAAGTCTACTTTATTAGATGATTTATTTATTTAATAATTAAAATATTAAAATATTTCCGCAATAAATCTAAATTTACCAAATTTTCATCTATATTACGAAACTCAAAGATTCATCAGGAAAATATACGAAAAATATGAAAAAGAAAACATGCAACCACTGCGTACAGGGGCATATTTAAATTATCTGTGAAATTTTAGAGGGTTCAGAGCGTTAATCGAACACAATTTTCCAAGGAATACCGAAACATAATGAAAAATCTTTGTCGATGTGAATTCATTACTTTTATCGTTCAATTCCCACGGATTGCATAAAAATTAATTTTTCCAAAGCGTTCGATAAGTTGATTCAGGATTGTTCATGTTCGTTAACGTCATCTACTGTACCAACATGTATATTACGCACGAGCCCCCACCAGCTTCAATAATTCCAGTTCCCTACTGGACTTTTGGTCGCATCAGCAGCCAGTTTCAATTTAATTCAGTCTGCGTGGAGTTGTATATACACGTTGACGTATCAAACGGGAAGATATCCTCCTCGTGTTTCGTACACCATGTGGTAAATTCGCCGATAGTTGTCCGTTTCATCTGCAAAGTGATCATCGAAAAGAGTTGCTGCTGCTCCATGTAGCCGAACCGGCTGACCTTTTTCACATAATTCGTAGTCATTCCCTTTGAAACCGACCGTGCATTGTCTGTTCGCTACTGTTTTCTATTTTGGCCGTCCAGTATCCGTCTTTAGCGCGTTGGCGGTAGAAATAGAGAGCGCTTTGTTGCGTATGAAGAGAATTTGCTATTTTTCTCGAACGGTGAAGGTATGTGTCGCAAAAAATACCGAATAATCAAAGTCTTACACAATGATCAAAGATCCAGTCGATGATGTCACCGCACGTTTCATTACCCATTCAAAGATGATAGCAATAAGAATTTTGCGTAGGTCCATCAAATTGCTTCGTAAATAGAAACAATTCGTTATTGTAGGCTTCGTTGTTATTCGTAATTGATGAATTGTTACTGCAGCTTCGTTTCGTTGTTGTGTTAATTAACTTTTCGTGATTTTTCTTCTGAGTGATATAAAATAGTGAAAATTAGACGAGGAGATTGTACGAAGCGTTATACGTTGATCTTAATGAAACTTCAAATCGGATTGTTTATAAAATATTGATTAAAATTTATTCGATCTAAAATGATAACGATCATAAATATGACACGAGAATGAGGAAGGATATGGTAGATGAGGAGGTGTAACAGGAAAACCTGATTGATCGTACCTGTAGACGACACATGATCTTTCTTGCAAAATATTTTTCAAGTCATCAGCTATTTATAGCAACAACTACGTATGATTAAAATGTTTATCGATTTTCTGTTTACACACGAAGTTTTAGAGAAAAAATCCGTGTAACACTTTCTGCAATCCCGTTAGGACTTAATATACCTGTACGTTTAGTAAGTGAGTATTTATCTCGTCCACGGAGTGATAAGTGTGATTATTCTTGGAACAATGAAATCATTATATACTCTGGTTCTGTATACTAATGTACCTTTGGTATAAAATGTTACATGAAAAAGTATCGTGTATTAGTTTTGGTAATTAGCTTAAAGAACTTTCTGATAAAGTGGAAATTAAAGACTTACGATTTGTTCTTGAAGAAGATGCCGGTTGGTAGGTGGCTGAAGATGGATGCTCAATTATTCGCTTTATTCTTCTTCGTTGCGTTTTTTCATCAAAGTATCAACGCCGAGAATTGTGAGTAATTTTGCGTTACATTCATTGTACTTCGTATCATTAATATTCTATAAAACATATAATTAGAAGTAAAAATAGAAATTATAAAATTCTTCTTTACTATTTAATCGCCTATTGTTCAAGGTAAATACAGGATTTTGCTCAAACTTTTTAATATCATGACAAAATAATGTCGTAGAATATTATAAAAGCTTCCTTTGCTAATACAATCCAGTTATTCTGTGCGTCGAGAAATTTGTACATCACTGATAACATATTAGTCACGATTTCCCTTTGCGCGATCAAAAAAGGTAAAGAGAAAAAAAGAAAACACCATCGTTTCAGTGAAACTATGTGTGGTCGAGAGCGTTGACACGACAAAAAGGATCCGCGGACTTTGCTCGCAATTGGTAAACTCAAGGAGTCAGGTAGAATGTGTTGTAGGAAATGATAGGCGAGTATAACAAATTCCTAGGAAGATCGATAAATCTTATGCTTTTTGAAGAGTATTGATCGATTCCGTTTTCCCTTTTTGTCTCACACCTTGATCTTTTTTAACGGGACATCGAATTATACAGGTTTAATTGCATGCGGCGGTTGACCATGGGCAAAGCTGACTTTACTGTACTGGAACCGGAAGATCTGGTCGCAGCGTCTGCATACAACGAGTATAACATTCTAGTCACGAACGAGTTAAGATTATTTCCAGATGGTAATTACAAAGTAAATCGAACAACAATTCAAATTATCTTACCAATCATTAGTATGCGAGAAGATAAAATTGACGTCCCTCTGTTATTACATCGTTTTTATTAGAGAAGCAACGTTATGAGATGGTAGTCATAGTCTCTAAAGATGTGAGGAATATATGGGACGTTAAGGGTAAGAGGTTCTGCCATCCTGGACTGGATACTACCGACGATTGGACCAATGCTTTCTCTACGGTTAATGTTTTTACAATTATCCCTTGCTTACCGTGTATCTTTGCGTAAATTTTTGTTAGGAATTTTCAAAGAGGAAGATTAGTTAATTGATTTCTACTGAATCGTTCGAAGTGCGGCGATAATCAGTAATAGACTATCGATGATAATTCGTATTAAAAAAAAAAAGTTAAATAACTTATGTTAATTTTGATCAATTGGAATTAACGATATGGTCTTGTTCCTTAAGATGAGAGATGTGCTAAACATACAATTGGACATATTATATAACAATATTAAAAAAATGCAAAAATGAATAACATTAAGAAATTTTTATTACAATTATAGTACTTCGAGCAATGGATAATATCAAAAGAGTGTGATCTAGACAAAACGTTGTTAGAGAATCGAATGAACGGCTTGTCGAATTTTTTCGAGGCAGCCTGCATAGCTGGCCCTTGGACTGCCGATACCACGTTTAATAGTAAATTAAGTGGGTACTTGAACAATTTAAACAAATCGGAAATAATGTACAGTTTACTTACTTTATTTTGATCTTCTCATTTATAGAATCGAAGTACCGAAACCTCTGCGCCGCGTGCGACAATCCTGTCGGCTGTTACACGAATGATAAGTATCATGGTCGCGAAGGCGCTTTATTGTGCCTCACTGATAACGCAGGTGATATTGCCTGGGTTAGATTAAATGACACGTTAGAACATTTCAAGGTAGATCTTTGAATTAGTTTGCTAGAGATAATTAAAGTACACGGAAAAGGTACAATGAAAAATGGAACTGCCAAATTGTTACATTTTCATCATTTCTTACAAATAAAACGTGATTCTTTAATATATTCTTTTATTATATGACACGTGATCTTGAGCTATTAAACGGTAGCATAAGACCAATGACATAATCGTTATTAATGTCACTTTTTTTCGCTTTGCTTTTATATTGGTTTTAAAATCGGTGTTAATTTCCGTGTACCTTGGGATGTGTTATTTTGAGCAATACGATGCAAGAAGTTTCAGAAAATTATTAATGAAACCATATACGAAACCAGGATGAAGAAATCAACAAGGAAGATTATAAATATCTTTGTCCGGATGGTACAACGAGGCCTGTGAAACTTGATAAACCTTGTATATGGATCACGAAACCGTGGCCTGTGGTTATTGCTAGATCGTTAGTAGAAAAAGAACACTTATAATAAGATCTTATTAAATAATATACTTTTTGAGTAACGTTTGCATTTTACCAGAGAGGTAGCAAGGAAGGTGGAGAAGCTGATGAATTCCTTGGACGCGGTCAAATTCAGTTGGATGCTACGCCAATTGTTGGAAAGCTATCATCCGACGCCGGTGAGCACAGAATCTCTAGAAACGCCGGAGGACTTCCTAATAAGATGTAATTAGCAACGATTAATTACAACATGAGCAACATTCTAAATAATACTTTCGTTTTATTTGAGAAAGATTACTATAAACTCTACGTTTACTTAAAACTACTTTGTTCTCTAGCCTTTAGTAGGTAAAATTAAATTAATTTTTTAATAAGAATATAAAAATATAAGAAGTCTTTCAGTAACTTCTTATTGTATATATTTTACCAGTCGAATCCCTTTATAATGAAAGAAATAGCTTAAAAGATGTGTTGACTTATTAGAATCTTTTTTCTGTTACACTGCAAAGGGATTAAATTGTAATATCATTTTTCCCAATATTAACAGCAGTAATATTTAATCACAGTTCCCCGTTTTATGAGCGCCAACAGTCGTTCGACATGTCATCCTTCCAGAAGAGTAAGATGGTGCATCACGTCAAGCTTGGAGCAGAACAAATGTAGATGGCTTAGGGAAGCTTCGATCGTGTATGGTGTGGAACCAGCGATTTCCTGTATTCAGGAATTGACCAGAGCGCTCTGTTTAAAGGCTCTCAAGACCGAGCGTGCAGACATATTTGTTGCAAGACCGGAGGAACTGTTGGAGGCCAGAAAGTGAGCAAAGATCGGAGTTGTATAAATTCATGAGAAGAAAAGATAGCACACTACAGTGTCTAGAATGCTGTTTTAGGATGGGTCTAAAAACGCTCGTGCAAGTGGTACCCAAGAGGAACGACGAGTTCGTTAGAATCGCAGCGATTGTGAAACAGGATTCATGGTTCAAGAGTTTGAAAGACCTTAAGGGAGCCAAGGCGTGTTTTACGGGATATCGAGACGTCGGTAAGCATGTTTCCAACTTTCCAATGGATCTTTTGAGATCTATTTAATTTTCTCTGCTACATATTTAGGGATGACGTAAAATACAAATTCTTCTTGCTCTGAAAAAATATCAATTAATATTAGTTTGAGTTAAAAACAAATTGAATTACAGTTTTTTACTTGTAGGTTGATTTCTGCTTTTTATTATTAATAATATTTAATTTGTTCCTAGATATCTCATGATAGGGAAGTAATAATGTTTTAAATTTGTTTTCAATAGCTTTAATAATTTGTAGAGCAATTGTTCTTTAATAATGATTAGAACATATTCTTTGTAGGATGGAACGCTTTCATAAGTGCTTTAAAGAATATCTCAGGTACAGGATCATATTGTTCAGATGTGGATGCGGTAGCTAATTTCTTTACAACGAGTTCCATTGTTGATCTGAGTGAAAGCGTTGGACCACTGCCGTATAATTTACAACCTTTTACTAAACGAGGTATAAGCATATACGTTATATGACAATAAAAGTGCAACGACGTGATTCGATTAAATAAAGAAATAAATGCAATTTGTAGTAAATGGGATTGGAAAAGATCTAAGTGCCTTTGACTGTATGATATCTAACGTTGGAGATGTAGCTTTTGTCAATTTGAGGAATATCAAAGCAAATATTGGTAAATACATTAAATAAACAAATAGATAAATGCTAATTCATTAACATTTATACAATGAACAAATTTATCTTTTTCATTTTAGATAGTTTCATGCAAAAACATGGCCTTCAAGCGAGAGACAACAAATATCGAACCTTATGTTTTAACGAAGTTGATTCGGATACAACATGCTTGCTTACGTGGGCTCCGCTAAGCTCGGTAATTTCTTTATAATAAGAATAATATTTTAACAATAATATTAAAAATAACGATATAGAATTTACTATATTAATTTTTAGATTGTAATACACGAAAATATGACAGTTTTGAGACAAGAGGAAATCTATTCGATGCTGTTAGAAATGGATAAACTTTTCGGAAGCACCTATAAGGGTTCAACACCTGCGTTCTCTATGTATGGAATATACGATTCAAATCATAGCATTATATTTCCGGTACGTGAGAATATAATATCATAATTATTTTTAAATAATTAGATATCAATAACGTAAGTACAATTAAAAATAAAAATATTAATATTATCAAAAATAAATATTTATACAAGTAAATTTGCGTGAGATATAACACATAAAATTAATATTTGTTTAATCTTCATCGGAGCTTATGCACATACAGTCTAGAGGCCGTTCGAGTATAGTTATCTTTTCCCAATACTTTTCATTTCGCGACATTCCGTAATAAACGTAACCTTTAGAACAAAATGCCCATGGGAAATGCGTGCATCTGAAGGAAATATAAGGCTCGCCTTTCGCGTTTAAAGTAATGGCGCCTATATGAGAGTCTCCTGTTTCTTTTTCAAAGTCCTGTAGCATTGTATTTACCGCGGTGCTTATCGATATATCTTCAGATAACTTCCTAATTATTTTTCGTGCCGGTGCATAACAATAGATACTTGTATCGTTACCAGAAACAGAAGTGCAGCCATGTTCATCTGTGTAAATTCCACAACCAATTACTGTACCAATCGCGCTTACAAAACCAACCGGCTTTCCAGGTTCCCCTGCTGTTGATGTTCCACTCGCAATTCTTTTTTTACGATCATATGCAACTACCCCAACTGCACCAGCCTAATATTAATATTTTATAATCGTATTATTTGAAATTTGAGAATGTATTGTGTGAATTATCAAATTCAAATGACACATACGAATGAAAAATGATACATAATTTAAAAATATGCAAAAATTCTAATATAATATTACAGCAAAAATGTTAGCGTGGAAATATTTTAGATACCTGTAAAATTATCGGTTCATCCCAATCTGGTGAATCGCTAGATAATGCACAATAAGAATATTCTCCTTCTATGGATCGATTTATAACACAATCTGAATCACACATTTCTTTTTCGTCTTTGCCATCATCTTCCCATTCGTTTTCATGATCTTCATTTATGCAACACGTTACTGATTCGAATGCCTCCATAAATGAGGTCAGAGACTCGCGCATGTTTAAAGTACCGGGCGGTAAAATTGAAATTCCGTTAGCCAAAGCAAATTTTTGTGCTCCATTTTCAACAATTAATATATGTTCTGTGTTTTCTAATACCTTTCTTGCTGTAAGATCCGTGCTATTTTTAGCTAATTATCGCTATAATACTTCGAAGTATTTATTTCCATCGTTTTTTTTAAATATACATTGTCGCATATTATACAAACAAACCTAAAGAAATAGGATGTTCTATGTCACGAACAGCACCGATACATCCAGCACCATGTGGCGTCATAATAGCAGCATCCGTGACAACTTCATCATTAACATCTAAACAACCTCCTTTTGCACAATTAAAAAATGGTTTGCTTTCCATATAAGAAATAGCTTTTTCTATTGCATCTACAGCTGACCGACCGTTGATAAGATCACTGTATGCTTCAATGGCCGCATTTTTAACCTATTGAAGTTGATTAATATGTTCTTTTTTGTAATTAAATATGATTTATGAACACCCTTGTTACAGTACTTAATGTTTCACAAACCTCAAGAAGCATGTGTTTACGTTTCTCCCGGGGAATTTTTCCCGCACCTCCATGAACTATTATAACCGGATTTACATAGACACGACGTTTCGTTTTCTCTGATTTTGACTCGGATTTAATTCTCGCTAAAATTTGATCGATCCAAGAACAGTAATCACACATTATGAATGTATAACATCAAATTTTACGAAAGAATATAGGTTTATTTAAATTAAGTATTTAGTATAGATTAATAAGAAATATATAAAACAAATGCAGTTTTTTTTTACAGGAAGATACGCAACATTTACAATTAGAAGTTCATCAGATTCAACAAGTAACGTCTTATCCAGATATTGTTAACGATCTCATGAAACATTGTAGCGGCGTAAAAGGACTGATCTTCCATTATAGTAACATAATTTTTATATATATTTTATATATATTTTTATTTCTGTGTTAAGTAAATTACAGTATGTCTAAATATAAACATTTTTACTCCCATCATTGTATAAGTTTGTTTTGTTAAAGTGATACTTAGAATAATATAAAATTTATTACAGAACAATGTTTTTTCTTTTTTGAAGGATATATTATTTAAATATTTCTTTACATTATAAAACTATGAAGTGTATATAATTAATGGACGGTTTCATTTTTGTGAATTAACGTGAATAACGTGCAAAATAAATAATATTTTTTTACAACTTGCGATATTTGCCCATTAAAGTGACATAACAATTGAAAAAATACTTTTAAATGCACGCATACACCATGATTATAGGATTAATGTATGTATCCTTTACTTTAAAAATATAAATAGGTATCCAAGGTATACAAAGTCTGTTTCAATCCATTGGAAGTATATAAAAATTCAATTCCTTTGAGCTACTTCTATTGATAATTTTATCTTAATTATAAAATCGCTACATATCGCATGAAAGTATTTAATTCCTGTAAATAATCTTCTTTTTTGGAATAATAAAAATTCGTTCTTAGTTTATGTATTTCTACATCCCCAGATTCTGTACCAAATGCCTAAAAAGAGATAACATTATTGTATTTTTATAAATCGCAATTTGGAAAAATTAACATACCAAGTATTGATGAGACATATCACGCTTTGTTTTACAGTATGACAATTGCATACTTCTTATAGATCCACTTTTTTGCATGTTTATTCTGTATGTTGGATATATATCACTATTGCTTAAATCCCATACATGTATGCTAAAATATTAGTATACAGAAATTATTTAAATCACCTAAGTCACTTTTTTTTATTTTTCCTTACCATGATTTACTGTCTAATACAAAAAATGTAAATGGTTTTGACCTTGACCATTGTACTGATTTATTCATACATGTATTGTTTTCATCTTTTAATTGTAATATTGGCTTCTCAGTATTTAAAGAATGCAATCGAATTGTTCCATCATCACAACTGACCTGTGATAAAAGATTACTTTAAAAAGTAAAAACTACGACAGTAAGCATAAGTAAAAGTTTTACCAAAAAAAATGACTGTTCAAAGGGACAGATTTCTATAGAAGTTACGTTTCCACAGACACCTGAAATACCAAAAAGAGTAAATTAATAATGAACAAATTAATGTTAATGTATTATTAATAACTTACTAGTATCCAACTTTGTATATAGAGCAGGATTAGCTTTGTTACCAATACAAGTACCATGCAAAACACTGCTACTGTTAGTGACAATATAAAGATTATTACTATTAATGCAATCTACATGCATATCAATGAAGGTTGCTGCACTGATCCTTCTAAGGAATTAAAAGATTTTAATAAAGCCAAAGTTTAATAAGTAATAAAAGTTATTACGGAATATTTACTTTTTTTTATGATTAGATTGTAAAAATAGTTCTTGGCTTTTAACAAGTTTTATACTACCCCAATATGATAGTCCTAAATCATCGATATTTTTGCCCATATTATGTAAAGCACTCCATATAACAATGGAACCATTTTCATTTAAACTACATATCTATTATTATAAGTAATATTAATAATTAATGTTAAACAAATAATTGATATAAATGTCAGTAATTAACACATTATTCACGTCACAACATATAATGTGTATACTAATTTTAACAAACCTGTATCGGTACAAATTTATTGTTACGCCGCTCTAATGATTTTTCTTCAATTTTAGACAATATACGTATTGCAACAATTCGAGTAGCAGAAGCATTTACTTCTTCATTCGTCGCTGTTGTATATGTAGGCATTCGTATTGTCCAATCTAAATCATTGGCTTTATCTGTTACTTTCTGATGCCACATTTCATCTTCTTTTAGATCCCAAAGACTTATCGATCTGGTGTTTAAAAGTGTTTGTTATTCCCACATTATACACATTAGAAAAATTGTAGATAAGCAACAAAACAATATACCCATCTTCAAGACCAGCAAATACGATGTTATAATTTGATGAATGGAAACAACATGCAGTAATAGGGCAGGTAGAATACAATAATTTAATTGGCATCGACGGTTGAGAAATATTCCAGATGCAACCGATATAACAATCGGTTATATAGTCTTGTTTACTAGATGTCTCGATTTCCTGTATAAAATGTTACATTTTTTTATTGCTTTAAATTGTATCTAATTTTTTAATTATATTTTATTTATCAAGAAGTAATTCTTACTTCTTCGACTGAAGAATGAATAGTCAGTAAAATTTGATTTATTACTTCAGAATAATGAATTATCGTCACTGCTCTACCAGCTAGAAATGTTACGGAATTTATGGAAAGTTTAACAACACCGTCACTAAATGGTATTTCTTCTTCGTTTTTAAACAGGTTGCCACCAGATCGTCTTTCTTCCAATAATGATAACATTACCTTTCCTGCACGATTCATAAAATCACTTAATCGCAATACATCAAACGATTGTGATAACGAGTAGTTTATAATTTCTACATCATTGTCACTGCCAACTCCAATTTGATCCTAAAAAAAATTATATTTTACAAAAATCTATCTATGGATTTAATTACCAATATATTATAAATTAAATAATAAGATCACGTACCATACGAAATAAGTCTAAATCTTTTTTGGTTTGTAAATTTTTTCTACAAGTTATTGGAAATTGAGTCCACTTATTTTTAAATATAATTTTCTCTGTTTGTGTTTCTATATCAATATTATCTTCACCAGTTTGCGTGCATATCTGAAAATAGAAAATATTAATTTTGTAATTAACAATAACTCACATTAACATACTTGTTGAGCATTTGATTTCCCATAGTTTCTAATGAATTCTTCATATGGTATAGGTGAACATTCAAGAAGTGACCACTCCATGACATCTAATTTTATCATCTCTAATAGTTCTTCACCTCTATTTAAAATTTTCCTGCATTTCTGAAAATAAAAACAAATAAAATTATTAACAAACAATTCAGTTATTTCGAATGAACGTATTACCTTTGTTTTCTGTTCTTCTTTGTTTTTACGAAAATCAATAAAAGAAATTTGCGAGAGAGGTGGTGATTTTGTAAAATCACCGGAACGACTATCTTCAAATCCTTCATCAGTAGATAATGGTAATGATTTATTCTCTAATCTATCCTCACTATATAAAAAAGTGTACATACATATATAATAAATTTCTATTAAAATAAATATTACTTCAATAACTACTTAATAAATATATAATTATTTAATGAGAAAATGATACATATTGTACAACAAAAATTGTTTAATCATCTTGAAACTTGATTCTATTTAAAACAAACCTATATGATTTATTAATGGGTTGTTTTATCTCAAGAAGAGCGGATAACTTAGGGTCATTTGCAATTGATTCTATTCTTGCTGCTCTCTTCCTTGCTTCTGTAAGCTCATAATGACCAGAATCATGCATATGTTCTTCTTCTTTTTGTTCAGAACTATCCACAGTTTTGCGCTATGATAAAGTGGTAACTTGAAATAAAAATATTACTGTTTTTAATACTATCTTATAATAATATTAAAGTTAATACTTGTTTTGTAGTTTGTAATTCAATTGGATCCAGTGGTAAAATAGTATGATTACTGCTTGTTTCTTCACTAACTTCAGATGTTTCACTATCTGTACATTCTTGAAAATCAGATTCATACTCCTATAAAACAATTGAAGTTAAAACTAAATTATAAACTATGTACATATTATATTATTATACCTCAAAATCATCTTCATAATCATCTTCATTGTCTGCTTGAAGTGCTTCTGCTTGCTTTTTATTATTTTGGTCTAAGTCCTCTGAAGAGTTTGGTATATTTGTAGTAAAATGTAACATTTTTACTTCACTTGGACTCAATGTCCTAGATAATCTGCATTGTCTAAATTTTGATGTAGTTTCCACTAATGTATTTGAATGTATTTTGTCTTGTTCTTTTCTTTTTGATGCATAATTGGCACTTTTATTTAATTTAGCATTAAGTTTACTTGTAAGTGATTGTGGTATATATATTGTACTCAGTCCTCTCTTTTCTGAATAATTACTTTGTATTCTTCCACTGCTACTTTTACTACCTTTTATAGCATTAGTACTTGATTTTTTTGTAGGATCAATTGATGTTTTAGAATTTAATATACTTTTTGATAACATTTTAGAATTATTAACATTTGATTTGGATGTTGAGGATAAAGTTTCTTTGACAGAGATACTTTTAGGAGATCGAATAGAATGTTTTACACTGCTTTTGCTTGATTGTACATTTTGTGTTAATCTTGTGTGATTGTCTACTTCTTTTCTTTTTTCACGAGTTTTTGTCAGTTTTAAATCTACTTTCTCATAATCTTCTAAGTCTTTAAGGACTGACGAATTTTTTGATTTGGATTTAGTGTTGATTTGTTGCCCATCCCTGTTAATTGAACCTTTTTTAATTGCTCCCTGAAATAAAATAATGAAAACAATTTTTGGTTTCTCAATTGTATTTTAAAATTTTACAATTTTGTATATGATTATAAAAATGCTACTAAAAATACACATATGATTTAATGTCATTTTATTCGCGTATCCATTGCATATCGTTTAAAAAAGTCAATAAATTCGAGGTTGTTAGTCAATATGCACTCAGCTGAAATGAGTTTCGTAAAATTATAATTTAAGTAATTTTCAAGTAATTATGTACGTTCAACGAACTGATACAAAAAATATAAAAGAGAATGTTCTTTAATCATAATGAAATACCACCTTATGAGACATTATTCTTCCAAGTAATTAATGTTGACAGTTATTATGAGACCACCATGATGTAAACTATTATCTTTGTCCTGACAGCGCTACATGTAGCTGTTTATGAAACTACATATTGTAAAAGAAATTTGTACCATCTATCGATAAAAAGTTATAAATAAATTCGTTATTTGACATGTGTCGCAGTAAACTTGACTGTGAATATATTATACAAACAAAGTAATTCTCTTTTTACAAATATTGTATTAAATTAAATAGTGTTATGTTATCTGTTACATGAAAATCTTTATAAAGATTCCGCTTTCTATACTTATTTTCTTTCTAAATGGATCAGATATTAGAAAATAGACAATATGACATTAAGAAACAAAGGTTATTCGATGTAAAACAACAAGAACGGAAAAATTGAAAAGCAGGAAGTTAAGGAAGAGAAATTAACGAGATTGATGATTTTCTGTAATCATTAATAATCATGAATATATTTGGGTTTCGAAACAAAAATAATAAAAACACTGACCAAAATTTTGTTCGATTGCATGATCAAAAATTGACAGTTTCTGACTTAGTATATAAATACTTAAGAAAGATCGCATACATTGACAGCATACGAAAGCAGCATAATAATGCATGTAGTAAGTTCCGAAAAAAAAATGCAAGGAAAAGAATTATATATCCTTCACGTAAGTGTAGGTATACATGAATGTAGATATAAATTTCGATTATTAATTACATTTTATTTAGCTTCTTTAATTTACTTTTAATATATATATTTTTCAATTTATAGATGTTAATGGAATAAGATCTTACATAAAGGATGCCCTTTCTTTTGCTGTATATTCTGGATATTTGATTCCTACCGACCGAACCGGAAAGTTTCTGCGACTTTCTGCATGTTTGACATTACGTCACACTTTCGACGGGAAATAATGGACATAAACAAAAAAAAAAAAAAAAAAAAAAAAAAAAAAAAAAAAAAAAAAAAAAAAAAAAAAAAAGAAAAGAATAAAACTAAACATACAATAATAAAGAAATAAGTATAAAAGGAAACAGAGGTACGAGAAGCAGTTTATTGTATATTTGCCAGAATTTATACAAATTTGTGTATGACAAAAATGTGATATAAAAGGTTCATCATAAAAATTGGAGAATGGTTAAAGAACGATTTCTCGTCGATTAATTAAAAAGTATTTTATCTTGGACAGCTGTTATTAAAATCGAAATTATGTTTAGAAGAGTCACGTGTTTAATTGTTCGTGGTTCGTCGATTCTCTTGTTCTTTACACTTTTCTTGGCAACGTTTAATCCATTCTTTTAATTCTTTTCGATGCTTTTTGGATCTCGAAGGGGAAATCTCGTTTAATGCGTCGTGAATATTTTCAGCATTATCCGATAATTTCTCATTTAATATGCTATTTTCTGTCCTTGTGCTATCGCCAATTTCTGTTGTACTCTTTCTTCTATGATTATTTCTTCTTCTCGAAGAATCCATCAATGACATATGAGTTGTCCCTGTTTGTCCTTTTTTATTTATCGTTCTGTCAAGATTTTCTACTACATTTGCCACACTTCTTTGTTTTCTTGAATTATCTTTTGCACTTTTGTGCATTTCATTCTCGCATACGCATTGGTTTACGTTTTCGTCTGTCGAGGTCGTGCTGCAAGAACATTCTTGTGTTTCTCCGGTTGAAATATCCCTTCCACGTCTCTCTTGTTTTCGGGAAGTTGTTCTCGATTCATTGGCTGAAACTCTTCGATTTTTACTTGGAAGTTCTGGCTCCTCGTCAGATGTTGTTTCACAATTGCAATTGTTATCTTCGTCATCGCGTTTTCTTTTCTTAATTAACGCAGGCAATGAGCAATCCTTTCGATCATTCAAGCAAGTGACTTGATTCATTGAGATCGCATTTGGACCGATTAAGTGGTATTCATTTTCTAATAATTCCATGACGAATCTAACACAGAAATTTATGAATAAATAAAAAGAAGCGATAATTAATTATTAATTATTCAAGAAGTCATTAGAATAATTATTTAAAAATTATCATCCATTTTTAAAATCTTTAAAAGTTACAAGATCTTACAATTTACACTGATTTACTTAATAGCCTATAAAATTTTTGTGCAGTAATGGTAGATAGGTTAAATATAAGAAGATATTGTTATTATACTTGTATTAACTTTATACTGATACTATTGTATGCATTACTATTATACTTACACTAATTTTATACTTATTATTATATCTATATATCATTAACCCAATAACTTTTCTTTATTGTCCACAGTAACTCTACAAGTCTCGGCAAGCGAAGGTTCTTTCTTAGGCCCCCTAAATAAAGGAATATTGAAAGCGTATGGGAGAAAAATGATTTTTCATTGAGTGAAATGAACTGATGGAAGCGTTACATTTAACAGCCTGAACTAAACTGGTCGATAGATGCACGGTCTGCGAGCGAGATAAACGGTTTGCAGTTGCCTTGAAACGCGATCGTGTCTCACGCGAGACACAATTTTCGCCTGCACCGGCTGTTTCGCTTCGTTTGACGCAGAACTAACCCTTGGGAACAGACCTGTTTCAGCGCGGTTCGCACCTGAGCGTAAAGGTCACCGTCGTCGCGATAATTCACTTGAATATAGCCGACGATATCCTCCACCGAGGAGGTCGGTAGCAGGTCATCTTCTTGGCGCTGTAACCATCTCATTGCTTCCATTACGCGCAGAGAGAATCGTGACGAATGTTCAGCTATACGCATGCACTCGCAAAATTTCTGTAAAGAATGATGTATATGAAAATGGAGTTCATAATATCTATAATTTGATGTTCGATATGGAGATCTATTAACGATAAATTCATTATATTGATATCAAGTTAAGGATGAAGACTCGAGAAGTTGAAATTAATAATAAATATTGTATAATTGCTATTATTAAAATGCAATTAGTATGATAGATTGAAATATTTATTGTGGAAATTTGTGTAACAATGAAATTTGTTTCGATATAATTTTGCAAATGAACTTTTCATCATTTTTAAATATTATCAAAAAATTGTTAAAGGATCGTTAAAAAGTTTTAAAGAATCGCAAAAAATGATTAGAAAATAATATAAGTTTTTGAAAATTTTGTTTCTTTATAGATTCGATTGGACCTTTACAACAACGGGATCTTCTTTTGAGCAAGGTGCTGCACAATATTTGGATTCGTCAACGTTATCTTCATCGTTATCGTCTAAATTTTCTTTTTCGTCTTCTTCAAGGATTTCATCGAGTATCCTATTCGCCTCTTCGTCCGATAACGTTCTTCGTTTTGAATTGTCCATTCTCAGTATAAAAAATCACTAATAAAAAGCATATTAAATGTAAGGAAAACAATGCATATGGCTATCATACATGTGAATTTGAAGATAATCGTTTATTGAGATACCTTCATGGTATATTATCTTTAAGAAAGCTGTATAATGATAATAATACATTTGGAACAATTATATTTTTTACAAGAGTCAGGTATATTTTTTAATAAATAGATACCAGTTAGATATGTGAAAAAATTTAACAGAAAAAGGATATAACGAAAACATGAAATAAAGACAATGAAATATTTTAAGATGTTTAGTTAATTTAACTAGAATTAAAATTATTTGTCTATTTTTTATCATTATCGTTCATTTCTATTATATTATGTTATATCCTTAATATTAATGTTAGTGAGTCATATATCACTGAATTCGTTATAGTATGAATAAGAATAATAATGATAACATTCTTACAGATTTATCAGTATTATACTATACAATCCTGCGACTACATCAAAAAGAAGACAATGTTATCTCATTTTCTAAAACGTATCGGATCCATCTTAGTTAGAGAGTTACATGAGCTTACGGGTTTCGTCTGAAACCATGTTTTCCACGTGTCAGTATCGATTTGCAATTGAAATTACACTACATGTACATGCTACAGTCTGAGGGCGGTATGTTGGAATGGAGAGGAAAAAATAGGAGGAGCATTTGATCGCTGGTGGGAGAACTGTATGAGTAAAATATTAATAAGAAGCTGTCACTGAGCAATGTCTGAGCGTACACGGAAGTGGTATGCTTTTATTTTAATAATAATGTTGTATTGCAAATCACTATGAATTATTGTCTCAACATTAGCGTGTAATAGAATTCCACCATTCTTCTTCTATCCTTTTGTTGTGGTATTCAACATGTATGCTGCAAAGAAGAAATGGTCGTTCTCTTATGCAGAATATATTTACATCTGGATGTACAAAATAGCATAATAATGGCCATTAAATTAAATTAAAATTAATAGCATGATAATAATGATACTTCTGGTGACTTTTCATTGATTAAGATTGTTGAAAAGTATTTTTTTTGAGCATTTAATCTTTATGATATTTTTAATTTTTCTAGGTATCTATTAAAAAAAGAAGAAGGATTACTTATATAAAAGTATAATGTCTTCTGGGAAATCTTTACTTATGTTACAATTATTTGATAAAATCTCTAGAAATAACTAATGTAATACCTAGAATCCGGAGAGCTTCAGGAAATAACATTTAAAGAAGGAACTATCAAGAATCAAACCAGTTTAAGTTTCCGTTGCTCCATTTAGAATATCTCAAAGGCGTTGATTGTTGTTTCGCATCTGATAATAGTGACGAGCCATTTGGCCAAGTATTACTTGGACGAGTGCGGATAAGAACCGTGCCAGCGCGGTAAGCCACAATTTGCCAACAGCCTGGGAACCGAAGGGCTGTATATTCCTTCTATGCCTCACGGGACCAAATAACCTAACTGATTAACTTCCGACAATTGAAGAGTCACAGTATTATTATATTTTATAATACTTTTTAATCTAACAGCATTTAAAATTAATTCGTGAGAAAATTGATGGAGAAACTAAAGTAAATAACCTCTGGAAGAAACTGTAAGATTTAAGAGGTTACTAATCTAGAAGAGAAAGGAGAAACAGTAAAAATAAATTAATAGTAATTAAATAATTGTACGCCATTTTTAAATAAAATATATTATCCTTTTATACAAATTGGTTCTCAATCTTTTCAGGATTAAACATAGGGACTAAATAATAGGGTTCACAAGTAAATTCAACCAAATATGAAATGATTCACGTTGCTTTAAAATAACTTTGGTAACTCAAGGAAAGAAACAAACATCGACATGTTAATTTTTTATCGCAGACAATAGTTCCCGCGCAAAGAAAGCGTAAACGAAGTAACGAAAACGGAAACCTGCTAATCAGTACACACCTGACACGAAATACGTAGAAGGAACGCAGAACGTAGTGGGAACCAGTGGTAAATAGGCAAATTGAGCGAAGTAAGAAAAGTTTAATCGCGTCTTTTGCCGACGAAGAGGGGCGTCCTCGTGACGACTTGATGAGATAACTTTGCTCGAGTTGTGAAACAACGGGCGTCACGAATACGTGACTTTGTGCGAGGGTGAAAGAGGAATCCGTGCTTCCTACGCGAAGATGGTAAACGGTGGATGAAATTAAGGGCTAAACACGCGACCCCTTCGCCATGATGTCGCTTCTAGGTGTACGACACGTGGGATAGTGCGTGATCTTCTTTCATATCCACCACTTACGAACAGAGAGAATAAACATTTTGCTCGTAGAATGACAAAAAATACTTGTTGAAGCTTCTCCGGTTGAGTTGTTTGTGCCTTGGACTCAGAATAATATGAAATTTTAGGATCTCTTTAACTTCTTTCAATATAGGAATTATTATATTTCAAACAATAAAAGTACCAAGCTTCTTTGACATTATCAGATGAAAATGATTCGTTAATGAAAATAGTAAATATTCTTATATTCATATATTCTATTAAATGATATAATTACTTGGCATACGTTGATTTCTGATAACAGATTAATTTTAGTGATCATTTTCTAGGATAAAAAGTAATACTTAAGAGGATTAAATGGGAACTCTGGTATATTCAATATTAAAAGAGTTGAGGCAACAGCACGTAAAATGCAATGGCGACACAAAGATATCGTTTAGGTGTGTAATCCGTTGTTTCCAGGATTGCGATTACGCGGATTAGCTAGAGGTCGCGGCGGCGTCATGGGTGATCTAAGGGGTTTCGGGACGCGACCGGGGCTCAGGAGGTCACATGACGTGATGTCACGTTACTCGCTGGTCGTGGACAGGTGTTTGGGTTCGCACGAGCGGAGACCAAGCGAGCAAAAGCCGTGAGGGCGTTTGCTATCGCGAATCCAGCCGCATAATCATTACGAGCGGTCGACAGTGCGACGAGAACGCGGTTCGTAATGTCAGGACAGATCTTGTTGATTATTTTTGTTTCACTGGGAAAACGTCAGACATGATGGAATCGATTAGCAGGCATTTCTTTCATTGGTACCACTATAGATGGATGATTACCATTATGAAATGATAATTACTTGTTCTTAAAACGAGCACATAGTTTCTTTTTTAAATTTTAGATAAGAAATGGGAAATATTAAATAAACAATCTGATCCAAGGCATATATTGATACGTTTGTACTTGGTGTTTGTAAAGGATATAAAAATACTTATGTAATGATAAAGAAGGTTACCAGATAAAAGATAAATGTAAGTGAAATATTGTAAAAATTACTAGAATAAGTTGTATGTTTAAAAGTAGGTCTGAGAATGATTCATTCGGCTTCTTACAGATACACCTGGTAAACTTGTGGAAGCTAAACTGTTCCTAAGACACCTGTACCGCGACCTCGTGAGATCAGGGCCACATGGCGGTGGGCGCATCACCCTTCAACGCTAAATTAGATATTACGATAACAAATGGCGTTATTTAACCCGCGGTGAGCCCCCCCCAAGTTAAATTTGAACAGGCAATATAATCCACGCTGCTCGTTCCCTTTTTTCGTATACGAAAACGACACGCTATCCCGTAAATCACCGTCGCACCTCTAACCATCTTTCGTGCAATTACGTATCCACTGTTACTATTCAACTTTCGTTAAAGAAAGAAGCAAGATCTAATACTATAAATCTGATAAAAATTAAGTGTATCCACAAAAAATTAAGTATGTACAACGAATGTTGAATTCATTATACTTAAAAGAAATTTAATTTCATCTACAGAAGTTGATTCGATAAGAAGATACTGGTGAGCCCTTATAAATTTCTTTTAGGCAAATTACAGGAAAATTGGAGAAAATATGGCACAAAATATTTATTTATCTATAGTACGCTATATTCGTTTTTAGATTAATATTTTTTAAACACTTGCATCACGGGTTCAGAAACACATTTGTTATTAATTTAAGTTAGACATTAGCTCCATCGAAAAAAATTAAAAATTAGAATCTGTTTGGTAATTTAATTATTAATATTATTAATATTTTTTGATTATTCTGAATCGATTATTTTGTACAATACATAGTAATATACACGCGAAGGTCAAAGGACCTGGTTGCTCCGTTGCAGTACAGCTAACTCTGGCAGAAAGCACTCGATCTTTTGACCATTAATTGCCATCCATGTCGGACGAACGACGGGGGTTGCGACATTGTTGAGGTCGAATAGAAACAATTTTAGCTCCGAGTTGAGCTCATTAATGTTGCAGTTCCCCCATTTGATGTTGGCTACCTGGTCGTGTAATTTACTTCATAATAATTACCGACACATTAAACATTCGTAGGTAACATGAAAGTGTCAGCTGCCGATTGTCCCAGAGTCATTAGAAATATGTAGTCAGTTTCTGTATACTGGACTAGCATAGTGTACAAATGTCCTTGCGTATGTATAAATGGAGGTGGTAAATGCTGTAAAATAATTTGCTAAAAGATGAGGAGAAATTGTACTACACGAAAATGCGACATTATCATCTGTATTTAAACTTTTAAAAACTGAGAACCGGATGAAAAATTTAAAGGTGAGGTGTATTTTGCTTTAAAACAATTTATAACAAAAGTTTAGATATGATTAGTGAGAGAAAAATGTTTACTAATGACTACTGATATAAAATTATATATGATAATTTCTTTAGATGAGAGCACAGCCATCCATAGGCGTGTTATGGAGTTGCCCAAGGACTGTCAACAGCAGCACAGAGTTGATCCCAGAAATCAGGAAAAGTGTGGATATGTAAGTATTTACTTTGTCTTTGCCCTTTTCTTTGTCTATATAATTTGCTCATTATGTTCATATATTTGTATATTATCTTATATTACTTGTATCTTTGCAGCACTATATATTTATAATATTTTGCATTTTCTTGTGGCATTAGGTATTACAACAATTGCGGTAAGATAAATTTTACCTTTATACAACATATTCTACATTATACTTTTATAAAAATTTCTATAATTCTATTCTGTAATAACATCTTAACAATAATAATAGTATACTAAGAAAATTTTACTACTTATCCATATATTTAAAGAAAGAGACTCTTAATGTATTTATACTATGACTTTGTATGGAAAAATCATAAATATTCATTATTACAATTTTTTACAGGTGGAAACCGAAGTTTATCCATTAATTCGAGCCGCGGATCAGAAAATAAAAATAAAACCAAAACGAAAAGAGCTTAAAAGCGTATTTCATAAACAGTAATGTCCATCAGTAACAACTTTCAACGCAATACCGATGCTAATCTCCATCATTTAATCATTCAAGATACGAAAAGCCCTATTATAACAACAGATCTACAGATTAGAATTGTGATACGTGCGTAAGGCTGAGTGATTATCACTGGCGGACCAATATTCGGGATTGGTCGGTCAGCTTGACTTTTGCCTTGTTTGACCACTTAAATTACCTACCGACTGCTCACCCCTAACGATTCAGGGGCGGAACAATTGTTTGTTTCCGAGATGCGCATGCACGGAGAGGCGGAACCACCCTTAGCGTCGACGAATTGGAGATCTTTTCGGTGAGAAGGTATGCAAGTAAAGAAGCACGTGATACGGAACGTCAACAGGCTCGACGGGAAGTCGAAGTCGTGACAAGGAAGAAGTTCCGCTGTGGAGAATCTCCTCTTGGAATCTTAACACTGTCCTCAAGGATCCAAATAACACTTTTTGAGATATCACTGTGAATACAAGAATAATTGATTTATGATAAATTAGTAACGGAAAAGAAGTTGTGGTTTCTATTTTGCATGGAACTAATGTGTTCAAGATTGAGAGAATTAAGAAGAAATAGTGCATTTATGTGAACGAAAATACTCTCGATGAACCTGATACGTTACGAGTTTTAATTAATTAAATACAAGGAACATCTATTGAGATAGTTATAACATTTCAAAGGACTTTTATTGAATAGTTGCGGTATCTGGTCTAATAGTAAAGGAAAAATGATTTGACCGAATTTATCCGTTTCATCCGTGTTAGAGAGTTCTAAAGCTATCTCCTTTAGAGGAATGAGCTCTCACGCGCATGCAAGAACAATTTGTAGCGGAAGCGCAGTGTCAGGCGCGGTTTCTGCTTTGCATTTCTTAAGAAGCTATAGTCTATTTGCACCAACTTCAGGTATTTTTGCGGATTTTTGATCAATTTACACTCTGTTGTTTTATTTTTTGCACAGAAATTTATCTTTTACTTTTTTTATATTCATTTATTTCATAATTATATAAGTATTGCTAAAATGTTTACTTTTTCTTTGCAAACGTTTATGATTTTATTTCTTTTATAATAACAAAACAATGAAGGAACGTAACATCTTTTATATATCAACATGGTATGCAAATTGATATACATATATAAATTTCATTATGCATTTATTAAATTATATTTTCTTCTAATTATGCAATTTTATACATTGTTTAGTTAAAAAGTCAATTTATGGACAAATGAACATATTGGTCAATATGCAACTAGAGTTAAGGCAATTTCCAGACGTTTTCCAACTCCTCTAGTAGCCGTGATCGTCTAGTGGTTAGGACCCTACGTTGTGGCCGTAGTAACCCAGGTTCGAATCCTGGTCACGGCAATGTGTGGTACCAATTTGATGACACATTGTCACGGTAGAGGGATTATTTTTTTTTTAACACTTTTAAGTAAAAACTTATTCTACATTTATTTACTGATTTTTAATTTTTTTCGCCACTATTTATTTAATTCAATATTTATTTTTACGTTCCAATTTTTCTTCCTTTATAGAATGCATGAATATAATTCCGTATATCCCTGTTATTGTTATTAATATAATCCGTAGTAAAGCAGTAATAGAAAAGGTAATTACGAAATGATAAAATTATTTTGACGAAGATAGATTTTCAGATTTGCTTAATAAATGTTTATTTATTAACATATTAACACAGTTAATTAAGAAGAACCTACTGTCAATATGTATTCAACGCTGTAAAATTAATTGTGTATTTAATTTATCTAATGTTAGTGAAATTGTATCTTCAAAATTGAATTTTTATTTTGTTTTTAGATTTCGTGTAAATTATTCATTTTAATTGTAGAAATTTATTTTCTTCTTTTTCTTTATACATTTACATGGTAACGATCATTCAGTTATTACTGACGATACGATGTCCTTTCATACAGTAATAAGTAAAAAATTTTTTGTTTTTTATGGAAAAGAAAAAAGTAAATGTTTTTTTATTACCCCTGGTGGGACTCGAACCCACAATCCCCGGTTTAGGAGACCGATGCCTTATCCATTAGGCCACAGGGGCTGTTGATATTGTTCCTCTTTATACTAAATACAATGAGATAATAAATTTATATAGATGTAACTAATTAATTTATTAGTATAAGAATAATATTTTTAAAAATAATTAAATTAAATAAACAAATTCCATTAATATATTGTATACATTTTGACTACTAAGTACATTACTCAAAAATTAGAAAGTAATTTACAATATGTATATTTTATTATAATGTATGATATTGAAAATTATAATAAAATATATGAATTTTATAGATTTGTGCAGATACGAGCCATATAATTCTAAAGATTATAACTTTGGAAATACGAACAGTTTAGAAAGTTCTAACACACCAGACACAGCAATTGGCCGGACATCATCGTCATTAACACCCCCATCTTTGTCAACAACATTTTCACTTCCGGGATCTTTATTTCAACCACCGTTCATAACTACAATGCCACCATTAATGCAATCCATAAGTGTGCCTCCAACATTTTCAAATAGCAATTCAAGTAAGTTGACGTTATTTTTGATTATTTACTTTATAAAATGTGTTTATAAATCGCACACTATTATTTATTTATTATGAGTGTATGTAATCAACCGCCTCGGTAGCGCAGTAGGCAGCGCGTAAGTCTCATAATCTTAAGGTCGTGAGTTCGATCCTCACCCGGGGCAAGTTGATTTTTGTTGTTATATTTTATCTTTTTATAATATATGTTAATAATAATTGAATATTCGGACGGGATACATTTTATAATTCCATAAATACAATTTAGTAAATAGCTTAATCAGAGATTAGTATTAATTTAATAAAATATCGGTAAAACAGATGGCATGGTAAGTCGCCACTTTTTGGGGGCAAATAGTATTACAAGCGTACATAGACGACCTAGGAGTGAAAAAAAACCAATTCCGGATGAACAAAAAGATGAGAAATATTATGAAAGACGTAAACGTAACAATCAAGCTGCAAAAAAATCTCGTGATGCTCGAAAGATTCGAGAAGATAATGTGAGTAAAAATTTATATTCAAACTACACTTCATTATGCTTAAAACTATATATTGTTACTTACAAAAGAAATAATATATTTATATTTAAATGCAATAAAAATTTTATTATAGATTGCATTACGAGCAACAATGTTGGAACATGAAAACGCAATTTTAAGGGCGCAAGTGATAACGCTTCGAGAGGAAGCTCAATGTCTTCGACACATGTTAATTAAGCAACAGATATCACCACTGCAATCCATCGATCGTTCGATTTCTTCAGTAACACCTGTTACATTGTCACCTCCACATTCGACCGCAACATTGGATTATAAAATTTGAAAATACCATTAATAAGAAGACATTATAGATAAATATTTTGGCAATTAAACAAATATTTTATAAAAATTATATTGAAAAACACATTAAATTTATGAAATAATATTGAATTACACAGTTAGGTTTGTCGTATCAAACATTTTTCAATTGTATGATCTTTATGTCCAAACAATCCATATATAGTTCACTTGAACAAAAAAAATACATAAGAAAATTATTCATTAACGATTTAATTAGATGAAACATCTTATTTTCTAAACTTAGTGATTACTTAAATAGATCTTAAAGTTAGAATGTGACATATTAATCAAAAATTGATTATTTTGCGCATATCATTCTAGTCGGAAGCCAGGAGAAATATGATTTTGTCGTTTTCTTAGATTAAGTAGGAATATTCATGTAAATAGGAATAAATGTATCATTTTATAATTGTTAACAAATAAAATTCTACTCATTACAAATTAAATAGCTTTATTGTTATATAATGATTGTTTAAAATACTATATTTTATATGTATATAATTCAATCAACATTACAATTGAAATGTTGAAAATGAAATTGAAATTCAATTGTTAATATTAAAAGAGTAAATTTAAACACGAGTCACCAACTAATGACAGAGTTAAAGATTGCGAGAACAAAAAGAGATCATATGACTGATTGCACTCGATATCACTATTTCGGCTTTCGATGTAATATAACGTTTCGTACATAAAACTATTTAAACTTTATTTTGCTGAAATAAAGGTATATTCTGTTTTCTTGTTTTGATTTATTTAGTAAATATATATGCATATATTGTGTTGGTGTAATTCATGAGCCTTTAATTTCCTGTCAGAATCACCTAACCTCAACAATTAAATTTCAACTATCATTTAATATTCATACAATAAAGAAGAAAAAAGTAATATTTCACAGAAATTTGAAAACGATTACTTTTTATGTAATTATTTTTAAATCAAATAATTAACAAATTCATTTTTTATTTGCAATATTTTAAAATAAAAATATTGTGAATTTAATTGAATACAAATCTACATTTCAAATTTCCCTCTCCTTTAATTTATTTGGATTGTGTACCATTGGTTCGATTTTACGTAATTGTTAAAAAGAAAAATAATAGATGTTTTATTTCAGTTTCACGATGTATGTCATATTTATTTTTATTGATACATAATTTATCAAATATTTATGTTTTGTTAACATTTTTATATTTTTTCCCTTTTTTTTTTACATATATATTCCTAATCACCTTCCATAAAAGACTAAGAATAATAAGTCATAATATTATAATTATAACGCATTTTGCTGTATATTAAATATCTATTAATAATAATTTTAGTAAAAATGAAATTAAAGACGATATTCCGATATTTACGTTTCTATGCCGTGGAGACTATAATTTTTTATTTCGTTCGTATTATAGTGATAGCTTAAACTTATTTTTAGTATTGTGTAGATAAGATAGATTACTTAGATTTATGCTGTCAAGTAGTTCATGAAATTCAGTGAGGTGTTTTATATTTATTTAAGCTGTTAATACCAAAAAAATGGCGTCTCCAGTCCTTGTAACTATATTTCTTGGATTGGCCATAAGTACGTTACTTTATTTTATGTTTGGAGATTATAAGGAAGAAAATGGAGAAAGTTCTTACCAATATAATCATGAGTATTATTCTGAGTAAGTATTCTACGTATAAGTTACATATAAGTTTATAATAAAAACATAACTGCATAACCTAACCTAAAATAATATATGTTTTCAGTATATCATCTAATAGTGAACAATGTGTAATATGTCAGGAACCACTGCCCAATCAACCTATACGTATCTTGGATTGCTCACATAAATTTCATGTGTTGTGTATTACAGCATGGAAAGAACAGTGTACTTCAGTAAGTAATATAAACGCAATAATGATGAATATATTTTGTAGTTATGAGTTTTTTTATTTTATCAAAAAATAAATCAATGAGTTTAAATTACACTTGATGTCATTTTACAGTTGAAAATAACATGCCCACTCTGCAGACGTACATTTAAATAATTTATATCAGATCACTAAATTTCATATCTTGCCATGAGACAAATTGCAAGAGTCAGATGGAGTTGAAGACAGAAAAAGAAAAAAAGTTATGTGTCCATTTGAGAGTTTCTTGTGATAGCTGCTTTTGTTAAATGACAGAAAAGAATTTATAGGGAATTTACTCACTTGTAAGACTCAGTTAGTTTTTTCCAAGACTAGTGAACAGTTATGCAATATTGAAGAAAGAAACGAAACGAGGTCAGAGAGTTTTTCATGATGCCGGTCAGTGAAATTTCATAAAATATTGATATATATAATTAATATTCACAATAAATAATTATAAACTATTTGTACTTACAATAGGTATTGAGACCTATGTATTAGGTATTAGCATGTGTCAATACTGACATTAAAAATTGTAAATCTTGAAAATAAAGCTAAATTTTTTTTTAATTCTTATGACATCTGTAATTTCGATAACAAAATGATTATATTAATTTTATTGTGTATACTTGTCTTATTTTGTAAATTATGAATTTTGCGTTAAACTTTCTTTTTTGAGTAGCTAAATTTCAACGCGATTTCGTATAAAATTTTTCTTTTTTTCAATGTTTCTATATTTGGTGTCCATATTCCACGGATCTTCCTGCATAAATTAAAATTAGTTGTATAATTTCATTTCTGTTACCAAGCTTTTTTAGTCAATATTTTTTCTTACTTACACGAGGGTACATCACTTCCATCCTCAGCACTTCCATATCGTATCATATTTTGCTAACAACTGATCGAGAGCAATGTATTATTGTGACTATTTCTGAGTAAATCACGATGCATTAACTCTGAGTAGTCGAACGATACTTTCGGATAACCACTTTCAAACGAAGTCTTCACTGGTGAGATACACTCGAAAGTAACTCGCGATAGTTTTCTTCTTAAGTGGACACGTAGCTTAACATGTTCTGATTAATACTATATTTTATGTGCTGTGTTTGAACCAAAATATATTTGGTAAATTTGGTAAACATTAAATTACATTAAAATTAAATTTTTTATAAATAATTATATAATTATTGTTAAGATGTGAGAGACAATGCATGCGTCTTAGCATGTGTGCGAGCATGCGTGCAGAGGTGTGTCAAGAGCTGTGATGCGTGCGTATTAGCCGTTTGCTCACTCGCGTGTTACGAGTTCGTTCCCGACGCGCGTCTGATTTATCTCGCGTGTTCGCAATAAATATAACAAAATAAAGTTTATTAGAAAAATATCACTATTTGCCAGTAAACTTATTAACAATTATTTACAAATAAAATATAAAATAATTTTTACAATTTAAAAAGTCAAGAGTGGAAAAATTTCCACATTGTTATATCTAAAATAATAGTATAATAATTATGCATAACAATTTTGTTATTTTCTTACATTAACGATAATGACAATTACAATAACATTATAATGTTGCAACATTACATTGTATTAATAACTATGATTTATAACAAAGTTGCATGCCTTATATTTTCAACACAGCATATATACAGGGTTATATACGTTATATCAATTGCTATGATTTTGTCAACTAGAAAATAAATGTACAATAAACTCATGGAAGTATAAGTATATAATGTAGTTTGTAATTAAAGTAATAGGTAAAAGAGTGAAATATTTATAATTCAAATTTAATATAAATTTACTTAAGATATGCAACTTATTTTGGTAAGTTATTTATATAGAACAGTGTGTTTATAAATTCATAATTTATATACGTAACGCATATGTAGGAAGATTTTTAGATAGCTCATATCTTTATAACACATTGTTATTATTATATAATATTTTTATTGTATAAGATATAGTAATAAAAGAATTCAGAAATTATATTTGCATAATACAAATAATATTTTAAAAAGTGTTAATTGCTTACTGAAATAACTTCACTATATAATTTAGTTATTAATAGTTTAATGTTTACTGTATTTTATACTTTTACCATTATGTGTGCAGCTCTACTCTTTATATAATTTTATAATTTATCACTGTCTACATTATCATAAGCAGTTTTATACATTCTTTAATTAACTTAAATTATTATCATTAATGTTGTAGTCGATGAAAACAATTAGTGCATTAAATTTGAATTTTCATTAATATAAATACAAAAGTAATTTATAATTGTTAGACAGCGCTAAGCTTAAAGGTTTGTAATTGTGATACTTGTGATAAGCAATTTTTAAATTACTACTATATTTTATAAATTGCGATCAATAATTTCCATGTGTAATATTTCATTCATATTACCGAAATTTTACTCATGTTTAATTAGCTGTCTTATAGAGTATAACATTATCATCAAATTAAATTACAAAAACTTTGAAAAATGTTATACTTGAACGCAAAAAATGTTGTTAACTTATGTATAACTTACGAATGATAGTTTATAAAGCGCGTTATAAAAATTATAAATATAAAATATAGAAGACGTTTTTGTGTAAAAAATGAAATAAAGTAAATATAATTTGTAAATAAGAAACAAGTATTATAAAATAGTAATTTTTTTCTTCTTTATATGTATGACGTTTATCCTTGATAATGTGGAAGTGAAAGTAAAGCCACGATAATTTTGATGCAGTATTGCAGTAATTGTAGATTGTTCAAACTGCTTATGAAACCTTATGAAACCTTAAAAAAAAAAAAAAATAGTAAAATATGAAAGAAATTAGTGAAAGATTAGAAATATTGAAAGATATGAACGATAACGATACAAATATGGCATTTATAAATATAATACTTATGATTATGCTACGTATGCAATGCTTTTCTTTTCACTAAACGTAAATGGCTTCCGTCGTTTCCGGTTCACTTGATTTGTATCCCTTTCGCAATCGTAACCATAAATTATGATGACTTTCTATTCTTTTTTGTGTTATTATTTCATGTCATCGGTTTAATGAATTGTATTCGGTAAGAATCTTTTCTTTAGAAATCGAAAATAAACAATTTCTTACACTACATGTATTATTTAAGAAAAACTTATAAGTAAAATGAGGTTACGTATGGTCATATAATAACCAATTAATAAGATATCGGAATTATTCATGAAAAAGTTATACAATAAGAAATAATTATACTATTAAAAGTCACTAAAAATACTACAAATTTGTCAAATTTGAACAAACAAATAGTGTTTTGTATTTACCGTGTGAATTCTTTATATACATATTTATGCGCGTACATGCTCATGGGATAATGCGTTTAAAATGAAAAGCGCGCGACCGTAATTTAAACTTTCAACTAAATAGAAGGGTTAACTTGTTACGTTTACAATTTCCCTCGGATTCTCGTAACAGCATGCACAATGGCTGCGAGTGGCGGTAATGTTTGTCCAGTGAGCGGTACGGGGAATGTAAGAGAACCGGTCAGTTACCCAAGAAACACTCTAGCTGGTAGCAGGACGATCGGTGTTGATCGTTAACTTCCGTGTATTTTTAACCGTATGTCTGGTGATCCATAGTAACGACAACACATGGAGATATAAAGGTGGCGGGAAATAGTCCATTGACGATGACCAACACTTAAAAAATTTCGAATTTCGCGGCTTTTCTGGCACTCGATTATCAAAATGCGTGAACAAGTTGAATACGATGCAGTGTCTGCTGTTAATTCTGTGCATTATTCGCATGATTGTGACCTCGGAAACTGTCGACGAAGAGCGAAGTAAGAATTCAAAATTTAAGCAACTGTCACTTTTACTAATTTTCTCATTTGATGTGAGATTTGATGTGAGAATTTTCTGATTTTAAACAGTGAAATATTTTCTGTAATTTTTATAAAATATTGTATAAGTATATTTATGTGCATTTTATGAAATTAAACAAGTGTATTTCTAAGAAGTATTGAGAATAGTTGGTTAATATAACGTTTCCAATATTAATAAATTAAATATTTCAGTCCTTATCTAAATTTACATTTATATTTGTAAGCCGAAATAAAATAAAAGAATTAAAATATTTTATTATTAATATTGTTTTAATTTCACGATGAACGCTTTTTCTATTTTTCGTAATTATAATTCAGAGTATAATATAATGGGAATCAACTATAGTATATACATAATAATTTAATAGTGCTCAAAATAAATAAATTAAAACATTGTTTAGCAATACAAAAAATTTTCACATTTAAAATATATTATCATTATGTAAATCAGGATGTTCACGGTATGAAATAATTTATTGTTGAATATAAACCGTGTCAACAGTTCAAAAGGTTTGTAACAGTTCTTCACGTTTTATTATTCGTGCTATAATTTCAATATAATCACGATTAGATAATTATGATATTCACAAGCATTTACAAAAGAATCAGTGTTCGGTCATTTCATGAATTACCATCGAAGAAACGATACTGTAAAGGCGACGACAAGCTCGTAAAAGTAGCACCAAAGCGTGTTGAATCGGGACACAGTCTCCATGGTAACCAGTCACATTCAAGAGCTGTTGGATTAACGGTGAAATTATTTCGTCCGGTGATTACGCCAATTATCACGTCGTAGTTAGCATGAACGAATTAACACTTAGCATAATGTTTACGCTTTTTTAAAACTGGCTGATCTATTTTCACAGAATAAAACACACAGCAGTGAATCGTTGCAAGGTTAAAAATCGATCGTCCCATTTCTCTGGACCGGTTTCGCGATTGTCAAGCAGGCCAAAACGAGTTTCCATTAATCTTCGAGTTCTCTTGTCTTATACGCATGCATACGCGATAATTAAATAAATTCTATTTTGGCTGACTAGCGCCCCCATATCTTTCCGCTTTTTCTAAGAAAGTTTATTCCTATGGTGAAATTCATTTTTTTCCTTGCAACATGCAAATCTATGTAAAGATTTTCAAGATATTTGTTATCTATGGTTTGTGACTTTTAAGAATCGTGCTGTGTAGCACGTAACCGCTAGGTCGAGCGCCAAACGATTATGTTGTCTTTCTATATTAATTCGATCGAAGATCCAGGAGAAAAATTAGTAGTATGCATTACGATAAAATATTCTGTTATACCTTAACGAAGCTTCTGGGTCACAAGATCATGTTATACATAAGGATTATCGTTCAAATAGTAATTAAATTATCCCAGATTGATCTAAGTAACGGGATAATTATCTCAGTGACAACGTAAGCGCCGCGTTAAAGTAGAAACAAACAGAAACTCGTTCCCGTTCGTAGCGCCTGTTCTTTAATTGCGGAAGTATAATGGGAAACATGCCGTAACACCAAATATGGTAGCACCACCTATCGGTTCTACATAATAATTATGATTTCGATGTGAGTATACTGATGAGTCGACATGTGAACAACGGTGAAAGCTTCCCCTAGCGGTAATGACGAAATGAAAAATTCTTCATGGTATTTATCCATCTCAGTTCGAGCTTAATCAATTTTTTTTTTTTTATTAGGAGTAAGAAATTCAGAAGTTACATTATTCCAAATTTTATATTTAATCGCAAGAAGAAGTGAAGTAAAATGGAAGATTTATATAAAATTTATTATGACTTTTATCGAACCTCTAACGAGGTTTCAAGTTCTTTAACCACTTACGTGGTATCTTAGACGATGGTAATAGTTTAATACAAATTCAAATGTGAGAGCATGTAGCACAAAGATGCATACATTCGTAAATCCGACAATCTTGTTCTCTTAAAATGAAATGAAAGCAGAATCCCCTAAGGCTTTTCGTTTTTTCTACCTAAATATATGTAGCACATACTGAAACTAGCAGCTCGAAGGAACTGGCTTTCTAATAAACATATTATGTTATCATCGATAACGTCATTAACATCAATGATCGTCATCCACGTTCGGGTGCAATATTATGCTTGCTCTTTCGCGTTTCTCTTCCATTATATAGTGGGTTTAAATAATTTTATAAGGACTACCGAATATTCTTTATATACAGACATGTTCAATTTTCTTTGAACGGATATTATGTATTTGGTTACATTTATTATTGTAATTTAATTTTAGACATGATAAAATTATTGTTATTATAATTACAAATTTTACGCGAAGGTAAATTATATTCAATAATTAATTTTTATTTTTCCGAATTTTAATTAAATTACTAATTTATATATATAACATAAATTACTAATTAATATTCGATCGAAAGTCTTGAATGTTTCTTGAATATTACTATCTTTGGTAATAAAGTAAAAGAATTAATGACAAAAATATTAGTTTTAGTCTAAATATATTTAATGTCAATGAATTTATAATCAAGATAGAATTAAGCTTACATTTTTTTAATTCATTTACTTATTTTTATAATGCATTTTCCTTATCTTGATTGACATTCTACCATTTATAATAAATTGTGTTGCAGTCAAAGGATTAGTACGAGACTGGGCGCCTCTAGTATGGCTTGCACCTGGCGAACTCTTTTTGCCCCTTGGGGTACCTGAATTCCTTGACAATATGCAATCTAATGATGACTATCTTCACACTAAAGTCGACGTAGGTAAATGAGAAATAATAAAAAAAATTATATAAATGAGATTAAAAAACGATGTAATCTATTTTATGAAATTTATGGAAAATAAATTGATTGAACGATTTTACTTTGACAGAAATACTGTTGAGGAATCGATCGTCATTCCTATATGGCCGAAAACCATCCGGTTCGGTGCCGATTTATGCTGTGATCAAGAACTGCATTGTTCCAGACGCTTCTACGGACGTGATAAATTTAAAGACTGTCAGAGACGGAAGAAAGTTGAGAAGAAAGGGGGACGAGACGCTGATAGCATCAAGGAACGCGCTGCAGATCGATGATTTCGGATCGTCCATGATCCTTACTAACGATGTTCCAGGAAAGATTTGGAAAGGCGATGTTAAACAGAGCCTCGAGGTACAGTAAATAAAAATATCACAAAAATGAGTTAGAAAGACAAATAGTAGTAATCAAAGTTAAAAGAAAACAATTTATAAAATAAAAGAAAAGTTTCTGTTTCTTAATTGAAGCAATAGTTATCAAAATGAAAAATAGAACTATTAAAAGTAGTCTACGATAATGAATAGTTCTCAGAAATTGTTTAATTGATTAGTTGATTTAGTAGATAATGAGGAATTCATTTGCAGAAATCTATCGATTTTGAGAAAAAGAAGAAAAAAGAGAACAGGTCCCGGAAGCTGCACTTTCACGTGACCTATTGGATGTTCTATCCGTTCAGCGAGGGAAAGGTAGTCTGCGTTCTGGATCTTGGATTTTTTGGTAGCTGGCCGATACCTACGGTGGGTGGGATATGCTTCGGAATACTGAAAGAATATGGTAACCACGTGGGCGATTGGGAACACATGAGTCTTTACTTTAAGGTAAGTTTGTCATGTCAATTCGAAAAAAGTAAAGTACTTTCTTTTTGTTCTAAATAAAAATTGAAAATGTTGAAAAGTCTTTATATTGTTATAATATGTAAATAAAAGACTCAAAATTTGTTGCATATTATTTGTATTTTGGGTCATTCTTCGTGTTTTTATTAGAATTTTATATGTATTTGTCAAGAAAATCGTGTACAAATTTCAGTATAGATGAGAGTATTTTAGAGATTATGTTTATTGTATTTGTGTTGTATTTTTATTATTCTATATTAGTCCATATAAAATAATCCATTTTCCTTTTCTTTTTTGAAATTCAGGATACAAATTATCCATCAGCGATGTATGTGTCTGCTCATGACGCAGGCGCGTTTTATCGTTACGACCTGCGAAGTGGAACCTTTATATATGAGAGCCAAGAGACACGAAAAGGAATTTTTCAAAAACCTATATTTCCCGAAAGAGTTTTTACTGCTGGTGGCTCTCATCCGATATTGTTTAGTGCGCGAGGATCACATGGACTTTGGACGGCACCAGGGAAACACAAATTCGTCAGATTACCTCGTCTCTATGACGAAAGTGGGTTTGGTACTGCTTGGCCTACTTGGAAGAAAATCGAATTGCTTCTGAAAAAGAATAATAGTATCTTACCTACCTGGATGACATTCAGGGGCAAGTGGGGCAATCCTAGAAGTAATTGTCATCCTTTAGCCAAACTCGGTTTCAACATTTGCGAATTTGTTGATGGCCCGACTGGTATTCTCACAAAACAGTCAAGTTTCCGATGTTGATGAGGTTTTTACAATTTTTCAACATACCCTATTCCTCGTGAAACTACAGATTTATACGCATTTTAAATAATATGTTGAAGTTGATGCTGTGTAAGTTTTAGCTATTATATGTACAAATAAAATTAATGATGAATACAAATTTTAGAAATAATAACATAGTGTCATATGTACGAGATGTAGCAAATGTATTATATTATAAATTGTTTTATATTAGTCTCGTCTATGAATGTAAAAACTTAAATAGTTTAGTCATTAAAAAGCAAAAATTTATAATTAGTAAAATGCGCATTGGTATAACGTAAATTGTGAAGAACTTATAATTTTTTCAAAAATAATTGGTTACTCTAAACTATTTCTCTTAGTGCTACCAAGTGCTCTAATTATTTTCGAATATATGCATTATTTGTAAATAATGGGATACTATAATTTTATCCTTCAAGTAAAGATATAAATAATAGGGTTTGATATGAAATAATTAATAATATAAAAAAATTTCGTTGAAATCGTTTCCATTTTAATAATTCGTATCAGCTTAGCAAGGAATTACAAAACAGCATCGTCATTCGCAAAACTTACTTTTGATTAGTGATATATTCTTATCGTTTAAAATCTATGCTCGATGTAAAACGATAATAAAATACAATTTTGTTACTATAGATAGATCGACAATAACTATTAAAAGATGTAATAGATTTTTATATATAGGCATTATGTGATACGTTTTTGTTTAAGAAGGAACAGTAGGCAAATGCGGTACTTAACGATAGCTCGTATTTATACGTATCTCGATGTGATCTTCCAAAAAAAGGCCGATCAAAGGAACACTTTATTCCTTGCGTCGAGATTATCATTATAATAATCCTCCACACAAGAGAAGAAAGAAGTCCTGCGGTTGTGATATAGGCCTGTGCAATTAGGTCAATTGCAATAAATTCGAAGAGAAGCTCTTTTTTTATATTGAACATTGCATATTTCGAAATTTATACCGTGCAATTTGAAACAGACTGTGCAGTTAAAATGATCTCGATAGATAAAATATTTATTGCATTATGCTTGAAATTGAACACACGTGCATGTAACTTTCTTACAGCTAAAGTGGTGATCATTAATAATTGTTTTGCACGATTAAAGTTCGAAATAAGGAATGTTCTCGTGCATCAGTGTTATCTCCTGTCACATTATACGTTTCCCACTGGATACATGCGCTATTGCTTGGTGTGCCTCGATCTCTGTATTAATTTAGAGATCCTGTTGGCTTTGCATGCTCAAAGATGCCTTCAATTTTCTACCCAGCACCTGTGAAAAGAAACACTCGACTCTTAAATATTCGAGTAATAATATCAGTATCAACGAGATCTACTCGGAGACCTCTTCTTCATTTGATCGTTCCACGGCGATACTGCGTATTCCATTCCTTAATAATGGAGTGCCCTTGCCTTTTCCCAAGACGCGTGCGTTCAATTGGATCTTTAATGAAGTTCCACCCTTACAACACATTATTTGCACCTCTTCCTTTAAAATCTTTTCCTTATGTGCAAACAATTCTATTTTTAACCTGTTATAAAAATAGAAGTTTATTGGAATAAAAATTTAGGGGATCTTAAATAAAAAGAAATTGTTTGCAAATGCATAAAATTTAATATATATGTATAAAGAAATGTAGTAATAAGTGATTTACCTTAGGCCTTCCTTTTCATGTATCAGGTCTATAATATGGCAATTAGTATTATGACTTCCCGAGATTATTGCTGGCGCGGAACTCTTTCGGTCTCTATGTACACATAAATTCCAAGGAATCGAAAATTCCACGTGATATCTTAAAAGATAATTACAAAAAGATACATTACATTTTATCAAAAGTTTTTAATATTAAATTCAATGAAATTCATTTTTATTCATTAGGATATGTTAATTTCTTAATATATTTACAGAAGAAAATGTAACCTGTGATAAAGTTGTAAAAATCCAAGATGAGCATCTATTTGTCCATGTCGTTGTGGTTGTATCATAATGTTGTTGTCTTTTCCTAGCCCACTTCCCCCACTAAAGTGTACGTGGTGCTCTAAATATAAGATTTAACAAATAAGAAAAGGTCATGCCATACATATCGTATATCTTATGTAAATTATGTAAATGCATATCTGTACGAATGATTATTGGTAATTTCCCCGAAATACGCATTACCGTGTGATTTTGAGATCTCTTTTCTACTTTTATTCCATGAAATGTAAACTTATTTATTTATAATGACGTACAGTATCAACACTAATACTACGTTAAACATTACATGTTAATATTAATGCGCGTAATGTTATTACCTAAATTTAACAAAAAAATATTTTTTTATGACATGTAATGAATATGTTATTTTTATATAACTTCTTAGTATATCTGTCATAATTATATTATATTTTGGAATCTTTTTTTTTTTTTTATTTTTCCGAGCCAAATATCAAGTATCAATGATATTATATTAATAATTTTGATTTTCGTTACAAATTTATTCTTTTATTTAAAATCCGTAACTTATGCTGCCTAAATCAAATTATTTGTGTATATTCGTAACCACTAACTTCTTACTTATCTTCGTATGAGAAGAATCGAGAAATTAATTAGAATGAAAACATGTTTGAAAACAAACATATATTATTATATTGTGTTAATGTGATAACGTAACAAAGATAGTTAATGAAAGTAACAATTTGACAGATTACACAAATATAAACAGCAGCAGTAATATCTAAAGAAACGTGTTAATTGAGATCGAATCTTTCCGAATGGTAAACAAATTTTCAAGTTCCTTTCATAATTCTTTCCTGCGTTTGCGCAATAAACTACTAACTACCAGTTAGGGAAGTTACACGCCCCCTCGTATAAGAAAGAATCAATTATGTTTAGGCGGGAACATAAATTGAATAATAACACATAAATCAATTCAATTGCAAGGAAAGTTGCAAAAATAGTCTTCCTTATATTGTATGATATTTCAGTCAATATTTTAAAAATATAAGGTTACGTAATATTTTGATATTTTTAATTTCAATAAACTATTGGTATAAATGATATAATATAAATACAATCTATTAAAATCAAAAATATATGTTACGACATAGAAACGTACGTTATTTAATTTATATACGTATTTGTGTGTCAGTATGTTGATTTAGATCATCACCAAGTGTCGTAAAATGTAATTATAACAGTTTTCCTTAAATGATGCATAATATTCGTCACTTTATAGTCTATAGATAAATTTTTCAACCTATAAAATATGAAAAGTTGAAGGTCGATTAGATATCAACTGTTGACCACGCAATTTAGTAAATCTTGAAACGTGATATAATAAAAGAACTCACTCTCGATAAGTATACAAAATAAGAGGATAGGTGTTTTAAAGAAACAAATCAATACCAGTGAAGTGCATTAACAATGTAGAGTTCTTTCGATACCAGATACTTTCGAAGTGGCGCGCTTTCAAATGACCCAATTACGAGCGTATCCTAACCTAATACGTCAAGCACCAACCGGCATCAAAGAAATTGCGAAATCATAATTTTTCGTACAAATTTTAAGGTGTATTGATATTTCCATCATTTCAAATATCAATTAATCAATATATGGGAGCACAGGTATTTGGTAATATCTAATAATATATACTTGTACTGTAAAATACAGGATGAATCTTAATCGTGATAAAAATAACTATATAGAGTAAAAATGGATATATATTACAGTAATATTCTTTTACCTTTATCTCCCATGTTTTATAAGGCAATGAGGCAGTTGTACTTTCATGCTACACACAACTAATTTAATATTCTGCAACACAACGCTAAGCTATTCTTTAATATGTTAGTGCATGTATGAGTATAGATGCTTAACGCATCGAATAGTTGAATACATTGATACTGATGGCAGCACTGTTTTTATTTAAGAATCCTATTTTCATCTATTTCTATTCTTTTCTTTAAATAGAAAATTTCGTTAACAAATCTTTATAAAATCTACTTCTCTGATATGGGGACAAATTAATTACAATATTAACTTATAATAGTTGAATAATTCTATTAAATGCCAAAAATTATTCGTGACACAGAATAGAACAGTGGATAATAACAATAATGATAATTAAAGTAGAAAGTTTCAACTTTAATCTACTGCTTAATGATGCAAAATATTTAAAACACACACACGATAACCTTACGTGTGTCACTAGATAAAACATTTTATTCCCTGAAAACTTTGTTATGAAGATAAAATTGTAATATTAATGTATGTTGCATAAGAATTCACAATTAGAGGATATATAATTTTTTAATAAAAGACATTTAAAAGTGACAAAAATTTTTTAAAATGGTTCATACTAAACGGTTTTTCTGTTTAAATTACACAATTGTAATAAATATAATGTAATTATGATAAACATTTATACCTTTCAATAAATTTTAATTAGCATGATTAAAGTGCATTTAACGTGTTATTAGTAATTTCCTGTGCATCAGTGATGATTAACCACAATCTTCCAGCATGATCTTATTTCAACAGTAACGATATTCGGTACTTATTACAATTATTTTTGTCTATGTGATTACTTGTTCTCCTTGGTTTGCCCTTTAAATCAGCTATATTTTAATTAAAGCATCTGATGAAGAACTGAAGATGTTCTTTATGAAACAGCATTGTAGTTATTAATTTCTTAAAATGGTTATAGTTTTCTTGTATTAATCCTTTTCTAATTACAAACATATTATTTTTACTTAATTATTTAAAATAATTTTTTTTATTTATTTCAGGATTGTTTAAATTTATGAATAATTTTTATTTCATTTTTAACTATTTCTAGTGCATTTCAACTTGTTCAGGAAATAGTTTAAGATACAAAACGACATTCTAATTTCAATTCGACGCACGATATAATCGTACTTTAATCATTGATTATGCATTGTTTTTTTAGTGCTTATTCAGTCATAAAGCAGTAGAAATAAGACAAAGGATACTTATAATTATAATAAGATAATAAAGATCATCGTCACTAGAAGATTGCATGTAACGATTTCTTTGAATCGTTTAATAGTTCTTGTTATAACAAAACTATTTACATTTCGTTATTAATATATAGCAAGTTTGTGATCCATACTACTATCTCAATGGATATGATAAAAGTAATTTCTTTTCTTTTTAATTTGTGAGAATGAAATCTTTTATATACATTTATATATATTACATTTATTGTTTTTTTTGTGCAGCGCCTGACTCTCAGAAAATCACGCTTTATCGGTCCACGTTTTGGAGCGAGTTCACATGTATAGAAATAATATATTACTGTATGATGTTAAAGTAAAATATATCTTTCCAATATTTTATCCTAAATATCATTCAATGACAAGTTCAATGCTGTCTAGCAATAGGAACTATTTAATTCGCAACTGAATTATGCGCACATCCATTGACACTGGTAAATTAATTTATCTAAAATTTAATTAATCATTTCTTTTGACTCTCTCGCTTATCTTCATTTTTTTCCAGTTTATAAAATCATAAATTCCATTTTTGATAGTGGTATTATGAACATTCGTGGAATCTGTCCTGTTATGTCCTCTTGAAGAGTTTGTCCATCAATTTATTGCTGCTTATGAGTTCCCTAAAATTTAAATACACATACATATATACACGTATACAATATAAATATTCTTTAAACGCAAGAAATTAAGCAAGAATGAATAACTATTCTCCAAAGATGATATAATTGCTCAATACATACCACTTGTATTATGCTTGAATAATTATAGTGCATAATTGATTCTGAAAAAACCATCAGAGGATCCTTTTACGTTAGTATAGTATTACAAATTTAACCATGTCCTTCGAGTTGAATGAAGAATAATCTGTAAAAATCACGTGTATGTATAATTAATTTAGCAATGAGATCTAGTAGTAAGCTGTACGTATAAGCTGTCGATCGTGCTCATGAATTATGTATTTTACTTTGGGCAATTTGAACAAGGAACATACGAAAATAATCATGTCGAAATATGAATAGGACAAACTTTTATCGATACGGCCTTCCAATAAATGTTTTGAATAATGATATAATACTTTTTGCTGAATCACTATTTTTTTTTTATTGTTTAAACGTTTGGTATAATATGGTATAACGTTTTATTTAATAATATAATATTTATATAATAATTATATAATAATTAATTATATTTATATAATATTTGGTTAAATATAATATATTTATAAATATAAAATATACATTTTTATTAAATTTCTGAAATTTATTATTAAAGATATAAATGAATTTATTTTGTTATTTCGAGAATATTATTTGCAAAGAAATGGAATTATTCGATATCATAATGAGAAATTAAAGATTTTATTTCATTAACTAATCAAACAAAAGACTTCATAAAATTCTATGTCTAGGTAACAATATTATAACACGATTAATTATTATTGTAAAATGATGGCAAGATTAATCACGAATCGTGAACTTATCGATTCAGAATTCGACTAAATTTATAAATTTTAATGCTTTTTGAGACAGAAATTTCTATATCTTGTATTATGTGTGAGTTTACCCGGAAAAAATATGAATATTTCTATCTATTTCTAAGAATTAGATTGTACACGCAATTTACAACCAATTTACAAACATTCTTTATACATGGATTAAAAAAAAAGAATAACAAAATATCAATCATTATTTAAATGAAATTCAACTTGTATGTTTGCATCGTAATATCATTTCAGATCCGACATTTTTCGTTTTCAAGGACTTTAAAAACAGAACAAAATACCCACAAATTTTGTTAGCATCAACAAACATTCCCTTTCCGTTATGTAATCTACGTATATTATGATGGTTCACCAAGAGCAAAATATCGGTAAACTTCCATCTGACAAATACAGAACCATTTGTCAGAGCCAATGGAGGGAGAAGAATGGGACGTACCACCGTTAGTGATCGTACCTATAAGTATAAAAACACGTCGAACATTCAATGTATATTCAGTTCTCAGTGAACATTCGTGCAAATCTTACATCCTCAAGCTCGCCGATATCTCCAAAAGAAACATGAAGACCATCATCGTCGTCTTTGCCTTATGCCTCGTCGGTGCCTTGGTAAATTCTCACACCTCTTGCATTTTCCGCTTTATCTCTCATCACTTTGTTAAAAATTTGTGTTACTACTTTTATGTTGAATAGTACGTACAATTTTGCTGGATTCTCGTTGAACGATTCATTTCTATCTTACTTCCTGAAAAAGATTCAGAATAAAGTTTAGAATATTACAAATTTGAAACCGCTGAGAAACAATGCTTACAAATAATACGAGTAGAGAAGTCTCAGTACTCAAATACTCAAAATTAAAATCTAAATTGAATTCAGCGATAATTTTGAGGTTTGTTTTTATACGATAAGAAATCATCATTAGTAAACGAAACCATAATTTTTATATACTTAAGATAAAGAAGAAATAATAATTTACACCTAGATCTTTGACCTTTTTATGTGAATTGATAATTCTCAAAAATAAATTATAAAATATTAAGAAAAAAGATATTTATTTATATTACACCATTTCTTTAAATTTTAGACTCAAAATATTCGTGTAATCATAACATTCTTCGTAAATATGTAGTTGTGTTTTATATTATCCCGTCTTAATATTTTTTATACATTTTTTGTAGGCACTCACGGACGAACAAAAGACTAAATTGGCAGAATACAGGACAGCTTGTATCACCGAAACTGGTGTTGATCCGCGTAAGTTGTAAATAGTAATACAGATTGTAAATAATAGAACGAAAAATTTTAATAAATATTATTTGCTCTTCAGAGGCAGTTGACAACGCTAAAAAGGGTGTTTTCGCTCAAGATGATGAGAAATTGGCTTGTTACGCCTCTTGTATACTGAAAAAGATAAAAATCGTAAGAATTATATATGAAGAAAAATTCTATATAAAATATATAAAATTGTATGTAAGAGAAAATAAAATTATTTTAATTTTTGCATCAGATGAACGAGGACGGAACCATCAATACAGAAATTGCCAGACAAAAAGCTCCAGCTGATGTACCTCAAGATCAGATCGATGATGTAATTAACAAATGCAAAGATACAAGTAAGTAAAAAATTAACACTAAAAAATCTTGCGCTTCATTTTAATAATTAAACAAGTTATTTATTATTTGTTATGTTATCTGTTGTTTGTGTTATTTATTATATTAATACATAACTTTATTACAGCCGGTCCAAATGACTGTAGGAAGGCCGCCAACTTGATGCTGTGTTTCATGAAGAATAAGTCCTTCCAAGTATTGTAATAAACAGGGAACTGTCAATTTTAAACGATTCGATCAATAACTAGATGTATTTCGTATTTAAACTGGCACAAAATATTTGAAGATTTAAATTAATAAATTAATAACTTATAATTACTCAACGTCTTCCTTCATTTATCCATTTTAGATATAAGTTTTTATTTAACTTTTTCTAAATTGCTGTCGAGTCGAGAAAATATTTTTATACTTTTTTTTCTAATTAAAATTTATCAGGCTGCTTGAAATTTAAATATGTCGGCATCACCGGCGATATCGATACTCTGTTGAATAACAGAAAGGTATATATTTAACATCTTATAAGACTTCGTGTTATGTAAACTGAATTAACAACCTAAAAAAGATTAGATGTTGCGCTCACTAAGTCTATTAAAGTTATTAGATTTATATGTTTAATAAATACCAAATTAAAGGAAATGTCAAACAATGCATATGTCTGATGTAAAATATAGAAAATATATCGATATAAAATGCAATGGACAAAATTTGAGGTTTATACGACTAAAATTTTTAAATTTTTGAATTATTATATACTAAAATAATGTATAAATGTATTTTTTCCATATTTCGATATTTTTAACTTCGCACGAACTATAATTTTTATACGCATTACGACTACTTCTGTTTGACAATAGTAGCTTGATTCTTAACTGTTATATAAATATTCTTATTTTGGAAAGATAAAAATATTTGTATATACCTATAGGTTGAAAAATAGTAATACGGAAATATTAACTGTTTTGACTTGCCAATATAAATAAATCATTTACATTTACTATTTCAACAAGTTTTAGGAAGCATAAATTTATAATAAAGATATAACAGTTAAGAGAATATATAAGAATATAGAGAAAAATCATACTATTTGCAATGGTAGTGTAATTCCCGCCTGAATCGTAATATCACTTTATTCACAATATAGATTTCACGGAAGTAAGTTGGAAACAGCAACAATAGTTAGCCACAATTCATATTATTCACAGCTTATCACGTTACATAATTTGAAACAATATTTCATAATGTAAAATATTATGTTTAATAAGCAATTTTTTATTGATAGTGTAAAAAACTTAGTATAGAACTACGCACTATGATATTTGCAATTCATTTTAAATTTTAAACATTGTGCTTAAATGCTTTTACATATTTATTTTTATAGAAAGTTCAATAATTTTCACAATTCGATTTTAATTTTAACCAATTGTTGTGTTATGATCTATGAAGAATAAGGTAATGACACCTACGTAAAAGAATCTAGATTCCTCAAATTGACATAAAAATGTATTGAGTTTCAGTTCTATACTATACCACGTTCATGTTTAAGCTCTTCTATATCTGATTATTTTTCAAATCTGTACATTCAAAAATTACAAAATGACAATAAATTTTCTAAAACTTTTAACAAATTAATTAAAATTTTATGATAATGAGGTATATAAAGATTCAACTTAGTTTCGTTCCTTATATAGCATTCCATTTTATTTCTCCAATAATCAATCCTTTTATTATTGCATTTATCACATTTTTGATGCTTTGTGTCAAAGTAATATTACATTCAGTTAAATTAAAATAACGAAAAAATCTATGTGATATTATTAAATAAATAAATTTAATTGGTAATATAACAAATTTCTAATTAGAGTGAGTTACTTGAATTATTATTTCAAATAATATTTATATCAAATACTTTAAATGATATCCAATCCTGTTATACGAAAAACTATATTTCATAAGTAATAACTCCTTTTGAAGGAGTTATTGGGATATTATGCTGTATTAGGTAGTTAAATTAGTTCCACGTTGGACACGCTCGCAAAGTGAGCAACATGGCTACAAAGGAAAACAATCTTTTTGTATTGTATGGAGAACTAAATAAATTAGGTCCAAATGGAGAATATGAAAGGGCTATAAAAATTGCTAATAAAAGTGAGTTTTCGTGAATTTATAAATTGCATTTGATCTCAAAAATTTACTAGCAACATAACCTGTGTCCTACTTTTAGAAAACAGCATATACTAAAAAATCAAATATTTTTCAGTTTTAAGTATTTCCCAAGACGAAGAAGCTGCTTTCCATTGTAAAGTTATTTGTTACATTCAGTTATCTAAATTCAGTGATGCACTGCAATTTATTATTAAGAATCCAAAGCTGTCGGTGTATGTTTTTCTTATATTAATACTATATCGATTAATATTTACTTCATGTAATTCTAAAAGTAAACAAACTTCTTTTTTGTAGCAATTTAGATTTTGAGAAAGCATATTGTTTATATCGATTGAATCAGGTAGCTGAAGCTTTAAAAATAGTGGAAAATGTCCCAAATCCATCACTCAAACTTAAAGACCTCAAGGCTCAAATATTATACAGACTTGAAAAATATGAAGAATGTTTCTCTGTATATAGAGACATTATAAAAAATTCCCATGATGAGTATGAGGATGAAAGGGAAGCTAATCTTGCAGCAGTAGTTGTAAATTTGCAAGTTGAGGATTCTGTATGTATTTAACAACTAAAATCATTTGAATATATTTGAATTATTTTCTATATATTTTCTTAAACAGAACATAGAAGTTCCTGTATTACGTGAAGATACATATGAATTAATATATAATGCAGCTTGTCGCTTGATTGCACAAGGTAGCAAAGGTGATAAGGCTGCCTTAATTGAGGCAGAAAAGAAGCTTAAAGCAGCTGAAAAGATGTGTAAAGAAGGTTTGGAAGAAGATGGAGTTGCTGAAGAAGAAATAGAAGATGAATTGGGAATTATTAGAGTTCAACTTGGGTGTTGTCTTCAACTTCAAGGTCGTGAGAAAGAAGCTCAAGCATTATATATTTCTGCTTTAAAAGCAAAACCAGATGATATAGCTTTAGTAGCAGTGGCAAGCAATAACCTTGTGTGCCTCAATAAAGATCAAAATGTATTTGATAGCAAAAAGAGAATGAAAAGTGCCACTCATGATAGTTTAGAACATAAATTAACTTCTAGACAAAGGAAAAACATTGCATATAATCAGTGTCTGCTAGCTTTGTACACTGATCAGGTATAAACTTGTTCATTAATGTCATATTTTATTGCTATTGTTCACATTTCATTACTTTATATCTTACATGCTTGCAGGCAGAACAGTGTCAACAGCTTTGCAATAAACTTGCTAAGGATCATCCTGCACTGGCTGTAGATGCCATGTTTGTTAAAGCAGTACAACTTGGAAAAGAAGGTGAAGCAAAGAAAGCAGCAAGTCTGTTAACACAATATGCAGTTGGAGATAAAGAATTAGAAATGAAACTAGTTTGTGTGCAGCTTTTATTAAGTCAAGATGAGAGACAAGAGGCAATTGATATTCTTGAGAATCTGAGCGAAAGAGATAAATCGTTACCTGGCATAGTTAGCGCACTTGTAACGCTTCATATGGCTGATAATAATCGCGAAAAAGCGTCGGCAGCACTAAAAAATGCAGTTAATTATTATAAGAAGAATAAAGTAAGCATATTTAATTTTATTTCTTTTTCCCAATTTAATTTAATATCTTTCTGACTTAATATTTATTTTTAGGAAACTATTGCTAATTTAGGGGAATTGTGGAGGCAAGCTGCTGACTTCTATTTACGCGGAGGAGAAATTAAAATGGCAGCTGACATTTTACAAGAAATGGTAGACGATTCACCTTGTGATACCAAAACATTGGCGCAATTAGTAGTAGCATATGTACAGTTTTGTCCTGAAAAGGCACAACTTCTGTCAAAACGTTTACCACCACTTCATGATCTGGCTGAAACAACTGATGTTGATGCTTTGGAGAGCAGTAACTGGGTAATTGGCACTAAGGTGATTAAGAAAAAGATAGAACCATCCCCTGGGTAAGTATTCTCCCTTAAATATAATTGTGATAGTAAAACTATCTCAATTGATAATTACAATTATATATTGTAGCAAATTAGCAGTTGATGTAACTCAAAAGAAACGCAAGAAACGTAAACGTAAAGGAAAATTACCTAAAAATTATGATCCAAATGTTCCACCTGATCCCGAACGATGGTTACCTAGACACGAGCGAAGCGGATTTAGGAAGAAACGGGACAGAAGAAATCGAGATGCTACAATGAAGGGTACACAAGGTGTTGCAACCGGGGCTAGTGATATGTAGTATGTATTAAAAAGATATACATTTTTTAATTTAAAAAAGAAAAAAAGGAAAAAATACAATTGATAATTTTGCTCGCCATTACCTGTTACAGTGACATTACTAAAATGCCTACAAATGCAAAACCTTCTCCTAATCCACGACATAGTCCAGCGGTAGAAAGTTCCGGTCCACGACAACAACAACGTAAAGTTCAACAGAAAAAGAAGAAAAAAGGCGGAAAATGGTAATAAATAATTCGTATTTTCGTTACATTTACCCGAAATATATAATATTTGTATATTGCTAAAATAATGGATGATTGAACAATACATCTGTTTAATGAATCGAATAGCTTTTTCAATTATACACATTTTTTAATTGCTGTGCATATTGTACAGTATAAAATACTGCCATTTTTAAATGAACATACTTGATACCAATCTCATTTAATCAGTATAAATTGTTAACTTCTGAATTTATTATTAAATTAAAATGTAATTAAGTTCTATGTGGATTGAAAATATACACAGACCATATGGTACATAAAATATTTTTATTCCTTTTTTTTTTTTAATCCTTTTGTCAACTTCGGACAAAATTCGGCAATATAATATACAATATAGGTAACATGTTTCTTGCGTACATTGACTAGGATTTGGCGATACATATCTTTATTCCTCTGTTGGTAACAATTGTATATAAAAATACAATCTGTTTCGAACTTTTTTTCTCTTAGTAAATTTGTAATCTATGTAGATAGATCATGATTGTGCGTCAAATTTTTAACATTCATGTAACAGATTTATATATGTATATGTAATATAATAAGTGGCATGATTCATAACTACAATAATCTTACGTATAATAATAAAATGCCACATTGTATTTCCGTATAATTTCATTGTTGTGAAATCATAATTCTGTGAAGACACACTTCGATTACATATCATTGTAGTATATCGATGTATGTGCACGCACGCGTGCATGTGTAAAAGGATATCTTCGTTCTCTACCATTCTAACTTATTGTCTCGTATTATCATTGCACAACACAGCATTGTTTGTCGTGTATATATAAATTTATAACAGAGGCAACTGTCGAGGTAAGAATAACCGTATATATCATAAAACGCTTCTACATCTGTTTTTTTAATATACTTTTCTAATATGTCAAGGCTGTAAATTGCCCTCATCTAGAGGTTTACTTAAAATACTTAATACCCTTCCATTAGAAAATAGTACAACAGGCACGCTCATTCATCTGGTCTGAATATCGTGATATGCATAATACGTAGAAAATAAACAAGCACTGGAAAATTCACTTTACCAGTACCTAAGCAAGTATGTATATCCATTTCTTGATAGTTTTGTCATGCCACACTCATCTATTGGCAAGCAATCTCCCATGTTCCCAAAACCAATCGCCAAATCAGTTTGACAAAAAAGATAGTTTGTCACGGATAAGAATAGATGAGTAAGGCACAAATGCATGTAAATGTTATAAAACACTTACACAATAATGTAAATAATTTTCAATGTATGAACATTACATTTGCAACAAATAATGCTACTTTTCGGGAATAATGCCTTCCCAGGCATCTTCTCGCTGTTTATTTGCTAATCTACGTTTTTCTAGAAACAGAAGGGTTATCTTATTTTTTGTGATTTCAAAATTTATTGTATATATCAAGAATCATTCTATATAAATAATATTTACCTTTAGCCTCACGTAATATATTCTTCTCGTGTTCACGTTCTTGCCTAGCAGTGGCTAATTTCACTCCCAGAGCACCCGTAACTAATCGTCTGGCTAATGCCGCGCAAGTTTCTGGACGACTTCTATAAGGTTGTAAAAATTCTGCGCTTCTTTTCGCTTTCGTTTTGCTCAAAGCAGTAGCCTCACTTAGAGGTCTTGTTTTAACAAACGGATGATCAGATGCCAATACTTCAGCAGCTAAAATCGATTATTTAAGTAGGTACCCAATAATTACAATATTAATGTAACATTAAATCGTTTCTAATTACCAACAAGAGGACTACTGAAGACTCCAAGACAGTGAGTATCATCTACCCATTTCAATTCAAAACCGCCATTTTTAAAAGGACTAAAAACGGCTGCTAAATCGCTGGTTTTGAATTCTGATGGAAAATTGTAAATTTCAACAACATGAGCAAATTCGTCGCTGGATACTTCGATGTGTTTGGTGTATGGTTTATAATCACTTTTTGGTTGTTCTATCATAACATTGCCAACAGCTGATGTTAACTGAAGTAATTGAAATTAAAAACAAATTCATTTCTTACACTAAAAAATGGCAAATTGTTAAATACTTGCCTCCTCGATGAGTGTTGGATCTAAACAATCACCATTGTCATCAAATAAACTATCCCAGTCACATTCATCCCTGTTAATTTTTTTAATAGGCGGAGAAGGTGGTGGCGCGGGTTTGCTTTTCTGTCGTACAACTTTTTTCACTTTCTTCTCTGCTGGTGTTATAGGAACAGGAATGACTACTTTAACAGGTTCTGCTTCCTTCTGTACACTATCTGAGATAATTAACACGTTTGACACCATATTGCGATGCATCATTTGCGTGTTCTTTTGATTCGTTATTTCATCTTTACTTAAAAGCTCCACATTATTTTTGTTATTATTTTCGGTCGAATTAGTTATAATAACATTGTCCTTATATTTATCAGATCTGTCTATTTCTTCATTAACATTAAGTTCACTATATATACATGTTTCAACTGAGTTTAAATTATTCTTATTTTCACTAGAATTATTAGATACTTCTTGCTCTTCAGTAGTTTGTAATTGAAGATCATCAGTTATCTCACATTTATCTTCAAGAGCAGCAGGACTATTCGAATCATTTGGCACATTTTCATTTGAACTGTCGAACTGCTCAATCATTTCTTTACTATAAGTTTCTTCTATCATAGGTATTTCTGATACAATCAAAGAATCTGTATCTTTTGAATCTGTTTGAAAACACAAATTTACTTCAGATTCCATAGTGTCTTGATCTTTATCAAAGCATATATTTGATCCCTTTTTCGCACATTCTATGCTTTGTTGCGTATCCGTATCTACTTCTTTAACATTTAAAGTTGATTTTGATTGTCCATGAAAAGTAGAAGATAAGAACGAGTTATCCTTAGTTGTACGATTTATACGAGTAGATTCTGATGGCTGAGGACTTCCTTCTGTTTCCAAACTCCTACGATGTCTCGGTACATAAACTGCACGATCCGGTCTTTTTTGCCGTGAAGTTCTTTATAAGATGAAATTTATTAAATGTAATATGTTAAAAAATAATTATAATTTTTTATTTGAATTATAAAAAGAAAAAGGTACTTTTATGATATTTCTTACTTTATAGCAGATGAATCCGCAGTTGGTTGCACTTGAACTTGGTCCACGCATGTTTGAAGTTCATTTTTAGATTTCCTAGCAGCTGGTGGCCTATAGAGTTCAACCGCTGGCGTTGATTTTGCTAAAAAAAACCGAACCACAATGTCAGTTAACTTCACACTGAGTTTTCAAGCAAAAGAAATTTCTTTATTACCTTGTCTTTGAACTCGCACACGTTCTGGAGATGCAGAGGGCGATCGTCGACCTTCGACGCCCATCTCAACCAACGAACCAATACCTTTCGTTGCACAATCTAATTTACACTGTTCACCATTCAATTTCGGGTCCCTTGAATATCGAAAATAAGAAATTATTCATATTAATCTTTTTTTTTTCTTCTAAATTAGCTAAATAGTTCTGACGCATTTGAGTACTACGTTGCGCGACCTTGAGTCGGTCAGTTTCACTTTCGTTTGTCGCTGCTACGCCGTAAGAATACCATTCTTGTAAATCCATTTCATAACAGTATTAGGACTGTTTGAGAATTTCGCATAAACCTGATTCAATTTAGAACTCGTTCTACTTTCGAAGAAATTGATATTAATATTAATACCATTTTCAAATTAATCATAATTAAAATGATACCAAATCTTACATGAAAAATTGTAGTCTGTTTCACCATTAAATATCGAAATATCACAGTCTGCTGTCACAGCAATGTTATAACAATTTTATATAAAAATTAATGTATTTCTTACAAGTTTTGTAAGACACACGCTATGTATTTGTACAGAATTCACTAAACTATGATATATCAATCGTCATCGGTACACCTTTTATCAATAGATTATTTAAAGATATTTCAATAGTCGGTTCGCAGCAGGGGACGATGAAATTCAACACTTGGAGTATTGTTCAGCTCCTATGTCACTAAAATGATAATAGACACTCCAATACCTTATCACGTCACTCTTGTAACAAACGACGGTCCGCCTGGCAGAACCCTGTCCGATCGAGAACGTATGCAAATCGGCAAAACGATCTTGTACTAACTGATGTATGATGTACCTCCGATAGTTGTTTACAGGTGGAAAGACGAGTACCCTGTAAAAGTGAAAAGAACACGTTACAATCGCGGCTGAAAGTGAGACTGGACGGCCAATGGGTGAACGTAACCGCCTTGCCACGGGCCAGTTTGCCGTATCGTGTCAGATGAACACATGCCGGTTAACTTTTACATAACGTTTCACTTTCTCCTTCGTTGATTTCCTTAAAATTAGAGCCATCTTTACACCCGAATAGCTGCGCACTCTTTCGGTTACATTCCACCAATGGTGTTACGACCTCGTTAACATTTCACATAATCACGCTCCATGGAAACCGGCTATTACGTTCGACCGGTATAAAACATCGGATAAAGCGGAATTTATTATGTGTAACGTCGTAACCGGATGTTTTTAGAAAGCATTGGAACCATTAGAAGGCGCGCGCACATAATCCCGCGGGGTAGGAAACAGGAAACGCACTCTCGCAATCTGGCGGAGTAATCTTGTTTCGAGAGGTAAATAAACGATTGCGCGAGGATGCTGGGAACAAGATAAATTTTCACCTTAACGGCGTTTCACGTAGTTAAATTACATGCCGACCGTTCAGGTGGAACGAAGCGTGTAGCGTGGTAAATCGTGGTTCTCTGTGCTTCTCTCCGTTGCAGATATGAAAGCCAAGAAGAAAAAGAAATCAACTTCAACCGGCCGAACAAAGCAACCGTCCTTCTCTTTCTCGCGATTCGGTCGTTGAATCGACGTTTCGCGGCTACGATCTGTTAATTACGTTTTAGAATCGACTAAATCGACGAGCCTTGAACTACAAAGAAGAAACAAAGTGCTGTGTACCTCGTAAGTGTTGCGTGGTTCACGTAATCAGGCGTATACGTGAGTGACATACGTTAAGCGACCAGTTACACTCCATAGGTTAACAATTATCCGTGCAGAGGGCATTCAAAATCGTCCAGTTGTTCCTTTTGCATGTGATTTTAACAATTATGCAATATGGCGCGTAATCATAATTTAAAAAATTCTTCTAGTCTTTTTAAATCCAGTATTAGAATTTTATTAATTTTATTATTAAACAGTATGAACATTTTTTACGTAATTTAATTTTAAGAAATATTTGGATTGTATATTGGTCGGTTAGGAAATTTCACGTATTACAGTGTTCTTATATAATGTTTGCAGGGACAGTTAATCGTGTATAATCGTGGTTCATTATTTTCATCATCGTTGGTGAAGATAATGCGTTCCATTATACTTTGCGTTTCGTATAAATTTTCTTTCATTATCCAACGACATATGCAAGTTCCGTCATATATGAAGTACTATTTAACCAATATCTTCTTACTATAAGTTTCAAGTAAGGCGCATTTTTAATTAAAATCCGATATAATGCTAATCGAAAAAAAAAATGATAAAAGTATCAATATATAATGTACATGCATAAAAACCGATTAAATGTATTGTTATTTTTCTCAAATAAGTCGCCAATGACTTACTAATCTTTTATGATCCCCAAAATACTATGTAGTACGCTAAAAATATGTGGTCAACCAAAAAAAAAGAAAAATACGTTAACGTTCGAAGTACGCGGGGCATGCTAAAAAGAAACGGAGAATCACTAACGTAACGGAACCGTCTAAAGGCGCACGTAGTAGCGACCAAGAACGTCGTCTGGAAAACGATACCAACCATTTACCTTCAGGTTGAGATATTTATAAATATTCCGTTCGGAGGCCACAAAAGAAGTCAATACTTTATCGCACGCTTTTTAACAGTTATACGGTATCTTAAATCCGAAGATCAATTCTAATTGCCTTTGAATTCCAATTTTATTTGTATGTCAAGGCTGTAAATAATTTTCACGTAACACACTTGCACCACGTAACATCTAGCCAAAGCGCTAGAAAATTCACGAACCGTCAAATTAATGCTATTTATGACGTGTCTTATTTTATTTTCCCGCACAATTGACAAACGTCAACTTACTTTTACATTGCACCTTTTGAAACTTCACAATTAATGATTTCCCGGAGAAAGCTTCACTGTTCACCATGATAAACATCATTGTAGAAATTGAAAGTCAAGAATAATGCTTGAAGACACGTTGTAAAAACCGTAGTCATCTAACCTTTAAAGGCGCGTCGTTGCATCAGGAAACGTGATCGTTTGACTCTCCTACCTTTTCCGTTTCTTGTCCCTTGAAAATAGAGTCACGTCGTGCTCCACGTCCTCGGAGAAGAGGCTGTCTTGCAAGCTCATTTATCTGCGAAACAGCACGTAAATGAGGCATACGAGAAATTACTAACACTTGTAATTAAATTCATCGAAATTTATTTAACAAAACCACGTTTGCCGTGCTGCTGGACAGCAGCAACGGTCTCTACTCGACGCGCATTGACCACAAACTACTTTATAATGCATCGCGCATGCGTTGATTTGTTTCAGCTTGTCCAATTACTACGCATGCGCAACATTTTAAATCGTAGCGAAGTTTCGTGCAATATTTTTACTCGCTGATATACTATATTTTTTCTTAGACATTTTAAATTATATATTTTAATTCATTAATTTCAAGACTTGAAGAATCAAAATGTAAGTATTAACATTGAATCTTTTGTTAAAAATTAAAAATATTTCAAAAACACGCTGTTGTTACGTTTACATCTGTGTATATACTGTACATGTGAATAAGTGTGTCGTTCAAGTCTTTTTATACCTTTGAAGAAAAAAAAAGACTGAAAAGAATATATTACGACTTCGATTTCTTTTTTTGGCTTAATAGTATGCGTCAAGGTCTCTTTATATCATTCGATTGGAATTAGTATTCTGTGGACAATACTTCGCGGCATCAATTTGGTGATCACGTAATGTTAGATAATTTGACATTGCTTTATCTGTAATTGAGTTCAGAAAATTTGTTAAATAGATTTTATGATTTATAAATAAATTTATTTTTTTTGCATAATTTAACATTTGGATTTTTGTTAATCAGTTTAGTTGTTACTGTACAAAACATATTTATTTAATAATTTATGGAGATACACACATAGTGTACAACATACAAGCCTTAGCATTCATAAAATGCCGCTACTTCGTAAAGTTGATTCCACTTCACTTTGTCCCCTAGAATATTTATATACAATCACGCGACTTTTCGCTTTACATTATTCGTCGAAACAAGTTCATTTAACTACAAGCGACAAGTACTCCGGCTGTTTCGCTCAACGCGTCGTTGTTCTTATCAAATTCCTCGAGAAAATATGTCACATATGATAAAATTCTTTTGTATTCCGGCATTGAGAGAAACCTCGGGGTCGAATTAGAATGTGTACAGCGCATAAACATACAAAGTTAAAGGGGTCCGAATCTTTCTTGCTCGGACCCAGCTTCTTTTTTTCCCATTTTCCTCTTTCTAATACAAAGCTGCGTCTACGCGCAATATTATCGGAATTCTGTCAAAAATATTCTATATACAATTAGGGTATGTATAAAAAGAAATTCACGTCTTAAAATTACAAGAAGAAGGGCAATTTTGTTCTGTTGCTGTGTGCGAAAAAGCAACAAATTCTTATCCGTGACAGACACTACCAGCATATTTATATTTTCAAATCAAAAATGTTATATTTATAGAGAATCGATACAAGAATACGCATGGTATGTCACGTCACGGGTATGACGAGTATAATGTCGTAACTAAATATTTAGAATTACGTTCAGCGATACTGTGAGAGAACGAAAACTATTTTCTCGTTGTTACAGTATCGCTTTGATTTCTTGGTCTACTTACACTTACGTATTACACAAATGTAGAAAGTAATTCGTAATAAACATTAAAAATACGAGTTAATGTAACTCAATTAAAAACAATACGCAAATGATCGCGAACGCCAACTAAAAAAAAAAAGAAAAAAAAAAGAACAGAAAAATGACTGAATGCAGATGGAACTACTATCGGTAAAACATGTTGTGCTAATGACTACTGGTTAAGATGATACGGTAAAAAGATATGAGAGTAAAGCAATTTCTCTTTTATCGTAAGAAACAAATTTCGAAATTGAATTTTTTTAGTGTCAGAACACAAAAATAAGTACTATAACGATCAATACACGGATAGAACTAGGAAACGTATAAAGTAGGTACAAGATTCTTTGTGATTTTTTTCGCGTATCGAACATTGAGATATTAATCTTAAATGTCTATTCGTGGTCTATATTGTAGCCTTAAAGGTGGGTCCCGGAACCTCCATCTTGTTACATAAACAAATTTCAATGTATGGTCCTTACCTAATAGTTCATCATTGCACAAAATATCAATCTGTAAAGATCATTAATTTAGAATTTAAATTATTAATTAGTAATCTTAATTTTAATAGAAATTTTTAATAATTTTTACTCACATCCCGATATTTCTCCATCCCGTTTAACACTTTCTTGGCGATAAACTTTTTCAAATGCGTAATAGTTGCTTGGGCAGAACACCTAATAAATCTTCGTTTCAAGGTTTTTAAACTTGTATTTATGCATTCCAAACAAACATTAACCTGTGAAAATATTTATTCTTTTAGTATTATGAAAAGTTACATAGTAATTATAACTATTTCTTACTTGTTCATCAGTACGGTGATAATCTGATTCTGCATGTGCATCTGCTGTTGCCTTCTCTTCTTCAACATCCCCAGCATTCGGTAGGACATCTTTTGGGCAAGCTAATCCTCTGGCTCTATAAAATTCTCTT